ATGTTTGTTGCATGAAAGAAATGAAGCATGCGGATCTTGTTGTGGACGTGCAGCGGTGGGGGCTGTCATCCACTGCTGCGTGGAGTGTGTTTGGGTGCCGTCACGCTGGAAGGCTATGTGGCATTAAGTGCTCGAGTGGAACATACCTCTAATCTGTGGCCAACCAGTCCACACATAAGTATACACCTGGAGGGACTGGCCGACTTGGACCTCAGGTGACCCAGGTATACACCTGGAGGGTCTGGAACACCTGGGTCCGCAGGCCTAGTCACCGTTTACAGTAAGGGCATTTGAAACAGCCTAAACGTCTGCAGCATGATAACTGTAAGGGACGAGGTCCTAGCGGAGGGCTGCCCAGGAGCAGATCGGAGGCTGATTCAAGGGCAAGTGGTTTATTTGGGAGTTCACCCCGAAAGTACCCATTGCAGAATGAGGGAGTGAATTAGGGGAGTGAAGCCAGCCAAGAATGGTGTGTCAAGCAAGTTGCCCCTCTGCACCACAGGGGCGCTCAGGGAAGCAAACATTGGTCACGTGCCTCAGTTTCCTCATCTGTCTGCACACTAAGTTCGTCAGGGGGCCGTACTTCTTCAGATTCCTGGCCTGTCTTGCACATGAGAGAGGGCCCTCAGGCCAGGGGTGTGGGTGCTGGCAGCTGGAAGTGGTACTGGCATGCACCCCAGGGTAAGGACCAAGGGCTGTGGGTGGGCTCCTGATGGCAGGTGCTGCCAGGCCCACATATCAACATGGATACATGTGGAAGATGTGATATTGAGTGAGAAAAGTAAGTTGCAGAAAGCAGGTCATGTATAGAAATGTTGTCAACAGGTAAAACAGTCCCCTGAGTGCTTCTTGGTTCCCACATGTGTGGTAGACGGGCAAAGGCATGTGTGGGGATGAGTTCCATATCCATGGTAGGCGGTGCCTTGCAAGGAGGGCGGGTGCATGGGTGGCTCACCTCTCCCTGTAACGATTTCTTTCTTCCTGTTCCTACATTGAGGTTTGAAGTTCACACAGTCTATGGAAAGGGAACTAATCCTGGGTGGGTGCTGGTGAGGCTCTGTGTATGCAGCCACCTGTGTAACCACTGCTCAGATCAAGAGGTAGACGTTGCTGGTGCCCCCGAGGGCTCCCTTTGCCACTCCCCAGTCTGCGCCTCCCCCCAACTTGACGAGTTTCTTTTTGAAAATGTTTTGAGCAAATTTGGCATAATGCTAAGGTTTGCCAAAACCGGGGAGTGATGGGTTTGTGGGTGTGTTTGTTAACATTTTTCTCTATTCTTTCCTGGATCCTTTACATATTTCCTTACCATCATCCACAAAGATTCCATCCTCCCATCAGAAAGGAGAGGAGGACTTGGGCAGATGCAGGGGACGGGACGTGGCCTAGGCAGGGGTGTGGCAGGCACGCTGTGTGGACAGTGGTTCTGGGGCCAAGGCAGGCTTCCCAGCAGCCCTGGCAGTGCTGAGGATGGGCTTGCCTCTGGGTGGTTTCTGAGAGGAGAGCCGCAGTTGGCTGAGTGCTGCAGAGCTGCTAGGCTGGGACAGGTGCTCGCCCCGGAAGGTCCCTTTAACCACCCTGCCTGCACTGTGGACATCGGCACTGCCCGGAAAAGCTGGTCGGTCGTGCCTTGGGCAGCGTGAAGGCTGGGCCCAGAGCCCCTGCCTGCCCATTCTTTCCAGGTCACGAGCTTCCCACTGTGCCAGTCACACCAGCCTGTTTGTGGCCTCTCTGTGGGTGGCCGGAGCCTCTCATTGTCCCGGCACAATAGCGGTGGCCCAGCTTGTGTGAAGAAACCAGGGCAGGAAGCTCTGATGTAGGCCGGCATGCTGTGCGCCCAGCTTCCTGCTCTCCCCAGCTGTTCTGGGCGAGGAGGCCTTTGTCCCCCTGAGTCTAGGGAGGCTGGAGGTTGGACTGCCTACTGAGACCATAGCCCCTGTTAAAACATCCTCTGGGTACTCCTGTCCCCTGTCCCTTGTACCTGTTGTCCTCTAAAAGGAAAGATCAGCAAGCTTCCAGCAGCCCGTCGAGGCTCCTGCTGTGTGTCGGGCACCGTGCCAGGCACATTCCAGCTCAGAGTTGTGAATGCTTACTGGGTGCCAGGCACTCCTCCAGGCCTGGGGACACAGCTGGCACAAGAGCGGCAAGGTCCCTGCCCTCACTGAACTTCTATTCACTTTATCCTATTGCTTTCTGAAAGATAGGACAGCATTACTACAATTCCCATATTTGGGAGACTGGGAGAGGCCGATGTACTTTCCCGAGGTCACGTAACAGGCAGGAGGGGGATCTGTGGTTTAAACCCAAACCATCAGTTTCTGAACCTGGCTTGTGTTGTTGGATCAAAGTAGAGGTTTCGTTCAGCATGCTCCCTTATCCTGGCCTTTCCCTTAGGAGCTCATGTAAATTGCTTCACCTCAGTCTTTTCACCTGTCAGATGGGCTCTTAATGCAGGATGAGAAGGTGGGAAGTACATGAAGACAAGGGGGGCCTCTTGGGGGAGGTGATATTTGAGCGAAGACCTGATGGATGAGAGGGAGCTGGTTCATGGTTGAGCTTGCAGGGAATATGTTGTTAGTAGGGGTGGCAGGTGCAAAGGTCTTGCAGTAGGAATGTGCCTCGCAGGTGGAAGGAATCAAGAGCACGATGGTGGGGCTGATGATTGTTAAGCCGTGGGTTGATGGACGGCTGGAAGGTGAGGTCAGAGAGATGAACTAGGACAAGATCATGGGGGCCTTTTGGACTGTGGAAGGATTTGGATGTTTAACTTTAAGTATAGTAGAAAGCCAGGGAGAGTTGTTTTAAGCTGTGGATTGACAGGATCTGATTTATATGTTTAAAAGGATCCCTCTGGCTGTTTAAATTTATATAGTTAAAAGGAGCCCCAAAAGAAAAGACTTGTGGGGTGTTGGGAAGGAACAAGGAGGCGGTGACTGCCTCAGTCCGGGCAGCAGATGACGGCGGCTGGGACCGGGGGGCTGGCTGTGGCGGCGTGGAGGAGTGCTGGATGTGTAACACATGCTGCAGGTGAGGCTGAGAGCCTCTGCTTATGGATGGAAATGGAGTGTCAGAGAGAGAGGGTGACATGGGGGCTTTGGGCCGGGGCCCTTGCAAGGCACAGGTGCCATTCAATGATCAGCCTGCGGAGAGTTTGTGTGGTGTGGGTTTGGAGGGAGAATCAGGAACTAGGGTTTGCACCAGTTAAGTTCAACACCCCCCTGGGACATCCAGGTGTAGATGTTGTGTCTGGAACAAAGGTCTGGATTTCAGGGGCGAAGTCTAGGCTGGGGGTATAAACGAGGGCTGAGGGGCCTGGTTGGGACTGCCCCGCAGTGAGTGTGGACAGACGCAGGGCTGTCTGGCTCTGCGTCCCTGACTTTCTTCTCCATGACCTGCTTTGTGGAGCATCAGTGTGCACCTAGGAGACCTGAGGCGGTGGGCATTTGGCTGCCTGTGACAGCCACGGACGTCCCTTGGGTGATGGGAAAGGATCCGACAGCCATCTGTGGAGGGCCAGCCTCCTCTCTGCCCACCTGCACCCGCTCCCCTCCATCTCCCCGCCCCTCTGAGATCTCCCCAGGCAAGCATGGCTGCATGAGACATGCTCTTCATTAACCTGCAACAGGGCTCTGTGACAAGGACGCCGTGTACTCAGCCAGGCCTCCTTCCCAGAGCCCCCGTGCTGTACTCAGCTGAGGCAGGGAGGGTGACTGATGGGCCAGCACAGCTCATCGTGGCCCTGTGGCTGTGGCAGGACCATGAAGTCGTTTTTGCAGGGCTCCACGTGGCTGCTGCCAGGTCAACCTGGGGCCAAGTCCAGGAGGCAGGTGAACCAGGCAGTTTGCTGTGTGGTCTCCTCAGGGGCTGCCTCCCCTCTCCCACGTCCCTGGGACCTGCTGGTCCTTCTTCTCTGCCAGCTGTGTCCCAGCCACACCAGGGCTACGCCACGCCACTGCTTGATGGCACGGCTGCACCCCCCTTCCTGGTGCCCTCACTTTCGTGCTCAATCTCGAAAATCTGATTGCTCACAAAAACGGAGGGCTCCTTTGCCAATACTTAAAAACCGGGAGACATTACTGAAAAAAAAAATTCTGATTTCTGGCTTCTCTCGAAAAAGATCCCTTCAAAAAAACATTTGGCGGCCGCTGCCTTCCTTCTGGAACACTTGGAGGGGCCAGCGGCACCCCCTCGGGGAGCATGTGCCCGTCGCTCCCCACAGTCCCCCCCATTGTCTGTCACATCACAGGAACGATTTCTCTGTTCTGAGCCCCTGAGAGAAGTGGCAGAATGACTGGTCCATCCGTACAGTAGGATTGCGGGCAGCCGGAAAGAAATGTGGCTGCTCCCTGTGTAGTGACAAGGAAAGATCTGGAAGCAATATTAAGTGGAAAAAGGGGGTGCAGCACATCCCATGTGTGCCACTATTTTTTGGTATGTAAAAAGGGGAAAAATTAGAATACATGTTTGTGTGGGTATGTGTATGTATTTGTTTGTTATTTTTGTATAGAGATAAAAAGATTCTTTGGAAGGATTCACAAGGAACTAGTAGCCGTTGGTTCCCATGAGGGGTGGGGAGGGACTAGATGGATGGGGCCTGAGGTACAGGAGATACACTTTTCGTATTTTTGACTTTGTATGTTTTTGATTTGTAAGCCATGTGAATGTATTATTATTTAGAAGTTAAATTTTTGAAAAAATAAAGGGAAATGAATTGTAGTCTGAAGGGGGCCTGGGGTGAGGAAGCAGATGCTAGTGTATCCAGATGGCAGGGCTTTGGTGTACCTGGCCCGGTGTGGCAGAAGCTCAGGTTTTATTGACTGAATGGGAGTGAGGGGTCTTGCAGGGTGTTGAACCCATAAGCAGGGCAGGTTTCTCCTTACTCCCTGCCCTTGTCCCTGGCACCTCCCGGATCCTATTTGGCATTTTAACCTGTGACCCATTTTTGGGCCGCCCCTGAAGAGCAGAGGCGTGGCTGCTCACCTCTCCCTTCTTCTCTTCTCCAGGCCTTCCTACACCGCATCCGGCAGAATGTGGCGGACTCCGTGGAGAAGGGCCTCACAGAGGAGAACGTCAAGGTGCGCACACCTGGCCAGCCCCTTTCCAGGCCGTCCCTGCTGCTGTGTGCCTTGCTCCTCCCGGGCGGTGCTCAGAGGGTGCAGAGTGGCAGGTGCACCTGCCCTGCCAGCAGCTGGCTTTGCCTTCTCACAGTGGGCTCCCTGCGCCCCTAGAGGCCTCTGGGGCCTGTGAGCAGACTGCTTGGCTTGCACCAGGAGGGCTCAGCAGCCCTTCCTCCCGACTTGAGTTTCTGTCCTTGGTCACCAGACCATCCTGTCTTCCAGGCTCCTCGTGCCAAGATCCCTGGCTTGGAGCCAGCAGCAAATCCCTTCCCAAGCATCCCTGGGAGCCTGGCACCTCCAGCCCTCCTGGCAGCCCCATCCTGTGCCCCTGTACTGGGCACTGAGTATCGAGGCAGGGCAGCTGAGTAATTGGGTCTGGGCTTCGTCTTGGCGGTGGGTCTGGGGAAGACATCAATAGGCCCTCTGTGTGCATGGGGGAGGCCCAGTGCTCCCCAGGCCTGGCTTTCTAGTGTGACCTCACTCTCTGGGAAGCTGTTTTCAGCCCTTGGGGCTCCAGGGTCCTGATCCAAGGCGAGGGGGTGGGAGGGGAAGGAGTAGGTGTCAGAGGTGCTCAACATGTATGGCACACAAAGGACTTGGTCAAGCAGGTCACCTCTGCCCCCCACCATGTCCTGGTTAATCTGGACAGCCACTTTGCAGTTGACAATTGTGAGCCTAGTTTTTTGGATAAGAAAGCCGAAGCTTAGAGATGTAATGAGACCTGCTCAGGGTCGTTGCATGGCTGGTTGCTGGTAGCACTGGGGTCTAAGCTTATTATGCATGTATTCATTTATTCATTCACTCACTCGTTCATTCAGCAGATACTTACTGAGCACCTACTGTTTATTACAATCTATTACAATTTTGTAATCGTTTGTTATAATTTAAAATTACAATTTATTATCATTAAAAAAATTACCTTTTAGATGAGATGTAATTCACATACATTGATCTTAAGCGTCAAACGTGATGCTTTTTCTTACCTTTGTAATTATGACCCAAGTGAAGGCAGAGAATATTTCTTGTCTCAGCAGGTTCCTCTGTGTCCCCCTCCTACTAAATGACCCCATGCTCCCTCCCCAAAGGTAACCACTGTCTTCTAGTACCATCGACTAGTTTTGCTTGTTCTTGAACTTTCTATAAAAGTGAGCTCTTTTGTGTCTGGCAGCTTTTACTCACTGTTCGGTCTGTGAGATTTGCCCATGTTGCTGTGTAGCCATGGTTCATTCTCCTTCATTGCTGTGTGCTGTTCCACAGTGAACTGTACCATATAGTTTACTCACCCATTCTCCTGTGGATGCACATTTGAGTTATTCCTAGTTTTTGGCTTTTAGGACCATTTTTGTATATGTCTTTTGGTGGACACAGGCTCTCATTTCTTTTGGGAATGTACTCACTAAACAGATACTTATTTTGAAATTTTGCAGCCATTCCTTGAAGTATCATAATAGGATCTATCACATGTGTCTTGAAGATAAGTAGATTCAACCACGTGAGCCACACAGAATGAAAGGAAAATAACCAAATAGTGCAAGTGGTTCTTCCAGCCACTTCACATCTTCACATGATGAGTGTCCCCCTGATCAAGGTGGAGGAGAAAGAGGGTCCCTGGCTCTCAGATGGCAGCGCCTGGGGAGTGGTTTCCAGCCCCTCAGCCTTCCCTGCCCACCCTCAGGCCATCTCTCTCTGCGGACTTTCTGCTGCATTCCAAGGGTCTGTGTGTTGGTCTTTGTTCCTTTGGGACTTGATTCAAACGCCACCTTCTCAGAGTAGCTGTCCCTGGCCTTTTGCCCCACCCTGGGACTTCCTGTTTTATTTTTATCTTTTCTGCTTCATACCCCCCAGAAAACTCTATTTGCATTATGTGTTGTCTGTTCCCTTCCACTAGAATGTCACCCCCATGGGGGTGGCACTCATCTGTTCCCTGCTGTATCCCCAGGACCTCTAACAGTGCCTGGCACACAGCAGGAACTCAGCCAGTACTTGCTGAATGAATGAATGTGTAAGAAACTGAAAGGAACCATAAACCAGTGGTAACACTGGTTGCCCTTGCTTTGAGTCGCAGTGGGATGAGTGGGTAGGTGGGGACCCAGCACTGTTTTCATTTTACTGTGTTTTAATTTTTGAACCATGTGAGTACCTTCTTCAAAATTAAATTGAAAAGGGTACTTGTTTTTTTAAAAAAGGAAAATGGAATTTGTGCATTTCATAAGGACCTAACGTAAACCCCTAGTTCTGTTTCCCAGAGGCCTCTGCAGTTACCGACTTGTGTCTTTGTGTAGATAGCTTTTGCTTTTATCAGCATAGAGAGGAGGGGCCTTTTTAAATAAATGGGCCCGTATTGGAATCTTGTTTAGCACCATGATTCCTCCCCTTTAACAGTTGAGGATGGTTCCAGGATTCCATATCCGTTTACACAGATCTGCAGATTCTTTTTCTAGGCTGCACAGTATTTCAGCACATGTATTTATCTAATTGTAACCAGTCCAGTTTATTTAACTATTTGATGAGTCCCCGTTAATAGACATTTGGCTCTTTCCAATCTTGTGCTCCTACAAATAAGGTTGTAGTGTAAGTCCTTGGCTACCCACCAGGTTCTCTGCCTTGTCATTATAAAACCTTTGGGCTGGGCAACTCTTTGCTGTGGGGAGGCTCTTCTGTGAACTGCAGGATGTTTGGTGGCATCTCTGGCCCCAACCCCTAAGATGCCAGTAGCATCCTTCCCCCAGTTTGTGATGACCACAGATGTCCCTAGACATTGTCAAATGTCCCCTGGGGGACAAAATCACCCCAAGTTGGAAACAGCTGATTAAAAGGTTAAATTCTGAGATGTACAATTGCTGGATCAGGTGGTCTGTGCATTTCAAACTTTACAGATTTATATGGGGAAACAGGTACCCTTATATATTGTTTGTGAAAGTTTAAACAGAATTTGAACAGCCTTCCTTATTGTGTTTTCTTCTATCATACCATTTCCCTGGGTGCATGGAAGTGCCCTTTTCATCTTAAAATCAGTCTCATGAGTGGACTATCAAGTTGTACCTGGCCATGAGGAACGTTGTAATGAATGTTTAATACATAATTATTTGGATGTTGAGTGTGAAGTCAGTTCTGCTACTTACTGGGCTGTGTGATCTTGAGAATGTTAATTATTTCCATTGAGCCTCCATTCTTCATCTGTAAATGGGGATAATAATTGTTTTTACCTCATGGAGTTCTAGTGAGGATTAGATGGCATAAATACATATAAAGTTACAAGATTAGGCCTTAATACTGCTCAGTAAATGTTGACAGTATTTTTGTTATTATCCTTATTTTTTTACCAGTAATCTGGCTCTAGGGTTTGAGAGTGTTTATTTCACCCCACCTGCACCTGCCCCAGGGGTTACATATTTTTTTATGCTTGATTTTGCTCTCTCTGTGCCTTGATTAACCCTATCCTTGGACCTTACTTTTCCTCACAGATCCTGTTCTCGAACATTGAAGACATCCTGGAAGTTCATAAGGATTTCTTGGCTGCCTTGGAGTATTGTTTACGTCCGGAGCCTCAGTCTCAGCATGAACTTGGGAATGTTTTCTTAAGATTTGTGAGTGTGATGCCCCAGCCCCTGTTGGAGCTGGCAGCTCTTGGGAGGTGGGCTCTCTTCCAGGCCCCTGCCCCACCCAAGTTTGGCCAGCTTCCCCTGCAGGCCTCCCTGGGAGATGGAGAGACAGGGAGCGGGTGGGCCCTGCCTCCACCCCGGGAACAGTGGGAAGCGGCAGGCCCAGCAGACCTGGGGGAGTCTTAGTTGGCTCTCCTCCCCTGCAGCCTCATGTAGAGTATGGCCCCCCTTTTCCTCAGGGCTTCTTGCTGAGTGACTGCGTCCTGGGGTTCCCATGACCTCCTGGCCCGGCAGGGCCCTTCTGCCGCAGAATGGCCAACAGAGGCAGCCAGAGGCTGAGAGGGGTGACTCGGGTCACACACACCTGGGTTTGAGTCCAGGCTCAGCTCCCCACCTCCTGGGGAGGGTGTCTGACCCATGGGTGGCTGCTGGGACTGCTGGTCCGAGAGGCCGATGCTGCTGGGCTAGCCTCTCTTTGTTTGCCTGGAGTCACTAGGGGACACGCGGAGGAAGGAGGGCATGGGGAGCTCTGCGCACATGGAGCAACTGCTTCCGCAGCCCCTGTCTTCCTGCGCTGCCCAGGACCCTCCTCGCCAGGGGGATGCCTGCACTGGCGTCGTGCGCGTGAGGCTCGGGGCCAGCACCTGCCCTCTCCGAGCCTCGGTTTCCTCCTCTGATTGCGAAGTAGGGATAAGCATGCTTACCTCTTCGGGTTGATGGGAAGACCCCGAAGACCCTAGGAGATGAAGCAATAAACTCTGTGGGGGCAGCAGGGGCTTCCGGCTAGGGGCTGATTTTGCCACAGGGGACATTTGGCACTTTTGTTTGTCACACTCTGGTTGTGGGGGTGGGGGTGCTACTGGCTTCCGGTGGGTGGACTCACCTCAGATGTCAGCAGGGCTGACCCTGGGGGACCTTGGTGATAGTAAACACTTATTTCAGTTGTCATCACTCCCTCCCTGAGGGCTCACACCTTGGTGGGCAGAGTCTGGGATGGCCGAGCCCTCAGTACGGCCCCACGGAAGTGACCGTCTGCATTGTTAGAAGGACAGCGCCCCCGGTCAGGCTGCCAAGCTGCTCACAGGCTGTTACTCTAGAGTAAAATGCCTTAGTGACCTCGCCTGTAAAATGGGTAACAACTAGACCTAGCCCATGATGTTCAGGACTGAGATAAGGCAAGGGGAGTCAGAACAGCCCCTGGCACACAGCAGTGCTCAGTAATGTCGGCTGCTGTCCTGTTTACGTGGTCACCATGCCTCCATGCTTGGAAGAGGACAAGTACGAGAGCAAGGTGGGGTGCAGGTGCTCTGGGCCCTCACAGAAGGCGTCAAGCCGAGGAGAGACAGGATCTGCCTTGGGTTTGAAGAAGTCCTATGGCTGCTCTGAGGGACAGGACTCTATAGAGGGGATGTGGGGAAGCCACGAGACTGGGAGGAGGTTGCCAGCCAAGACAGATGGTGGTGGTGCCCCAGAGCAGGGTGGAGGCCATGGAGGTGGCGAGAAGGGGCAAGCGGCAATAGGGGTTCACTAAATGTTCTTGAATAGGAAAATAAACAGAATGGAGGGACAGTCATCCCTTTGGGTTCAGAGGAAACAGGGAGCCCTCATTCCTCTGGAGTCAGACTGCTTAGGGTCAAATCCCTGTTCCAGCCGAATGACCTTGGGCAAGTCACTTCCCTTCTCTGGGCCTCAGTCCCCAGCTCTGTAAAATGGAGGAATGAGAGAAGCCGCCGTTGGTGCTGTCTGGAGGATGACGTCGTTTGTGTGGTGAAGCATTTAGACCCGGCTCAGCACACAGCTGGTGTTGTGTGAATGTCGGCCCTGGGTTATCATGACAGCCGGGGTGCCAGGGAAGGCTTTTGTGGGGAGGTGGCATTCCTGGGGACTGGCCATGAAGGGATGACATCTGAGCCTAGAGTAGGATAGTCTGTACTTCAGCCACAGTGCAGAAGGGGTCCTCCAGGTACATTACCCACTTGCTGATGACCCCAGGCCCCCTGGTTTCCCTGGCTTCTCTGCCTGAGCCATGGAGGGTAGTAAGAAGGTTTAGCTCATTGGTCAGTGAGGGTCCCCGGATCCTGAGTCCCCCCTGGGGCTCCACCTCACTCTCTCTATGGGATTCCTAACTTGCTTGGGGATGCAAAGAAAGGGGAGCACGGGCAGTGGTGGTTTGGGGTGCAGGAGGTGACCTCTTCTCCATACCCGCTCCTTCTACATGCCTGGGGCCCTCCTCTGTAGCCTCAGCAGAGGGCGTCAGGGGCCTGGTGGGCAGGACAGACAGTAAACAGGAAAGGAGCAAAATCCAGTATGTCAGATGGTGGTAAAAGCCACACAGAAGGGTGGGAGAGTTATGATTTTAAACAGGGTGGGTGTGAGAGGGTTCATGGAGAAGGGGGCATCTCCGTGAAGACACCCAGGAAGTGAGGGAGAGACTGCAGAGGTGTCCTAGGGAAGCGGGCCAGGCGTCCAGTGCACTCAGAGGCCTGGGGTGGGGTAGGTTCCGTGTGTTCCAGACAGTGAGGAGGTCGGAGTGGTGGGAGTGAGGCCCTGGGAACAGGCAGCGCCTGGCAGGGTCTGACAGATCCCCAAGTGCCCAGAGAGCCCTGGGAGGTGCCAGAGAGCGCTGGGCCACACAAACAAGCGTGTACATAGTCCAAGGGAGTGAACTCTTCCCCAGTACTTAACTAACATACCAAGTGCTGGTACTTGTAGGTGGGTTTCACTTTCCCCATTTTTCAGACTGGGAAACTGGGGCACAGAGTGAGTGATGGCAGTTTAGAGGTATCATAGGGGGCCAGATGGCATAGAGATTTTATTCTAAGAGTTACAGGTTTTTGGAGGGAAGGAGTTTGGTCTGGGTTATGTTTAACCCCTTCTCCCTGCAACTGTGTGGCGAGGTGGATGACAGGTTGGGGAGACCCTTGCACAAGTGAGATGTTGGTCTCCTGCTTCCCTCCCCAGTGGAGATGTCTACATGGCCAGCTCCTTCCCTTCTCTGAGTCTCAGTCTTTTTGGGTATAAAGTGAGTGGTTTGGAACAGATGGTCTCCGTGGAGCCAGTGCCACTCCCTGGGTACTGCAGACAGCAGCCACCGCCTCTGACAGCCCTCGAGCCTTCCCTGGGGGCCGGACCCTCTCCTCCAGCTGTTGCAGCTGGTAGCTGTCCACCTCTCCTTCACAGCCCAGCCCCACAGCTACACGTTCCCCACCCACCACATCTGTGTGTACACAACTGTTTGTCCATTTCTTCCTGGCAAAGCAATCAAAACCTCATGTGGGGTGCCTAGGAGGAAACTGAGCACTTGGACTCTTGAGCTGTCAGAAGCAGCATTTCCCTATTTGCAGGGTCTTGGGCCTGAGATGCAGCTGGGGTTAGGCTCAGTGAAAGGGCACGGGAGTGATACACTGGGCATGGTTCTGAAGAGGGGGTGTTGCCATTTGTTAAATTTAACTTCTCCAAACTTCAAGTCTTGGGCCTCAGCCTTTTTCACAGGTTGAAGGAGAGGATGACCTTGAAGAGTGTTAGAGAAGGGGCTCAGGACATGAGGAATGACAAACCTGCAGCGATTTTATAATTCATTCCCCAGTCCTGCATCTGTGGCAGACATCGCTAATCAATCACAGCATTCTGCCTCTGTGCTCCTTGGCGGGGGGGGGGGTGTCCAAAATTCTTCTCACCAGTGTTCCAGCCAGCACTACGCATTGACTAGAGTTGGCATGTGAGACCGAACAGATTTGCCTCGCTTTCTGGTCTAACTTCTTCATGGTACAGATGGAGATAGGCAGGGAGACTGTCACCTCACAAGGGTTGTGTTCATTTATTATTTTCTTCCCCTTTCCAGAGTGTCCACCTATTAGAATGGTCTTTACTACAAAGACAAAAACAACAACTCAAATAGGTTTTAAAAAAAGACTTTATGGCTCATACAAATGAAATGTTCAAGAGTGGGTTGGCTGTAGGCATAGCTGGATCCAGGACCCCAATATGATGTTTTCAGGGCTTGGTCTGTATCTCTAGGGTCTGCTTTCCTCTGTGTTGGTTTCATTCTTGAGGGGTGGGAGGGGGAGTATGCCTCACATGGTGGCAGAGGTGACCCTCAACAGTTTCAGGCTGATACTCTGCCAGCTCAGCAATAACAGTTCTAAGAAATTCTCTCTTCACAATAATTCCAGCTTGAGTCCTTGAGGGCCCAGTTTGGGTCACTGTTGGCAGGACAGGGAGCTCTTTGATTGGTTTGGCCTGGATCATATACCCACCTGTGGTGCCTGGGAGTGGAGTGGGGTCCGTGGGCTCAGAGTATAGGAGGTGATTTCCCTGGAACTGTGGGCCAGGACCAGAATAAGGGGGAATGGATGCTGGGTAGGTAAATAACACATGCTCCAACGAAGAGCCGCGGCAGAGGCTGTGAGGACCAGGTCGTATGGAAAAGGTGTGGGTCTGGTCTGAGGGCTGTTGGGCTACTTTCAGTTCCTCCCTCTGCTTTCTTGCTCTTATTCATCAATTATCATGATGCCTGCTCTTTGCCAGGGACTCAGTCCCCACTGGCACCATAGCAGTGACCTTAGCAGATGCAAATCTTGTCCCCATGCAGCTCACATTACAGGGGTGGACAGGGGGAGATGGACAGTGCACAAATGAGAAGAGAGACATACAGGGAGTCAACGCCCACCATATTTCTCAAAATCTGGCTGGTACCTTCCCCTGGTGGCCTTCCCCAGACATACAGATCTGTCCAGCTTCCTCCTGACTCTGCCTGTTTCCTTTTTTGCCATCAAAACCTACTCATTCACTGTCCCATCCTGTCATAGACCTGTTCACCACTGGGATAATGAATTTGCTGAAATCGTGATGATGGGAGTAATAGCAGCAGCAATAACAGTAATGCTAGCTAATGTTTAATGAATACTTATTATGCACCATTTTAAGCAGTTACTATGAATTCACCTGATAATTTTCATAACAACCTTATGAAGGAGAGACCATTATTGTCCGTAATCTATAGAGAAGAATGCAGAGGCTCTGAAACATTATGGTCCTTGCCCAAAGTCGTAGAACTGGTGACCTGGAAAGTTGGGCTGTGAACTGGGTGGTCTGACGGCAGAACTTATAGTTATACTTACAAGGTTAATGCTGATAGTGATCATAGGGGCTTCTGGTGTCTTATCTCTGAACAGTACTAACAGCAGGGTCCATAGGCCCAGAGAAAGCCCAGACTCTTGGCTGCGAGCAGTTTTTTTTTTCCCCTAGATCTCCATACATATGGTTGGGACCTTGTACTTTTTTGTTCATGTGCCTGCATTCAGAACCCAGTCCTCCTTCTCCAGCCCTACGGGCCTTCTCGCCTTCTCTGCAGGAATGGGTCCCAGGCGTAGGCCAATGCCTATCACTACAGTAAGACAGGTGGTCTTCCTTTTCTCTGCAGTCAGCCTCACCATGATCTGCAGCCGAGGCCCTGGTTCCAGATGTGGCAGGTGTGTCAGGCAGCCTCCCTCACAGCTTTTTATCTGTGCCTGGGGAACCCCTGCAGTCCAGACTTCTTACCCATCTCCATTGGCCTTGGTGAGCCCCTGGGTTCATTGGAGACAAGTGGAAATAGAAAAAGCTTTGCTTGGGTGGTGTGGGGGCTGAGGTCCCTTCTTCTCCTTTCCTATCCTTGTGCGCATGTGTGTGTTAGTGTCTCAGTAGGCTGATGGGGAGATTGTAATTAGTGACTCAGTGTTTAATCTGTGTATATGGATATTGGTGGTGTTGTTAGGAGCATGTTGCTTGTGTTTTGTAATGCCTCAGGTTGTTCAGTAGTTCCTTGGAGTGTGGATCAGGGTTGTTTGTCCCACGGTGTGTGTATGTGTGTATGTACACCTTGGATAATTGTGACATTGTTTATTTTGGTATTTTTCCCTATTTACTCATGTTTATTGATTGTGTTTGTATTTATAACTAATACTTTTAAGAGTATTTTGAAATATTATATAATGTTCATTGTGTACCAGGCACTTTTAGTCTTTTTACATATATGAAAGTTATTTAACCTTCCAGCAGCCCAAGTAGTAGGAGTCTGTTATTATATCCATTTTATAGATGAGGAAACTGAGGCACAAGGATTGTAGCAGCTCGCCCAGGGTCACCACTACAGGGAGCACGGAGCTGGGTTTCCAGCCCAGGTGGTTTGGCTCTAGAGTTGCTCTGTGCACTTCCGTCATTTTCGGCAGTCCTCCTCAGAGCTTAGTTTGTAGATCTCTGGTTGAGATTTGTACCCTGTGTTTTTCTCCCACTTCCTGTGCTGTGACCTTGAGCTGGACATTGGAGTGGGGGTTAAGAGAGGTTGAATCCTGGTTCCTCCTTCTGTAGATGTGGGATCCTGGGCTCTTCACTTTTCCTTGGTTTTCTCATGTGTGAATGGGTTGAATATAGTAATTGCCACGTGAGGAGTGAATGCGTTTACCCTCATCCCAAGAGAGCAGAATGTGGCATGTACTAAATGCTCCATACACACTCTGCATGGGCTACTGGCTCTGGCCGTGGGCACTCTGCTGTTCAGGGTGTCTGCTCATAAGGTGCACACAGAGTCCCCACAGTGAGCTGGGGCAGGTTGGGGTGGCTTATTGATTCTCAAACCCATTCTCTCTCCTCTTTGGTTTCCTCTTTCCTGCATCAGCAGGAATAACTGGGGGCTTGTTTAGAAACAAGATGAGCTGTTTGCTTTGCAGACCCACCTCTTCCTTCCTTAGCTTCTTGGGGGTTCCCCTGCCCATCCCCCCAGCCCGAGGTCACTTCCCTTCAGCTCTTTCCTCTCCAGTAGCCTTACCCAGGACATCCTTGTTTGGGTGAGTTGGGAGGTAGTGTTCTATGTCGGAACTGAGAATGTCAGGGGAGAGCTTCCTGCTAAGAAGGCTTCGGTCCCGGAAATCCTGACTGATGGTCACAGACCTGGTGACCCACAGGTGACCTCTAGCTGGAAGGAGTCCAGCTTTGGGCTCAGGGGCATCTGGAGGTTGTTAGAGCTATCCCCCTGCCTCAGGTCTGGCACTGCTGTGGGGCAGCAACCAGAGATCTACTTGTTCCTCCAAATTCCAGAGCTTATCTAGACTCTTCTGGTTGATGTATACAGGACACATATACACACATAGTAGTGTATAAAGTCCATTCATTTAACAAGTATTCATTGGGTGCCTACTGTGTGCCAGGCATTGTGCTAAGATCTGGAGATACTGCAGTGAATTAGATGGATGTGGTCGTCAGGGAGCCACCTGCCAAGTGGGAAAAGATAGGTGATAAACAAATAATCTGGATAATTCCAGACTGTGAGAACAGTGTAAAGAAAATGAATACAGGAGGACATGTGTGATAGAGAACACCTGGTTGGCTACTTTAGCTAGGGTAGTCCTGGTATGATTTGAGGAGGTGGCATTTGAGTTGAGACCTGAATGGTGGGGAGGAGCCAGGTCTGAGGAAGAGGCATTACAAGTAGAGGGAATGGTAAATGCAAAGGCCCTGAGGTAGGAACAGGCTTGGCAAATTCAAGGAATGGATAGGAGGCCAGTGAGACGAAGCTAGAGAAGGGCTGGATCACATTATTTGGCCCTTGAAGGTCATAACAAAGCATTGGATTTCATTCTTCATGTAATAGAATGTTATTAGAGGGTTTTAAACAGGGGGTTGACATGTTTTATTACTAGAGATAGACATTTATTAAACACTTTATGCTGGAACCTCGTGTTTTAATCCTCATAACAACCCTGTGAGTTAGGGACTATTATTAACTCTACCTTACATATGAGGAAACCAAGGCACAGAGAGGTTGGGTAACTTGCCCAGGTTCAAACCTGGAAATGCAGATCCAGGATTCAAGCCCAGGGTGGTTGGTTTGAGTCTGTGCACTTGACCCTGGGCCTTGCTGCTTCCTGAAAGGTCACTGCTAGGTGCAGGACTGAGGCAGGAGTGGAGGCTGAGGGCCCCGTAGCAAGTGGGAGCTCCTTTACCTGAAATCCCTGCTGCTGTGTAGTCTCTTGGGGTCTGAGGTAGCCCTTTCCTCCCAGGCCTGCTGGGCTGGCTGTTGAGTGTCCACCTTCCTGCCATGACCTGTCTGCCACAGGCTCTGTCCTTGTCTTGCAGAAGGATAAGTTCTGCGTGTATGAGGAATATTGCAGCAACCATGAGAAGGCCCTGCGGCTGCTTGTGGAACTGAACAAGATCCCCACCGTGCGTGCCTTCCTGTTGGTAAGTTTATTTGTCACTGCTGCCTCTCCTCCTACTTGGCTTCAGCTTTGTGAGTTCCTGGGCCCAAGAGAGCTTCATGCTGACCCAGGCTGCCTGATCCCTGCCTCAGCTGGGGTAAGGCTTGGATCAGCCAAAAAAAAAAAGAGAATTCACTGGTTTACTCTTCTAGGAAATTTAAGACCTCAGAGGGCTTCAGGCACAGCAGAATCTGGGTATTCAAATAGCGTCATTGAGCATGTGTCTCTTGGCTCTGTCTGCTTTTCTCTGCTTTGGCTCCATTCCCAGAACAGCTGTCCCCAAGTGGTGGCAACATGGCCTCCAGCAGCTCCAGGCTTATACCTCTCAAATCTGAGCAACTCCAGGATGAAGAGATCTCCTCTTATTGAATGGTAACAGCAGAAGTCCTGGATCTGATGCTCATTGGGTTAGCTGAGCTCAAGACCCTATCCCTGAACCAACTGCTATGGAGAGAGGGTTTGGTTGGTACTCTGATTGGCCACCCCTGGGGCTGGAGGGCGGGGCCAACTCCACCTGTACCACAGGCTGTTAGGGGTGGGGTGGATCCCTGAAGGACAGTGGGATTGCACTGGGGAAGCAAGCTGGGGACCCACCCTCTCAGGCAAAATAGTAGACATCCATGACGGTCTTCTCTACAATTGCAGAGCTTCACTTCTGTATAAAAAGGTTCTTATTTGTGATTTCTTTGGAACTTTGCCCACCACTAACCATTGTGTATGATTCAAGATACACATTCGTCTGCTTTGCAGACATCCCAAATAACAGTGGTTTAAATAAGGCAGACTTTTATTCCCCTCATGTGACAAGGTGGATGTAGACAGTCTGGGGCTGGAATAGAGGCTTTATCTCATGTCAGGGGCCATGGCCCTTGTGTGTGCCCTCATCAACATGGTCTAAGATGACCTCTCGCCATTCCCACGTTCCAGGTAGTGGGGTGCAAGAAGAGTGAGAAAGAGGGCCTGCTCTTCTCTTTCTAGGGGCATAGCAGGAAGCTGCACACATCTCTTCTACTCACGCCCAGAATTTAATCACATGACTGTGCCTAGCTGCAAGGGCAGCTGGGAAATGTAGGCTTTATTCCGAGCAGCTGTATGCCCAGCTGGAAATTCTGCTGCTATGGAAGAATACATTAGGGGACACCATACAGCCTTTGCCGCAGGTGATTCTGATGACTCTAAAATATGAAGTGACTGTCTTGAGAGTACACTCTCGAAAAGTGATTGTGCTGCTCATGGGTTTTAATCCTGATCTTTTACCTCTAAGTCCCCTGCTCATTCAGTCAAAGACCAACACCTCCCTCCCCAGCCCCGTACTGTTTTATTTCCCGACAGCACATAATGAATTTCGCACACAGAAGTAGAACAGTTAACTGACAGAGCATAAGAGGTACTAACGATGTGCTCAGAGAGCTGCACTCCATAATAAAATTCTTAATTATACTTCTCCCTAAAGCACAGCTTCCAACAAAGTAGTTTCAGAATTTTGATTCAAAATGTTTGTTTTCTGCCCTGGTGCGTTCTTGTTGCTTGGCCCAGTTCCAACGAGCATCTGAGAAGGGCAGAGTGGTTGACCAACTTCCACGTCCATTTGAGCTGTCCTAAACGTTTGAGGTGCTGTTTTTTTTGTTGCTGGTATCTGCATCTTTACCCCCATTTCACACTTATATATTCGTAAGAGTCCGGGCAAACAAGCAAAGAGAAAGTCAGATGGCATAAGACCACGCACATGGCCATGTTTCTGCGATGTTGACCTTTCTGCAGCGACCCTCTGTGGTAGTCCTGCTGCCCAGGCTCGAGGCTTCCCCACTGAGGGCCCCTCCCTCTGGGGGGTGTCCCCTTTGGCTCAGCTGGGTATTGGGAATCAGGAAGAGGCCAGGAAGGCATTTGCACAGGTGTGGTAAGGGAAGGGCCTCAGTCGCAGTTTTTCTTCCCTGCTTTCCTCTCTCCAGCCTTCCTGGGCTAAATGGCCGTTTTCCTAGCAGCAGCAGAGTGGGACTGGATTGCATGGGGAGAGGATGTGTGGAGTGCCAGCACGTGTGCCATCTTTCTCCCTCCACACTGGTGTCTTCCAGCTTTGGGCCACCAGCAGAAGACTGACTGGAGTCTGTTATGGGATGTTAAGCCACTGGGAACAGATGGATTCTGGCTTTCCATTCATGATGTGCTGAGAGATTGGGTGGCGGCTTCATCATTCTGTGACTCAGTTTTCTTGTCTGTAAAATGGGGCTCATTTATTCATGCAACAGTTTCTTATTGAGCACCTACCTAATATGGTAGGGATGGTTCTAAGTACTGGGGATACAACAGTGGCCAATGCAAGAAAAGGCCCATGCTCTCCTAGAGTGGCCATTCTAGTAGGGGTGACTGACAAGATATGTCATGTGACACTAAGTTCTCTGGAATTAAAGCAAGTTAAAGATGACAGGATGTTTTGAGGAAGTTAGGGTAGTGGCTGCTATTTTAGCTTGGTCTTTGGGAAAACTGTGTCTTAGGTGACATTTAAGCAGAAACTTGGGTAAAAGTAAGAGAAAAAGGCATGGTGTATCTGTGAAGAAAGCATTCTAGGTAGAGGAACTGTAAGTGCAAAGGTCCTGAGGTAGGAGTGTGTTTGAGGAATAGCAAGAAGGCAGGGTGGCTAGAATAGAGAGTATGAGAGGAAAAGTGGAAGAAATGAGATCAGAAAGATTGAGGCCACATAGTGAAGGTGCATGTAGACAACGGACAGGATCTGAGATTTGTTACAGGCTTTTTTATTGCAGTATAGTGTATGTGTAGTAAATGTGACTCACAGAGTGACACCTCAACTGAATCAAGTCTGTGAATTAGGATGTTTAAAGAGATAATTCTCACAAGTTCCTCCCATAATGCCTGGAGTGTAATCTTACTAGAATAGTGAATGGCAGGTCTTTGTGTGTTTGATTTTTTCAAAAAATGAAAATAAAGGGAAACAATAGTCTAGAGTGTTTGGAGAGAAGTATAGCTGGTGGCTGTAACAGTTCTGTGAAAACTCCTTAGTCCTAGACCAAAAGATGGTCCCTTCTCCTGCCAAGCCCTGGGGGCTTCTGGAAATCAGTCCCCTACCCCCAGGCTCCCCTTTTTCTGCCCAGAGCTGACATCACCAGGGCAGCTTGTGGTGAGCGCTGGCTCGGCGGACAAAGGTCTGAGTGTGAGCATTGTGGGGCCTGGCATCTCCCAGCTGCCGTGGCCTGATCCCCCATCTGTGCCAGGGGTAGACATGGGTGGGGGGCAGTGGTGGGGAGCCATGCAGCTCCTGCCAGAGCAGGGCCCCAGGGTGCCTGGGTTCTGCTTCTCCAAGGAGAGGGCACAGTAAGGTCCCTGGAAGGCAGTTGCTCTGAGTCTTGGACCAGTCCTTGCGGCTCTCTGGGCCAGGTCTCCATGTGTAACAGGGAGATGATGGTCCATGCTTATCTTAGGGCTGTGACATTGAACTTTACGTATAGGTGAAGTGTGAGCACAGTGCCTAGGGGATGGTAAGCACATGATAAATGTTCTCTGGTATTATTTTCACTGTCTGCTGTGATGGGCAGTTTTGCCAGGGCTTGGAACTGTGCCCAGCACGTAGTAAGCACACAGTATGTATTTGTAGAATGAATGAATGACAGAGGGAATCCCTCTTCCCAAGAGTCCTGTTTTGTTTCCAGTCTGCTAGCATGGTGTTGAGGAGGAAGGTTGAGACCCCTTCATTTCTGCGTGTGCTGCCAGTTTGTTCATTCGGTCATGCCTCCCTGGGTGCATGGTGAGGCGCATGGTGGGGGACCCAGTTCACTTTCTAAATCCTGCTCCCCTCCCTCTACAGAGGTAACCCCCACTAGAATTTGTTTTCTTTCTTTCCCATACATGTCATTCTATTTTACTATAGCTGTGTTCTTCTCAAACAATGCCTACTTCTGTTTTGCATGTCTTTAAAAGCTGTGTATAAGTGGGTTGATACCATACATATCCTTTTTCATTCATACCCGTTTCTTTTTTTTTTTTTTGCTTGAGTATGCTTGAAGTTCACATGTGTTGCTATGCATAGCTTTACTTTTCCCCTTTTCACTGCTGTGTAGTGTGGCATCATAGAAATTTACTGCAAACATATTTTTCCATTCTTTAGTTGATGGATACTTAGGTTGCATCCCATTTTTTTGTTATTCCAAAGAAAGCAGTTTTTAATGTCCGTGATCCTGTGTCCTAGTGTGAATATGTGAAAGTTACTGTAGACCAGGGTTAACAAACTTTTCCATAAGAGGCCAGATGGTATAAATTTTAGGTTTTGTGACTAGATGGTTTCTGTTACAACGGCTCAGCTCTGCCGTGACAGCTTGGAGGCAGCCGTATACAATACATAAACAAATGGATGTGGCTGTGCGCCAATAAAACTTTAATTACCAAAATGGGGAGGGGGCAAGATTTGGCCCATGGGCCACAGTTTGGCAACCCCTGGGTTTGTGCTGGGTTGTAGAATATGCACATTTCCATCTGTCCTAAGTATTGCTAAATTGCTTCCAAAGTCTGTCGTTGTGTTTTGCGAGTGCTTCCGTGGCTGTTTGAGGGTGGCCAAGTCCCTGTGCCATCCTGGGCATGTGTTCATGAAGGTGTCCTGTCCCTTTGCAGAGCTGCATGCTTCTGGGAGGCCGGAAGACCACGGACATCCCCTTGGAGGGCTATCTGCTGTCCCCGATTCAGAGGATCTGCAAATACCCCTTGCTCCTTAAGGTGAGACATTCTCCCAACTCCCTTTCCGTGTATTTGAAGTGACAGAAAGCCCAGCTCTGACTGGCTTAATTAAAAAATAAACCTTGTTAGTTCAAGCAGCTGAGAAGTCTAGGGGCAGTGTTGGCTTTGTGGGGGCTGGATCCTACCTCTTTCCCCCTTGTGAAGTTCTGCTGTTCAGCTTTATTTTTAGTGTGGTAACATATGGCTGTAGTTTACTCTGGCCTCATACCCTCTGAAGTTCAAGGACAGTGGGAAAGAATGAATTTCTCTGCTAGTAGCTCTGACATAAGTCATGGACAAGAGAAGGTGATATTCTGAATGGTTTGGACCTGAGTCAGGTAACTTCATTTGAACCAATTACATGAAACTTTTGCTCGTGCCATTTATACTCTCCCTATATAGTTAGACTTGGCTTTACCTCAGTCCCTGTGAGCTGGGCAGTGTTGGGCTCTGACTGGCTGAGATCAGGGTCACGTCCTCCAAGCCTGAGCAAATGAGCCCTCATTGGTGCAGACTTGTGTCACGTGCTCCAGCCTCTAGCCAATCGCCAAGCCACAAGCTGGTGCGTGTAGTTACAGGCACAATCTGAGCTGTCTGTGGAAGGAGGCAGGAGGTGCTGGGTGGACAAACCACAACCATCCACACACCTGCTGTCCCCTTCATCGTTCAGCTGCCTCTGACGTAGTCTTGGTCAAGCAGACCAGGGGACGATTTGCTGTTTGTATGGCCACCCAAGAAGTCTTGAATTCTCAGCTCCAGAGCCGGCTTCTGGGTAGATCCTCAGCTGGGTGGATAGCTCTGCCACCATTCGCTGCTCTCATCCCAGGGTTTTCAGTCCTTGGAAAGGGTGGCCGTCGGCCCGGGTGTGCCCTGCCTCTATCCTGAAGGTCTTGCATCTGATGGCTGTTCCCTGGGAGCCTGCTGGTGGTTGATTTGGTTGGTCATGCTTCATTCCCACTCCTGCCCACTGGGCCGCATGGCTCCTTGCTCCATGGACTGGAAGGGAGACGGGAGGGGAAGAGTACTTGAGAATTCTTGATCTTGACTTTCTTCAGGAGACAGTGAATGGATTTTGAGCCTTGGAGATGGATGGTCCGTGGGCCATCAGCTCTGCCTGTGCATGCAGGCCTTCGATGTGTGCCATGTGTGCGGCCTTGGCAGAGGGGCCCCACTCTCCCTGCCCCTCCTCCACCCTGCTGCTCTTTCTGTCCCCCAGGGGTCTCAAAAGGCCCTTTTGCACTTGTTCTTGCCACTGCTTTGGTCCCTAAACAGGTGCTGAAATGCCCTGTGCAGCTAGCTCTTCACCTCGGGGCAGAGGAAGCTCCAGGTAGAATTTGGGAATTGGCAGCCTGTGGATTGAGCTGGACCTGCAGATGTGCTCCATTTGATCTGTTTGGTGTGTCTTCCAAACCTGAATTCGTTGCCAGCATTTAAGAGGTAGCGTTCTGTAGCGGTTTAGGGCAGGGGTTGACAAAACTGTGGCCCGTGAGCCAGATCCAGCCCATGGCCTGTTTTTGTATAACCCATAAACTAAGCATGGTGTTGGTGTTTTTTAAAGGGTCATCAAAACCCCAAGAACAAAGAAGAATATGTGACAGAGCCCGGATGTGGCCAGCAAAGCCTGAAATATTTACTGTCTGGCGCTTTAAGAAAAAGGTTGCTGACCCCTGGATTCGAGCCATGCTGTGCAGCCATAGGCTGCCAGTGTTTGAATTCTAGCTCTGCCATGTACTAGCTGTACTGCCTTGGGCAAGTCACTTCCCCAGGCCCTAGTCTCTCACCTGTAATCCAGGGTTTGTCTTGATAGTACTGACAGGGTTATGAATGACTGAACATTTATTCATTTACTTCTTAGAGCAAATGGATGAGATAGGCTCTGTGATCAGCCCCATTTTAGAGAGAGGCAGCTGAGGCACAGATGAAGGGGTGACCTGTTCAAGGCCACACGTTGAGGTACGTGGCGGGGACCAGGACTGAGCCTGGGCAGGGCTGCCCGCTAACCATTACACTTCCCCGCCTTGTTGAGAAGCACTGTGCAGAGTTAAACTGCCAAAGCACTTGGGTGTTGGGGTGCTGACCCCTCAGTTCCCTAGGTGCTGGTGGCCTTGTGTTTTGTGGCTCAGTGGCCGGTCTGCTCCTTTTCCCCCTGGATTTCAAAACCTTGAACATCTGGCCCAAGAGAAGAACCTCTAGCTCTAGCCTCAGAACCCAGCCAAGGGCTCCTTTGGTATTAAGTCTTTAGTTTCTGGATCTTGGAAAAGTCTGGGGTCTCAGCAGGTACTCAGAGTGGTGGCTTCTGTAATGTATTTTCACAACCAGTGGGGCTGGACCTGTGTGTACAGGTGGACTCTAAGCTCTTGACATGAGAGGCCCAGAGGTTTCTGAGGCCTGCATAGCCCCAGTGCCACACTTTGCTCCAGAGGGATTCTTGGGTTCTGGGTCCCCAATAGAACAGAGAAAGAGGGACAGAACTGGCTGGTAACCAGTGAAGCAATAACTGCCCACAGGAAACGATGATGAAGCTGGCCTATGGCTTTGCTCTCCCGACCAAATGCTGTTTACATGCCCCGTTTCCTCCACCCCCAGCTGTGGTTACTGGGGGCTCAGAGAACACTGGGGGACCAGCCAGCAAGGCCTTAGATTCCTGTGGGGGGCATGCCATGCTCCCTGCCCGAGCGAAGTGCTCAGAGTGTCCTGGTCTTTGGCACTCACAGCTGGAATGTTTGCATCAGAAAACAGCTGGGACTGAGGGCACCTCTTCTACCCCTCCTGAGTTCCTCCTTTCTGTCACATTTTCCAGTGGATTTTAAAAGGCGGTCTCATGAGCTTAGGGCAGCTGAGCCCAAACCCTCCGACCTCCTCCCGCTCCTGCCCTTCCAGCTCCGACATCCTAGCAGATGTCCCCCTGGCCCTCTTAGCCCCCTTGTTCAAGCTGAACTATGAATGCTGTAGGCGGACAGGGTGGAGGAGCCTGGGCGCGATGAGGGAAGAGGCAAGAATGAAAGCCTCTTTGGGAACAGCCCCAAAAAGCTGAACTTGAACACTGACTAAGAATAGCCGGAACATTCTATTTCAGCCTTCAGCCCAGGCTTGGGATAGACAGTTGGCATTTTCAGACTTTGTTGAGTTTTCCATTCATGTTTCCAGGGAAATGATTCAGGTTTGGGGTAATGCCCCTGGTACTCAAAGGGCAGGGGCCCTCGGGGAGACGGACTGTCACTGACCCTTTTCTTTGTTTTCCTGGTGACGCGTAGAACTTACTGGGGCACCAGCTGCTGGCTCGGCTCAGGCCCCACAGCCATGGCAAGACAGGCTTAGTCCCTGCCCCTCAGGGCTTCCTGTCCTGGCCTGGGCCCCTGGAGGGCCGGGTACAGAACAGAAGCAGGTTGAGGCGATGGGGGGCAAAGTGGAGGGGCGTCTGTCTAAAGGCGGCAGCTGCCACTCCAGCCCCCTGTTCCCTTTGCCTCCTACCTCCCCGGCCCCTTCCCAGTCTCCCTTGCTGGTCCTCACCTTCCAGACTCCTAAATGCAGGCAGGCCCCAGGTCTCAGTCGTTGGACATTTTCTGTGCCTAGACTTGCTCTTGTGGTGGCCTCATCCACTCTGTGGTGCCCCCCCCTACTCCCAGGTTTGGTGGGTCTTCCAAACCTGAATTAGTTGCCAGCATTTAAGAGGTAGTGTTCTATAGTGGTTTAGGGCAGGGGTTGACAAAACTGTGGCCTGTGAGCCAGATCCAGCCCATGGCCAGTGTATTCAAAAGTTGTGCAACAGTCACCATAATAATTTTAGAATATTTTCATCACCCCCACAGGAAACTCTGGACCCATTAGCAGTCACTTCCCTTTTCCCTCCCACCCCCTGCCAGCTCCTAGCAACCACTCATCTACTTCCCATCTATGTGAATTTGTTCATTCCGGACATTTCATATCAATGGAATCGTCTAACATGCAGCCTTTGTGTCCGGCTTCTTTCACTTAGCACAGCGCCTTCAAGGCTTATCCATGTGGTAGCGTGTCTCACACCCTCATTCCTTTATATGGCTGAGCAGCTTTCCGTTGTATGGATAGATCACGTTTTGGTTGTCCCTCATCGGGTGATGGACGTGCGGGTTGTTTCCACTTTCGGGCTGTGAGGTATAATGCTGCGGTGCCCCTCCATGTACGAGTAGTCGTGAGGCTAATTCCTCAGCTTTGAGCCCCCATCTCTGTGCCGATGGCTGTGGCGCTCTCCTCTAAGCTCCGGACTTGCTCCCCTGCCCCCTCGGCGTCTGCACTTGGATCTCTAAGCAGCCACTCTTACCTAACGTGTCCAAAACCAGATGCTTGGCTCTTCCTGTCCCCCAGGTCTGCCTTGCGTCTCCCCGCGTCTCCTCCACCTCCTCGTTTCCGTCTCCATAAATGGCCTCCCCTTCTCTCTGGTCATTTAGGCCAAACCTGGGGCTTGCCTCTGGCTCATGCCCACATCCAGTCTGCTGGAGGCCCCACTGGCTCTATCCTCCGAACCTATCCAGAGCCCACCTTGCTCCTGGGCCACTGCTGCAGCGCCCAGTGGGTCTCCCTGCCTCTCCCTGGTCCTGTGCAGTCTCTTCTCAGCTCAGCAGCTAAACTCAAGTCAGTTCACGTCACTTCTTCACTCAGAACCCTCCAGCAGCTTCCCGGTCCCTCAGATCAAACCCACATTCCTCACCTCTCTGCTGCCACCTGGAAGATGCTCCCATCTAATCTCTGTGTCCTCTCTGACCTCCTCTCCTCTCCCTGTCCCTCGCTCTGCTCTGGCTGCACTTGCCTCCTTGCTGTTCTTTGAACACAACGAACAGGTTTCCCAGGACCTTTGCACTTGCTGTTTCCTCTGCCTGGGGCATCCTTACCCCAGGTATCCTGAGACTCATTGCCTAGTCTTGTCAGGCCTCTGCTGCTCAGATGTCCCCACTTTGGAGAGGCCTGTCCTGACCTCCCAGCTGTAGAACCACTGCCTTTGCCATCTCTGTCCCCTCACCCTGCTTTTACTTCACTTCGCAGCACCTCTTGCAAGCTCACGTTCTGTCTGTAACTCAGGTGTACGGGTCGCTTCTCCATCTCCCTCGTTGGGATGTCAGCTCTGCCAGGGCCGGGATGTGGCTCTAAAGTGTGTTGCTGTTTCCCAGTGACCAGAATGGTGCCTGGCACATGGCAGGCACCTTCCAATTATTCATTGAATGACTATGGAAAAATGCCACACGGGTCTTGCCCACTGTTTCTGGATCATGAAATTGGGACTTTTATGTGAAAATCCCTGATTTCCAAATGTCAATTTGATTCAAAACTTGTTAAACCTCCTGGGCCAGACAGGGTGCGTCCTGGGACTAGTGTGGCTGGGAGAGCTGCTCTAGCAGGCTTCTGCCCAGAATGCTTCCTACAGAGCGGCTGCTCGGTGCACAGCCTTGGGGCCCTGCATAGCCTCCCGTGGCTCCCGCACCTCCCACATCTGTCTGTGGGTAGCGCAGCTGTCGCCCACACTGTGAGGACCTTGACGCTCAGGTGTTAACCTCTGTCTCCTTGGCAGTCAGGAGGGGGACATCCCTGGGGGTGGACCGTGCTTGATGGGTATCAATTCTTGGTGCAAGGGGAGGGCTGAGGGTGGTGCAGTGTTCCCCAGAGTGTGCGATATGTACTGTCTCAGAGCTCTCCAAAGGGTTTTGGTGGCACATGAGAAAACTTCATGGGTGGTGGCTGGTGGGGAAGGGGAGAGGCCAACCCTGAAAAGCGGTGTGTCGCTCAGTGACACCATTACTTTCTTAGCAAATCCCTTTCAGTCTTCCTGAGTAGCTGCAGGAGAGAGGCATGGTCACCGCTGCCATGTCTAGGGTTTCTGAAGCCCTTCATTCATTCACCAATCATTTATTGAGCAGCTATTATGTGTCAGGCATTGTACTATGTGCTGAAGGTGCTCAGTGAAAACTGCCCAAATCCCTACCTTAGTAGAATTGAGATTCTATTGGGGGATGGGGAGACAAGGCAACAAATGAGTGAATAATAAATGTATATGCTCATATATGTGGGTAGGTGCTGTGGAAAAACTACATCAGGCTATGGGCTAGGAGTGGTGGACAGAGAAGGTGACATTTGAGCAAAGACCTGAAGGAGGCCACACAGGTATCTTCCAGTTAGAGGGAATAGCCAGTGCAAAGGCCCTGAGGCAGGAATATGTCTGAGGAGCAGCAAGGAGGCCAGTGTGACTGGGAAGGAGGATGTGAGAGCAAGTGGGGAGTAATGGGAGGTGAGGGGGCAGATTAGGCAGGGCCTGTGGGGTCTTTGTCTTCTCAGTGAGGTGGGCACCACAGGAAGGCTCTGAGCAGAGGAGGGGCAGGGTGTCACTTCGTGCTGATGGGGTCCCTCTGGCTGTCTGGAGAATGGACTCTGGGTGCTGCAAGTGGAGGCGGAGAGACCAGGCAGTTGACTTCAGTGGCCCAGGTAGGAGACGGCTGGGCCAGGGCAGTGGCAGGGGGGGCATTTTATGAGAATTGCCTCTTCATGTCATTTGCCCACTTCCTCGTGGCTAGTTGTCTCTCGTATTGATTTGCCAGAGCTCTTCCTGTGTTGTTCTGGACCCCATGGGTCATCTCTCGGAGGTCATGACTGACTCTGATGTTAGGAGATGAACTCCTCTTCTGCCAGGTTCCTGTCATCAGCATCCTGCTGAGAAGGCACAGGAAGTCAGAGGTCTCCTAACTGTGGCTCCCTCTGCCCTGGCTCCTGTCCTTGCCCAGCCACGGTGCCCGCCCCATCTCCTGCCTCTCGGGCTGAGCGCTGACACCCTGCCCACAGCGGCACCAGCTCCCAGCCTGCATCAGCCCCCGTTTGGGCTCCTTCCTGTGTGGTGAGCAGCAAGAGCTGGGGGGTGCTCGACAGCCGAGGCGCCCTCCCTTCAGTTTGGGAGACCTGCTCTCACCTCTTCCTTTCACAGCTTCCTGTCACACTGTCCTTCCCTTACCATGAGTGTATTCACCACTTGAGGCTATTATCTGTCCCCACTTTGCCCATGGGAGCACCTTTCCCAGCTCAAGGCTGATTGCTGGCCCCACAGAGAGGCTGCATCTCTGTCTTGCTTCTCCTTTGGTGAATCCTGGGGAACATGGCAGGTGCTTAGTAAACCCTTGGGGTCCTGATGTTGCAGAATATCTGGGTCCCAGGACCATTAGGACCTGCTCTCCAGGAAAGAGATTGTTTTCAGGCAGAGCAGCAGTGAAGTCAATAGAGAAGGGATGTCTTTGGAGTTGGTTTATCTCAGGGAATTCTCAGAGCAACACCCAGGCATGGCAGATCGCCTCTCAGTGTCCCAGCGAACACGCACTGTCACACAACCAGAATGACAATGGGCAGCATAGACTGTGTGCTCACCCGGTGTGTATTTGCCATGGAGGTATTTTTCCTACAGTGTCCGATCTACCCCTCACCATGACCACAGGCAGAACCAGATAGCCAGGTTCAAATCAGGATTCTTCCTCTTACTACTTGGAGGCCTTGAGTGATCCCGCTGTGCCTCAGTCTCCTCCTCTGTTAAGTGGGGTAGTAACAGAGCCTGCCTCACAAGCACAGAGTAGAGGCCCACTGGCCTAACTGCTGCCGTCATCACCACTTTCCTCACCATCACTGGTTTTCAGATGGTGAAGCTGACGAGCAGTGTTGAGGGTGACTGGCCCAAGGTCACCTGGCTGCCGAGGGCAGATCCAGCCCTGGCACCCACATGCAGCTGTGCTAGGAGCCAGCACACATCAGAGTGTCACATCTGTGATTTTCCAGGGAGCAGAAAGATGGGGGACATACAGGAATTGTTGGGCATGTCTGGCTCAGATGATTAAGGAAACTTAACTCTGCTGTCGATTGAATGATTTGGCCTGAAAATCTTCCCTTCTGAAATTGAGGCCCAGCTGGTCCCTTCTTCCTCAGTTCCTCTCCATCACACTCACTGTGGGGCTGAAGCCTTTTGGTTAAGGTGGGCCCGGCCTTTGGAATGTCCCAGCTTGTGCTTGTGGGGAGGGCTGAGGGGTGGTGGGCTGAGGGCTGTGGACTAGGAGCCTCCCCCACTGTTCTGGCCTTGTCCCTGTGAAGGCATGGTGTTTTTATACCTACTTTACAGATGAGTACACCAAGGCTGAGGGGGGGCCAGCATTTGTGGCCTCCTCTCTGACATCTGAATCTCTCTGCTGCTCTTGCTCTCGTTTATTCCCCTCCAGCCGCACCTCCTCCTCACTGTTCCTGCCGTGTACCACGTGCGCTCCCACCTCAGGCCCTTTGAACTTTCCCCTCTACATGGCACACTTTTCCCCAAGCTCTTTTCAGGACTCCCTCCCTTGCTTTATCCAGAGTCTCTGTTCAGATGTCAGCTCCTGAGAGAGGCCTCCTCGGGCCTCCCTGTTTGAAAGGACACCTCCCTTCCCAAGACCTTCTGGCCTCTCATTGATTTATCTTCACTGTATTTGTCACTGCCTGAGATTGTATTATGTACTTGGTTTTCCTTTATTTTGGCTCATGTAGTAGAATGAAATGTCCACCAGGTGAGGCATTTCTCTCTGTTTTATTAGCAGATTTATCCCCAGACCCTAGAACACTACCTGCCATGGCGGAGGTGCTCAGGGGACATTTATTGAATCAGTGAATGAATGAATGAATGAGCGATGTTCCCAGCCCCAGATCATAGTTTGTACATAACAGGCTGGACTTGGCTCAGGGCAGGTGATCTGGAGGCTGTGTTTGGTCCCCTCTGGGTTGATGTCTCTCCTTGCTACCCCACCTCTACCCTAGGAGCTGGCCAAGAGGACCCCCGGCAAGCACCCGGACCACCCTGCAGTCCAGAGCGCTCTGCAGGCCATGAAGACTGTCTGCTCCAACATCAATGAGACCAAGCGGCAGATGGAGAAGCTGGAGGCCCTGGAGCAGCTGCAGTCCCACATCGAAGGCTGGGAGGTGTGTCTGGCGCAGGAGGCCTTCCGGCCTGGAGAGGGCCCAGGGCTGCAGAGCTGCAGGTTCAGACTGTAGTCTGGGTACCAGATTCCGCCTGCAGTGTATTCTGTTTGGCCTACATGGTCTTCCCAAAGAAAATTGTTTAATTATTTTCTGAAAATTAAGTCCACGTTAAAGTCTGAATTTCAAGTTTCTCTTGAAAAATTGGTACCACTGGCTCTCATTTTCTACAGTAACAGCCCCTGGAGCCTCCAGTTTTCCCCACCACCCCCATCAGTCCCCTGTCATTCTCTTTCACCTGTTGTCTTATCTGTCTTGTGTCCACAGGCCTTTGAGCTTTAGATGCCAAGATCAAGGGTAGTGTTTAAGGGTCCACTCCAGGACAGAATTCTGGCATTGACACTCGCTTGAGGGTGACTTTAGGCAAATGTCCTAACTTCCCTGAGCTTCTGTTCCTCATCTCTCCCCGGTACAGTAGGTTCTCAATAAATGGTAGATACAAAGTCCCTGCCATCACGATGACCAGGGATGGGATTCTTGGAAACTTCTCGTGCATAATATGTTTGTTTAAACCTCCATGTGTTCCTTAGATTATCAAAAATTTCCTACAAATCTGTTGAAGGAAATGGGAAAATCTGAATAAACAAAAAAGTCAGTATCAGAGTAAATACAGCTGGAATGGGAGATTAAGAGCAACGATGAAAGACTCAGGCACAGATTGTTCTCGGTATCCTTTGCCTTAAGTTCTTTGGATTTTCTGGCACTTGGCTAGGTTTGGGATTTCTACTTCTTTTCCCTGCACCAGGAGCCCTAAATGTGACTCCATATCACTATGAGGTTGAGGGTTTGGCTGCAGAGGAGAGGGCACTGTGTTTAGGAAGGAGGTGGGTGTTGTGGATCAGCACCTGCCGTGCACCCACTGTCCTTCCCCTGGGCCTTCCTGCCTGGCTGAGGCTGGACAGCTCACTGCTGCATTTCTCAGACCCTGTCGCAGCTCTGGTTTAGGATGTGACTGGCCAAGATCAGAACCAGCTGCTTGAGATTTGGAAGATGGGGGTAGGATGGAGGCCATTGCTGTGTTGTTTTTACAGAAAGCATAGCGTCTGTGGTGGTGTTACCAGGGGTTCTAGGTTCTAGCTTCCTGGGTGTCAAGAGGCAGGGCATGGGGCACCTGTTCTGCTGGTAGTGGCGTGAATCTAGTATGCAGGGGATGGCTTTGCAGTTGGTAGTCGGGCCCTGATGCAGCCTGGACGGTGTTTTCCTGGGTGGCAGGAAGTGTTTTCAGGCAGGCAGTGTTTGTTTATCCCTTTTCCCAAATGCGGTAGAGCAGAGGTTTTCCTGCTGGGCCAGTTATGCTGTGTTGTTGGTTTTCTGGGAACCCTGGCCTGGATTCCTGCTTCTTTAGACTCTCCAGTGATTGAGTAAGCCCCTCATTTCTTTCTGCTTAAAATTCATATCTTGGTTTCTGTTTACTACAACTGAAAGTTACCTGGCTCTAGGTATGTCAGTTAGGAGGTCTTCCCTAAGGACTCTTGTTTCAGCCCCATGACATCAGAGTCCACTTTGGTCTCATGCAGTTCTCTGGACTTCCTCTCATGGTTATGTGACAGCAGCAGCTCCCGGCCGCATGTGTTCCAAAGCCGGAGGAGACAGGGGCATGGCCAGGGCAGTGAGAGGGAGCTCTTCTCCCCTGTGGAGGAAAACTTTCCCAGAAGCCCCAGAGAGACTTCCCCTTTCATCTCATTAACCAGAGGGTCACATGGCCACTTACTGCCAACATGCTAACCTAAAGAGCAACTAGAGGGGATGCATTTAAGCATCTGCCTATTTGGGCTTCGAGTTTCCTGGCAGCCAAGGTGAAAAGAGCAGGACATACAAGTTACTTAATAGTCATTGTCAAAAAAGGAAGAAGCAGAGTAGTTCTTCTGGGAGACAGAGAGTTTCCTGGAAACCAGCTAAAAAAGAAATTTCTCACATGGACCCCTGTGGAGAGGGTATTGAGCAAGCAGTTTGACAGCCTGAGCAGAAGTGATTTCTGATGCCTTCCTCTAGTAAGGGCCTAGAGAAATAGGAACTAAGGGTCTTTGGGGCTCTTTTTGACCCTGAAAAATCTACAATTTGAGAGTGGCCCTTATTTCAATCACTGTCACTGGGTACAGTAGGGAGCAAAGTGGCCCAGAATAAAAATCACCAGCTATTATGGAGCAACTGTTGCATGTTTCTACTACTAGAAGGGAGATGCTGTTACTATCCCCACTGGGTTCTGAGGCACAGGAACTTGGTTTTGAGGCCCAGCCCTCTAACTTCCAGACTGCCCTGCCCCAGGCAACTTTATCCTGCTCTCTGGGCCTCATTTCCTCCTAGCTGTCTAATGTTAGTAATAGTATCCCTGAAGTTATCTCCTGGTATCTTTTTGAGAATAAAGGGAGGTGTGGAATATGAATGTTCTTTGGAAATGTGAAATGGTTTTCTGTGCAATTGAAATGTTTTTAAACATTTTATTTGATCCTTAAGGCCATACTATGAAAATATGTTCTAGCTAATAAAAATAATGTTTAACACTTAAGCTTTTTCCAGTGCTTATGCTGTCAGGACTTACAACCTCAGCGGACAGTATGCCTTAGGGTATGGCTGCCAGTGAATGATGGTGGCTGCAAATCCTTATTTCTGATACTCTTCTTGATTCCAGTCTTTCTGTTTGACTTCCTGCTGATCTGATTAGATGGCTATCATCTTTCTCTTGGAATATGACTGGCAAGGGACTTGCTTTTGGAGAATGGGGAGTCTTCTTGGCCGCTTTCTTGCTCAGTGCTTGGACTTGCATTATTAGGTTGATCTCTGGTCAGTGGTTTTTATTATCTTCCTTTTTTTTTTTTTGCTTGATCCTTTGTAAGCTACTTGGCCTTATTAGTCGTGAGACTGGTTTAGTTAAAACCAGATAAGGTAATCCATAAATCCACTTCACTGAGCACAAGGAAATGGCAGTATGTCTCAGAACTGTGGAAGGGAGTGAAGGAGCCAGTGCCCTCTGTGTGGAGGGGTTCCTTGGCCTCCATTTTCTCATCTGAAAAGTCTGGGTAATGGCAGTACCCACCACAGGTCACTTGAGGATTTGGGGAGTGGATGCATGCAAAACACTCAGAACAGGGCTGTCGTTGTTGGCTCAGAGTAGACACTCAGTAAGCATCAAGAGGAGCTGCGGTAGCAAAGCAGGATTTCTTTCTTATTTTATTTTGGTGAAAAAGCATCATGCAACTTCCGCTAGAGCTCACACCCAGTGTGGGCTGCCCCTCCAGCAGAGACACTCTGGATGCAAGCCTCATGGACTTTTGTGTGAAGCTCACAGTAATAAAATGAAATGCATCTTCTTAATAAGAAAGATAAAGGGCACCCTCCTCCTGCAGGCTCTGGAAGCCCTGGTTTGAGGGGTCATCAACTACTCACTCACCCATGGGGGATGGAAGGAACTGGAGTGAGGAGACATAGAATTGTTATAAAGAAGGACCATAAATAGAAGTTCTCACATGTTCTTCCCACCCTTCCCGGGGCGCCTTGTGTTTCTGGGTGATGTGGTCCCTCCCCTCTGAAGACCCTGGTCTAAACTAACAAATGCATCAAAGCCCTTCGTGTCACCTTCTAAGAGGCAGCCCGGCAGAACAGAAGGTAGTGAGTAGGGGATTGAGGCCAGCAGGTCTGGGTTCAGTTCCCAGCTTGCTCACTGATGAGCTGTGTGACCTTGAACAAGTCACTTCACTGCTCTGTGCCTCAGTTTCCTCATTTGTAAAGTGAGAGCTGTTGTAAGGAATAATTGAGTTGGTGTAAGATACTTAGAACAGTAGCGGCATGTGGCAAGCCCCCTGCATGCACTAGCTTGCCATCTTCTCCAAATGTTACTACTGTTGTTTGATCACATCGGCACTGTCTGCAGGAGGTCTCCAGCCCTGACTGGGAGACACCTTGGTGCTCAGCCTCTTCCCTGTGTATCTGGTCCTTAGCACTGTCCCCGACCTGGGTTCAGGGATTCTCGAGAGACTGGTGGCCGGCTGGGCTTCTCGGCAGGGCAGGGGTGGAAGGGGCATCCTCCTGTAGTGTCCTTGGCATTTCAGCAGCAGTTCGCTGGGTGGTCCTTGGCCAAGGCTGGAGACGCACTTTCCCAGGCTGGGTGCACTTCCTCTCTGTGGTCCTCTAACCTTGACAGAGAGGTCAGATCTAGGCCTGTGTGATCTTGGGATTCTGGGCTCTGCAGCTAGCCCAGGTCCCAGATTTATATACATGCAGCTAAACTCCCCCTTGGGAGCTGGAAGAACTGGTGGGTGGGCTGAATGAGGCAAGGGGAGGAGACAGGGAGGCTGTGGCCTTGAGGAACTGCTGAACTGCTGTCTGTGCTGAGCTGGCCCATGGTGGAGCCACATCCCCCATGGAGTCACGCTTGCCCTGTTTTGGAGGATCGCAGCGGTCCAGGGGGTTCTTGTCCTGGGAGCCCGAGGCCTGGTGCAGTGGGCTCACTACATCACTGGGTTGCTGTGTGTGGGGATCAGACACCTGCTTGCAGGTTCGAGAGTCCCCGCTGTGATTTCTGTTAATGAGTGCGTGCTCCTGTTGGGGTGGCTCAGCCCCTGACCGCAGGGAAGCTCGTTTCCCAGAACTCCCAGTGGGTCTCAGCACTGTGGGCAGCTGGATTTGCTGTGCCTAGCTGGGCTGTGGGCATAGAGCAAACCAGCTCTGACAGCAGTTGGGGAGACATGGTGGGCATTTAGCCAACAGCCTGATTTCTGAGTTGCCAAGACCAGTTCCCCTCATTGGATCTCAGAAATAGAGCCAGTGAATGTCACTGTGGGTATGAACTCTGGCTGGTTTTGGGTGTTGAGTGTTTGGGGAAGGAGATTCTGTGCACGGTGTTCCCTCTTTCCTCCCCAAGTGTTCATTTCCAGGCAGAGCAGCATCGTGTCTTTCTTTCTCCCTTTACTGTCATCTGCAGGCCTGTCCACTGAATTTCCTCTAAACATAAACACTGCTGTTGCATAATACCCCTCGGGCCCCAGTGTCAGAGGCACCCCATTGCTACTATTGTTGGGGCCAAATTCGTATCTGGATATATTAGTTAAAGTACATGGTTGGCTGCTGTAAGAGGAGAGACAATGGCTTCCATGTGATAAAAGTTTATTTCTCAGGAGCAGTGCAGGCTGGGGGCAGGGTCACCCTGCTCCCTTCAGACGCAGGTCCCTTCCAGCTCTTTCTGCTATAGTTCATCCTGCCCCTGGGGCTGCCTTCCAGCCTGTGGCAAGAAGGAAGGGAGGAAGCAGAGGGGAAGCAATTTTCTTTTAAGGAAATGCTGAGAAAACGGGGCGCTCTGACCATAATTTAGCCACTTTACCACAGCTGATACAAAACATGCTGGAAAATGGAGCTTGTGGTTGGGCAGCCAATTGCCAGCTGAAACTCCATTCCTGTGACAGAGAGGAGCTTGGATATGGGGGACAGCTGGGCGCTGCCTTATCTGGCATTCTGTATCCTGCCCGGTCTGTTTCTGGCATCCTCGCCTTTCACGCTCTGGGACCCCTCTGCCCCACCTTGGTCCTCCCAGGCCTTCAGACAGACCTACCTGTGTGGTCCTGGTTCTGGACTCCCCCAGCAAGGACCTTCCACGTCCTTACCTTTGGCCTCTTTATCTCCGCCTTCCTCCCAGGCCCAGCCTGCTCTTTCTTGATTGCTTTTCCTGACCACACCACCCTGAACCTCCTGGATATTCAGTGAACTTCATGCACACTTAGTGCCTTAGCCAACCCCCGTCACTTAGCATAGATGCCCAGGTAGAGTTTGGGAACTGTTCCCATCTACACATACCCAGAGCTAGAATGAGTGCTCTGAGAACCCTGCCCCTGATGATGTTCACACTGTGCTCATCAGCTGTTCTACAAGAATTTACTGAGCACCTACTCTGTGCCAGACATTAGTATAGGTGCTGGGAATACAGTGGCAAAATAAATGCTTGATAGTGATTCCTGTCCTTACGGAAGTGGCATTCTAGTGGGGGAGAGAGAATAATAAGCCAACACATAAATTAATAAGGAGGAAGGCCAGCAAGCAAGCAAATAAAACCAACCCCAAACCAAAACAAAGACTGAATCAAAATAAAACCAGATGCCACCTAGGGCTGGGTGAGTCATTTCACCTCTCTGAGCCTCAGGTTCCCTTCTGCGAAATGGTCATTATGATATGCTCTTCCCAGCATTGTTCTGCCGTGCTCAACAGATGGAAGCCATTGATCAGAGTGTATAGGTTTTCTGTCAGCTGACAGATTTGCTAGAGCAGTACGTTTCGATTTTGGGTTGTCTCTGGGAAGGAAAGGGATATCCCCAAGTGTTTTCCTGGATTTGCCCTCATCCCTGTGCCCCTGTCACTCTTCCAGGGCTCCAACCTCACGGACATCTGCACCCAGCTTCTCTTGCAAGGCACTTTGTTAAAAATCTCTGCAGGCAACATCCAGGAAAGGGCCTTCTTCCTCTTCGACAACCTCCTTGTTTATTGCAAGCGGAAATCCAGGTAGGTTGCTGGGAAGTCTGGGGGTGGGGCCATCCCGATGTGAGCCATGAGGCAGGGATTGGATAGAAACCAGAGTTTTGCATGGTGATACCTTAGACTTCCCTACCTGGGCCCCCCTTTCTCTTCTGAGGTGAGGGGTTTATTCTAGATGAGCACCGTCCAATAGAAATACAATGTGAGCCACATATGTTATTAAAAATTTCCAGTAGCCACATTAAAAGAAGTAAAAGACAGGTGGATGAATTTAAATAATATATTTTATTTATCTCAATATATCCTCAAATGTTATGATTTTAATGTGTAACCAGTTTTTAAAAATTATTAAGAAGATATTTTGCATTTTTTATACTAAATCTTCAAAATTTGGTGTGTATTTTATAGCACATCTCAACTCATACTAGCCACGTTTTAAGTGCTCAATAGCCCATGTGGTTTATGGCTGCCGTATTGGCCAGTGTAGGTCTAGAGGACCATGGAGGTTTGGAGATTCTTTATGACACTAACATCGTATGATTCTGAGACTCAAAGATGGAGGGTTTGAGGGCATAGGGCTCTTGTACTGTTAAGCTTTTTGATGGGAAGGATAGTATCTTTGTCATCTTTATATGTTTCACTGGAGCTTCTTGCATTTTATAGAGTCTAGGAGAAGATGGGTGTGTGGGTGAGAGGAAGACAGACCCAGATGTATGTATGTTTGAAAGTGTGAGTGACAGGATGTGTAGGCAAATGGGAGGAGGGATACAGATGGATAGTTGGAGGTTTGGGTGATGAATGGATGGTGGATGAAGGGAGCCAGGGAGGAGAGATTGTGGATGGATGGATGAGATGATTTGTGATTGGATGAGTGAGTAGATGAATGAGTGAATGGTTGGGTAGTTGGAGGTGTAGAAGATGCTGGATGGAGAGATGAATAGAAGGTTATAAAATTGGGAAGGTGGGTGGAGGTTTGGAGATTAGTGGGCAGATGGTTGGATGGTTGATAGTTACCAGGGTGGTTGGACTCTAGTATGGAAGTTTGGATAATGGGATGACTGAGTGCATGGATAGATGGAGGGTTGGAGAGAGAAACAGTTAGGAGATGGAGGGGTGGGGGCATGAGGACGGTTGGATGGGTGGGTGGGTGAGTAAGATGGCAGACAGAGGTTCCTGCCTTTCAGTTTTCTTGCTCAGCAGGTAGAAGATGGTCTCAACTGACCAAGACAACCTTTTTTGAGTTCTTCCCGTTCTGTCTTAGGTATGAAACAGTAGCTTTCAAGAAGCTTCTTTACTCCTTTATTGAGTAAAGGCTAAGGCTGAGGGGTGGTCCAGACCTTGGGCCCTACTGTCAGCATTACCTCCAACTTCCCCTGTCCCCTACTGTCTCTGAACCTCATTTTCTCTGTCTGTTTCTGCTGGCCTCCTAAGGTCATGGTGAGGAACCTTTCCACAGGATGAATGGTGGGTGTTCCATGCATGTGTATGGGCTTCTCATTGTGTTCCTCTTCCAGTGTGATCTCTCTGAGCCTCAGTTTTCTTTTCTGTAAAATGGGGATGATAAACTCCTTCTCACAGTAATGTTTGCTTTAGAGCCAGGCTCATGCATTGAACCTGTTCAGCCATTTCTCTAGCTCTGTGACGTTGCCGCTCTACCTCAATTCCCTTGTCTGTAAAACTGGATGAATTATTGTATGTACCTCAAGGAATCACCGAAGAACAGATGTGTTAAGTTGCTTGGGACATAGTAATGCACAAAATCAGGGTTAACTTCTATGACTGTCCCCGCAAACTTATCTCCACATGTGTTGGGTTCCCCATGGGTGCAGCATGTGGCACATAGTAGGTACTTCAAACACAGGTCCCTGCCCCTCTGCCCTCGCCTGCCTGTTCTGGGGCGTGGTCCTTCTTGTTGAAGACCTTGGTCTCCCTCTTTCACATCTGCCGGTGGCTGGTTTAGTGTGTGTCTTTCTCACTGCTGTTTTACTCCTGCCCACTCCAGTGGGTCTGTCTGGGTCTGTCTCCTGTCCTCTCCCCCATCAACGCCCCTTCTCCTTCCTGCTTGCTTCCTGCCTGGCCTCCCTGGGGCCATCCTGAGAGTGGCTTTGGCAATGCCTACTTTCCAGCCTCTCCCGCCGCTCACTCCGGGCTGTCCAAAGCAGGCACTTTTCCCAGAACACTGAGGTTTAGAAAACAGAATGTCCCTTCAGGTCCCTGAGACCTGCTCCCAGCTTTGACTGGGTTTGCTTGGCCTTTTCTCTGTTGGTGTGGGCATACCTGTGACAGTGACAGCAGCGGATTCTGATGGGACTGGATTCCAGGTGGGCCTTCAAGGGCTTGCCCTGTGGCTGCCATGAGCTCATTTAAGGCTGTTTCCTGCCTCAGGGATTCAAGTGAAACAGGCTGGCTGGAGGGAAAGGCCACATCTGTCTCTTGAGAGAATGTGGCAGGTAGCCAGCATTCCTGCCTCTGGATTGGGAGCCAGAGGATTGGGCTCCAAGAGGTCCCAGAGGGATTGGGCAATGGCAGATGGAAGTCCCAGCCTGACTCTGACGTGGTCATAAGAAGTGCCTGGTGCTGCTAGGTGTCTGCTGATTGTTTTATCTTGGCCTGGGTCACACAGGGCACTGCCCATCCGGGGCGTGGGTCAGGGAAGGTCTCTGACTCAGAGTTGTTCTGGTCTAATGCTAAAGTAGAGGCTCCTTAGATGTCTGAGATGGAAGGGTATATTTTAAAAGCTCACCTCCCTATTCAGAAGGGGAAGGAGAGGCACACTAGAGCTAAATCTCTTATATCTCACCTGGCTGCTTAGTGCCATACAGGTGACAACAGGATGTATGGTTAAGGATGTAGGGGCCCTGCTCCCTACTAGCTGTGTGACCTTGGGCAAGTTATGCTAACTCGTGCCTCTGTTCTCCTATCTGGTAATAGGAAATAAAAGTTGTCCCCATTTCATGGAGCTGTTTTTATTGGTTAGGTAAGATGAAAACATATAATAATGCCTGGCACATGGCAGGTAAAGTAAAAGAAATATCACTTTCTATATAAATATTTGGTGTTTCACACACAGCCCACACTTAAATTGTATCTAAAATAAGATGCTTCATTTTCATCACAACCCCTGCTCCAAATATTTTCCTCCCCAAGTTGTCCTGATTCCTACTAAATGGCACCACCGTTTATCCAGGAGCTCAGGCCAGAATCTTGTTGTCCCTGATTCTGACTTGCTTTACCCCCACACCTGCTTCATCAACAAATTCTTTTCATTCTGTCACCAGACTTTGGCCAGAACTTCAATGTAATTCCAGTAAAAACTCCAGGAGGGAGGTTATGTGTGTGCTTATGTAAATGATTGTAAAATTGGCATGGAAACACAAAAATAGCTAAGACAGTTTTGCAGGATGGCAAAGCGGAAGACTCGTATTATGGACACCAAGGCTTACAGTAAAGCTGCAGTAGATGATGTGGCATTGGTGTAAAAACAGACAAACAGATGAGTGGAATAGAGTTGAGAGCCCAGAAGTAGACCCACAGGTAAGCGGTCATTTGAATTTCAGCACAAGTTCAATAAATGGTGCTTGGTCAATTTGACATCCAGTGGGAGGAAAACACAAATCTTGACTCTTACCTCACACAATACGCGAGAATCAATTTAAGGTGGATCACATAACTGACAAGGACTCATATTCACATCACCTAAGGATGTCCTGTAAGCCCAGTCCAGCCCTCTGCCTATTGAAGTTGTATTGGCATCTGGCCATGCCCATTCATTTTTGTATTGCCTGTGGATGCTTTCATGTCATAGGGGCAGAGTTGAGTAGTTGACACAGAGGCCATAGGGCCCAAAAAACCAGAAATGCTTACTAGCTGACCCTTTTCAGAAAAAGTTTGCTGACTCCTGCTGTAAATCATTAAGAGCAAGGTAAGACAACCCAGCAGGAAAAAATGGTCAAGGGACAGTTATTTCAGAGAAGGAGATCCCAGATGGCCAGGAAAGAGGGGAAGGTGCTTGGCTTCATTACTCATCAGGGAAATGCAAGTGAAATGTTTGCTGGAACACTACTATATGCCCGTCAGAATGGCCAGAAGGGAAATCAAACACCCACTGTGGACGATGTGGAGCAACTGCAGTGTTGCTGCTCTGCTCGGGGTAGGAGAATTGGCTCAGTTACTTGGGAAAACAGCTTGGCAGGATCTAGTAAAGCTGATCATGTGCATTCTTTATAACTCAGCAATTCAACTCCTACGGCAGGTAACCCAAAGTGATGTGCACGTATGTTCTTAAGACATGTGCCAGAACATTCACAACAGTACCAAACTGGAAGCAGCCCAAATGCCTGCCGCCATCACTCTTGGTGACTGCACGAGTGTGAAGTTCTAAAACGGGCAAAGTGAATCCACAGGTTTATACGTCAGGATGGGAGTAGTGACGGGAAGGGGTCACAGTGAGGGTGGTGGCGGGAGCTTTTAGGTGTCAATAATGTTTACACAGGTGTGTTCACTTGGTAAAAGTTAATGGAGTCACATACTTCTTTGGATTTTATACTTTAATAAAAAGTTTGTAAAAACATTTGAATGCAGACACACATCTATAAAGGTGTGTATAGATACACGCACACAGGCCATCATCTGCTCTCAGTGGCCTCTTCCCTGGTTCTCCGTGCTTTCCACTGGCCCCACCTATGGTCTGTTCCCCACAGGCAGCCAGAGGGAAATCTTTCAAAGCTCAGACCATGTTACTCTGCTCAGACCCTCCGTGGCTCCCTCACACACACAGGAGAAGCCCATCTTCGCCAGGGCCACAGGAGCCTGCTGGGTCAGGCCCCTTTCCCCACTCTCCCCCCCATCCACTCAGCTGCAGCCACACCTGCCTCCTCCCTTCTCCCTGCTCCTTGTAACACGGCAGGCCACGGGGCCTGTGTCCTCCTGGAATGTGCCTCCCCAGATGTCCTGCTAGTTTCCTCTGTCACCGTCCCTGTGCCTTTGCTCCTAGGCCACCTCTTCACTGATGCCTCCCGTCCCCACCTCCTCCAACCCCCCTTATAACCACACACCCCCATCCATCTTTTTGCTTTATTATTATTTTTTTTACAAACCTTAAATATTTTAATAAAAAATGTATACATTGCATTGGTTAAGCATTCTTTTCAGATGGGGCCAAGGCCTCTTCTTGGAGGAGATGTTCACTCTTCACATAAAAATGACTCACCTTTATCAAGTCTTTCTGAAACATTCAAGTTAATTTTTAGAGAGACAGTTCTTTTCCCATGTTCATATGCCCTCACTTATGCCATATGGAATTTATGTACTTACAGGGACAGGTGCACATCAGGAAATAGGTTGGGAACAAACACATCTGGATCTTGGTGAACATCCCCCAGCTGGTGGAGCAGAGGGCCTGTGCGAACACAGGGTGGCCTTCAAGCTCTGAGAGTTCATTCTGTGCCCTGTTTTAACCTCAGCATTTAGCATTCCTGACACAATGTGTGTGTGACTTCTCCACTTGGCATCTGTCTCTATGCCCCCTGCCCACCCCACTCCCCCAACTGGAAGATGAATTCTCAGACACTTCATGTTTTGCCCACTGCTGCAGCCCAACACTAGAAGAGTGCCTCGCACCCAGTAGGTGTTCTTTAATTGAATGCGTGGTGAGCATCTCCCCTTGGTCTCAAATCGATATCCTTGCCATAGGCAGCCCTGGTCAGATGTTCACTGAGTGACTGAATGGGTGTGTGATAGAATTCATGTGAATGAATGAGTGAACGGTGGGTAGGTAGATGTGGATGGATAGACAGACTGCTGTTCGTTGGGCTGCTGCTTCCACTCTGGCCTCATTCTAGGAAGTATCTGTTCAACACCTGGAGAGTCTCTATCCATTTTCTGGTCAAGAAGAATGGATTTCTGTGAATTCTTGCTAGTTTCTCATCCACGTCTCCTGTTAGCTGAAAAGTAGCTCTGTGAGGTCAGCACGGCCAGCAGGCCGTTTTCCAGAGGAGGGAACAGGCTGGGGGCGGAGCAGTGACTTGCTCACATCACCAGCCACCAGCCAAATGCCCTGAGCTGGTGCGGTGCACCTCCCGGCCTTGGGAGCTCGTAGGAGTTGCATCCTTCAGTGCTACTGCTCGTCTTCCCTTTGCTCTGCTGAAGGTGGTTGAGGCACACGGGATGGGCACGTCCCGCTGTCTTCCAGGGTCACCGGGAGCAAGAAATCCACCAAGAGGACCAAATCCATCAATGGCTCCCTCTACATCTTCAGGGGTCGAATCAACACAGAAGTCATGGAGGTGGAGAACGTGGAAGATGGGACAGGTAGGCCTGACCCCCCAGCCCTGCCTGCTCCATGGCACGATCTCCATCTCAGTTAGTTTGTTCTTTCGTTTGAGATGTAACCTACCTGCAGAAAAGTGCCTAAAGCATATGCACATAAAGTGAGCACCAGGGTCATCACCGTTCACGTTAACAAGTAAAATACTGCCTATGCCTGGAAGCCCCTCACACCACCCCCCACCCATGCCCCGCCACAGTGTCTCCTTCCTCTGCAAGTGACCACTGTCTGGATTTTGTGACAATCCTCTTCTTGCTATTTAAAAATGTTTTTACCTCCTAAGTATGCATTACTAAGCATTTTAATTGAAATTTCTGTTTTAAAACATTATTTAAATGGTTATATGATATACAGTTAAATAGCTTTACGTATGTATGTGTCATAAATTCTGTGTATTCCTTTTCATCTTGCTTCTTTCGCTCAGTCCCATGTGGGCGCGATTCATCCATGTTTCTTCATGTAGCTCTGAAGCTTGTTGGTGTCCCTGACTGTATAATATTCCATAGCATGACCACCCCATGCTTTATCCAGTCCTTTGGTGACAGACATTTTGGCTGTTTCTGCTGGTCATTGTTATGAACAAATGCTGTGAGCACTCTTGTGTCCTTGAGCTTGTCTACGGCAGGGGTTCTGAGGGGTTCTGAGACACAGGCGTCTTTGGCAATCTTGCAAAACCTCTGGACCCCTCCTCAGATTCAGGGTACGGCTGGCTTCAGCTTCTCTGTTTTCAAAGAGGTTTGCCAATCCCCATTCTAGTTTGCCAATCCCCATTCTAGCCAAGGCGAAGGGCCCACGCCTTGGCATGGTTGGGCTGGCACTCGTATTTGAAGTAGTCAAGGAGGCTGGGACACATTCCCTGGGTCTGGGACTCCTTTATTTGTGCCCAGCCTTTGAGGTCTTTAAGCCCCTGTAATTGAGGGGCCGGGAGGGGTCTTTGCAGATATTCCTCGCCCACCAGAGAACATATGGGAGATGAAGTAAGCATTTGAAGGGTTGAAAGTTCAACTCCCAAATCCTGACCCTATGTCTCTGCCACCCCGTTTTCTGGAGCCGGAAGGGCTTGTCCTGTGACCTCACTCCCAGGCATGCAGTGCGAGATGTTCAGAGATGTATGGCTGAATCTGTGCTGACCCCCCTTTGCCTCCTGTCCCTGCCAGCGGATTATCACAGCAATGGCTACACTGTCACCAATGGCTGGAAGATCCACAACACTGCCAAGAACAAGTGGTTTGTCTGCATGGCCAAGACGGCGGAAGAGAAGCAGAAGTGGCTGGATGCCATCATCCGCGAGAGGGAGCAGCGCGAAAGTGAGTGGGCCTCCTCCTGGCCCTCCAGACGGTGGGGGCTTTGCGGGGCTTCCCCGGGATCTCTGCAATGTGTACGGCTTCCTTCAGCTGGTCACTTCTGTGGAGTGTGTGTGTGTCTAGGGAAGGGACAAAGGGTCCTCTCCTGGAAGGTCAGAGCTACAAGAAGCAGGAGTTTGAAGGGACAGAGAGCTCTGGGACTGTTATACCGTGGTGTCTTGGATCACTCAAGGTCATCTGGTTTAGCCCACTAGACAGATAGTGAAACTGAGGCCCAATGGAAGGGATTGCCCAGTGTCAAGTCAAGATGGTTGGTTGTCCTAAGATTCTTGGCACCCTTCCTCCTTGAGGGTTTCTAGCCAAGATGCTCCCTGTATGCCTGGGGTTCTTGGTGTTTGAGATTCATGGAGGGCATCTGGGAGGAGGGTCTGTGGGCACTGTGGGCATGAATTTCTCTGGGCCTAGGTCGCTCCGAGGCAGCTTGCATAAGGTAGTGCAGGGCTGGGTGTGAGGGTTGGGTGGAGTCTGGGGTGGGTACTGGACTGCTGTGCAGAGACCACCAACCTGGGAAAAGGGAGGCGTGGTTTCCCAGACCTCAGAGACATTGTCTGGTAAGTGGGGCTGAAAGTGCCTGCTGCAGAGGGCTGTAATGTTGCATGTGTGGTTTGAATTTGACCATACTTGGCGATTTGATGCATGATCCTAAAACACTACCCTGCTCCCAGTTTACGGACGAGAAAACTGAGGCCCAGTCTCCCCCATATCATAGCCTGCCCTCTTGAAAGCACCACTTGGATGTCTCATACTTAACCATGTCTAATCAGAACTCCTAAAATTTGTCCTATCTTCTGCCCCAAACATGCCGGTCCCCTGACTTCCCCATCTCAGTAAATGGCTCTTCCATTCGCCTAGGAGCTCCAGTTCAAACCCCCGGTATCATCCCTGATTTCTGCCTGCTCTCTAAATTTAGTAGATCAAGTCCCTTTAATTCTGCCTTTCACATATAGGCCAAGTTTGTCCACTTCTCTCTTCTTCCTACTTCCATGTCATCATGGCTCAGGAATATGGGCCCAGCATGGCTAGATCCATTGATTTTCTTTCTTTTTTCCTAGAGAATCTAGACATCTGTATCTTAATGTGAATAAATGCTAACCTTGGCCCTTGGTTGGTCAAGCCTGCGATCTCTGAAACTGATCAGGGCTGGGGGTGTGGCCAGGATGAGGGTGGGATTCAGGGGCGTGGCTTAGCCTGGATGTGGCTGATCAGTATTTTTGTGGTTAAACCTGAGCGCTGTGTGTGATCACAAGTGGGTGTGACATGAGTGGACCTCGGTCGTTTGAACTGGGGCACTGCCCAACCCCTGACCTCAGGGCTGGGTTCACAGGGGTGGTGCGTGTTGATCTGGAGCCAGACTTCCTGGGTCTAAATCCTGGTTCCACAGCTTCTTGTTGGGCAACCTTGGACAGAGAACTTAATTCCTCCAGGCCTTGGTTTCTTCATCTGTAAAATGGAATAATGGTACTTGCCTTGCAGGTTTCTTGAGGATTAAGTGCCATATAGTTGATGCTTGAAGCATATGCTATTATTATCTTTCAATGCTGTTGTTGTCAGGTGTTACGTTGTCTTTTCCTACGTATGTATACAACAACAATAGTATTAAACACAGCAGTAATACTAGTATAACTCCGTTCGGGTTCCAGGACCTGAATCCAGTCTATAAGTGTGTGGAAGGGGGTCTTCCCACACATAACACCAAGCAATTCTCAAAAACCAGTAGGTGTCCGAGAACTCAATTCTGATGCTACCTGCTGGGAGACAGCACTAGATTCCCCAGGTTAGGGGCTCTGTCCTACAAGACTGCCCTTCACCCCCCACTCCAGATGCCAGTCACAAGCCCCAGGCAGTTCCCTGTGCTTCTGATCTACTGGCTACAGGCTGGAGGCTCCCACAACCTCCCCCTTGGGTTTGATTAATTTTCTAGAGTGGCTCACAGAACTCAGGAAAACACTTATGTTTACCAGTTTAATAAAGGATGCTGTAAAGGATACAAGTAACAGCCAGATGGGGAGAGACACAGGGCAAGGTCTCAAATAAAGGAGCTTCTATCCTCGTGGAGCTTGGGGCCTGGCTCGGTGGCACGTGGGAACATTCTGGTTCTCCAAGTGAATAAGCTCTCCCCAACTGAGAAGCAGGGTCTAAGAGAGCAGAGAGCAATAAGCTGTTCGTAGGGGGTTTTGCGAGGGCTTCACTGCATAGTCACGATTGACTAATTATTGGCCATTGGCTGATTCAACCTCCATGGGGGAGGCGGTGGTGCAAAAGTCTCTCACCAACGTGACAAAACACCCATTTCACTTTTAAGACTCTGCAGAGTTTTCAGGAACTGTGGATGAAAACCAAGTGTACCTGGGAAATATTTATTTGGTCATATGAATGACCGAATATGTATTTCTTATGACTCATTGTATCACCTCAGGAGTGGACAGAGTCCAAGTAGAAAATTTGGGGCCGTGATACAGGTCAAGGTGCTGTGTGTATTATCTTGAGAAATGGGCAAATTTCCAGCCCTGGGTGGAAGGAAGATCTTAACAGGCTTTCTAATAACCTCTCAATTTGGAAACCCATCCTTGCGTTGAAGGGTTGAATAAGCTCAGCTGCTTATTACTGTATGATTTAACCTGTCTGGGCCTCAGCTTTGCCATCTGTAAAATAGGGGAGATTAGCCACCCTCCCTCGCAACGTTCTTGTGAGGAGTCACTGGCAGGTGCCCAGGGCAGTGGCGGTCGTGCAGTCATGCTCTGTAGGTGACTGCGGGCTGTGGCCGTAGTCGGGGCAGCTGGAAGACAGGCTGTCAGGAGGGCAGGCCTGCCCCTCTGCTCCCCAGTGCTGACCATGCCCTTTGGCAGGCCTGAAGCTGGGCATGGAGCGGGATGCCTACGTCATGATTGCAGAGAAGGGGGAGAAGCTTTACCACATGATGATGAGCAAGAAGGTGAACCTGATCAAGGACCGTCGGAGAAAGCTGAGCACGGTCCCCAAGTGCTTCCTTGGCAAGTGAGTGGCCCCCCCACAGCCTCTGCTGCATCCCTGTGTCTTGGCTATAGGTGGGAGGCGGCATAGACCATCTGTACCCACCTGGCTCTTCTTAGCCCTGCCCTTTCCCACAGGAGCCCTGCTGGGCAGAGCCATAAAAGCATCTGAATCCTTGTGTAACAGACTGTGGTGGTCCCAAAGGATAGTGGGGTCCTCATATCAGGTTTTGAATTGTTTTTGACCACAACTCACTGCAGAACAGAAGTTTTATGTTGTGACCTGGTACACACATGATGTAGTATACCATTGAAGCCAAAGTTGCACAAAACTTGCTGTGCTTGATGCCCTTTGACAATATCTGTTCTGTTTATGTCCTTTCCCATCCTGTCCTTTCTATTCTGTTCATTTCTTTATTCATTTCAAAAATAACACTGAGCAAGATGCATGAAACTGATTTCACAAATGGGTTGCCCACCATGGATTGAAAAACAGTGCTCTAACCCTTGAGAAAAGAGAAGCCACTATAGCTGTTTCAAGCAGAGAGGTATTTAACACAGGAAGTTGATTTCAAAGGTGTTGGAAGAGTAAATGTAGGCTCTTGTATCAGGGTGCTAGGGCTGCCCTACAAAGTACTGCAGCCGGGTGGCTCAAACAAAAACTTATCATTTCACAGTTCTAGAGGCTAGAAGTCTGAGATCAAGATGTCGGCAGGGTTGGGGGTCTGCAGAGGCATCCCTGTCTGGGTTACAAAGGATGGGGTGGAGAGGGTCCTGTAAGCTTTTCAGTATTTACAGCCTCCAATTTCTCTGCTTGAAAAATGTATTATTTCCTAATAATAAAACATGTCACTCCTTCCCCATTTCATCACTAAGGATCAAAGGGGTCAGAACACAGGTTTCCTGGGATTGGATCTTAAACCCAGGTTTAAATCTCATTCACCTTAAAATCAAGCATATGCTGTTTTGCTTGGAGGATGCAACTGGGGATTGGGAGACGCAGAAGAAAATCCCAGTAAAATTGTTGCATTGTTTGCAGGCCTACTGTGTGTTAGATGTGGTGGTCGACACTCTGGAGAGGGCCAAAAAATGCCAGGGGCTCCCAACCTCACGAGGCCTGTGGCCCAGCCAGGGAGAGAAGTGGCCCAGGAGGCAGGGACTGGATTTAGACTGTATTAACCTATGCCCCGCCCACATCCCAAAAGCTTTTGGTGAGGCCTTGGATAAAATGCACTGTGTCATTATAGTGCCATAGACCAGGTGGGAGGTGACATGGACAAAGGTAGTCACAGTGGGGACAGGGAAGTGGTTGCATTCTGGGTCATTTTGAAGGTGACAGCATTTGTGATGTGGTGAGAAAAAAGAGTTAAGGGTCTTTGGCCCCTGCGGGGCAGAAGGTGCTGCTCATTGAGAAGGGGAAGGCGGTGGAGGGAGTAGCAGGTTCCGGGGTGGGAGTCCAGCTCAGAGGCTCAGAGGCTCGCTTTGGATGGGTTACATTGAGACCATTAGACACCCAGATGGAGATGTTGACTTGTTAGTTGGATATAAATCTTGACATGGGGAGAAAAGTCTGGGTTGGAGACCTGAATGCAGGAGATGTGGGCATTTAGGTGATCTTTAAAACCACGAGACTGAATGAAATCTCCAAGGGAATGTGCAGAGAGAGACGGGGCAGGGACTGGGCCCTGGGGTCCACCAGTGTTTGGAGGTGGGACCAGCAAGGGAGCCCGAGGGAGCCGGCAGAGAGGTGGGAGGCAGGAACGGTGGGGTACAGGAGCTCAGGTTTAGATGCTTTAAGGTTGAAATGCATGGTATATGTTCAGGTATGAGTGTTGGGTGGGCTTTGGAGACCTAGTGGGGAGCTGGGCGGAGCTGACGGGTTGTGGCCACAAGCCTGCGGATAGAGGGGCAGCAGGTAGGGATTTGTGGGTGTGGTTGGGCCTGCAAGGGATGGCCAGGATGCCTTGGGGTTGGGCTGCCCTGTGGCCCTCAGAGGTCAGCGACCCCAGCTCTGAGCTCCAGGGGAGGGTGGGCCCCAGGCACCTGGGCCATGGGGAAGGGGCAGCCGGGCCCATCTCCATCAGCTAATCCCTAATCCCTGGGCAGAAACGAGATTGTTTTCCTCAGGAGGGGTTTACTTCCGGCCCCCCAGGGTCAGAGGACCTTCCCGCCTCCTGCCAAACCCCACAGAGAGCTTACTCAGTCCAGCCGGAAGGGATAACCTGTCTGTGATTAGAGCCTCAGCAGAGCGTTCTGTCTCCTCAGGAAGGATTAGAAGTTTCTTTCACTGCCCGCTTGGAACAGGGCCAGGATTGGAGCTTGTTTTGTAATCACTCGGGCTGTAAGGACCAGACTTCCTGCAGGAGGCTGTTTTAATAAAACTTCTCCCCAGACGGCCTTGCTCTGCCCCCAGCCCTGGGGCTCCTGATCTTCTTCCTCGCCCCCGGAGCCCAGTTCCCAAGTCTTCTCCCCCAGGAACATCCCTGGTCCCCTGGGGGGAAGGACCCAGCCACCACAGAGACTCGCTAGTAAGCCCTCCTCTGCTCCCGGCACTGACATGTGGCCGTGCATTTTAACACCATGAGGCAGGTTACACTATTATCCCCATTTTAAGGGTGAGGAAACTGAGGCACAGAGAGGGAGAGGTCCTGCACCAGGTCACGCAGTGGGGGCTGGGATTTTAACTGAGGATTCTCCCAGCACATTCTGCTGCATTTAGCCTTTTTTTCCTAAATCTCTATTCAGCACATTTCATTTTTCCTTGATAGCTACTTTCTCCATATCTGTCTCCACTACTAGATGGGGAACTCCATGAATATGAAAAGTGTCTGACTTATCTTAATAACTTTCAAGGTTTGGGCCTTGAGTCAGACTTGGACTCTAGCCCTGGTTTCCCTACCTTCTAGCTGTGTGCCTTCAGGTAAGTTTCTTAACCTCTCTGAGCCTCAGTAGATGGTCTATTAATGCGAGATAATAAAACGTGCCTCATAGGATTGTTGGAGGGTTCTGTGAGAAAACATGTCACACAGCACAGTGCTGGCAAGAGGAATAGAAATGTGTATTGATTGGGCTTAAGGCATGGCCTGTTTCTGCCCTACTCAGAGGTAAAACTTACAGATGTCAGGGGAGAGAACCAAGGAGCAAGATTTATTTTTCTGGACGCATCGCACGGGGACATGGCCTTGGCCTCTGATCAGCTGGGGACAAAAAATTGATTCATTCACTCATCCATCCCACTCATTCAGTGTTTACTGACCTCTTACTATGTGCCAGCATGAACAAGACAGATGACATCCCTGCCCTCATGGAGCTACATCCAGTGGGGAATCAGAAAATAGACAATTAGACAAATTTTAGCAAGTTGATGGATGTAAGGAAATAAGGTTGATATAAGAAGGCAAAGAAATCGGGTGCTCTTTCAACCAGGGTGGTCAGGAAGGTCCTCTCAGGGGGGTGACACTTTAGCCAAGATCTAGATGATAAGCAAGAGCTAGCTCTAAGATCTGGGGAACAGCATTCTTGGCAGGGGGAATAGCAGGTGTAAATCCCCAAGGCCAGAATGCGTTTTGAGTAAGTAATTGAGGAATAGTGGGGAGGCTGATATGGCTGGAGGGAGCAATTGGCTGAGGGGTGGGAGACAAGGCCACAGGGGCCGGCGGGGGGGCTAAATCAGGCAGGTAAGAGGTAAGGGGCTCAGATTTTATTCTAAGTGCCCTGGGAAGCCATTAAGAGAGTCTAAGCAGGAGAGTGAGGTGAAGATGAACTCATCCCATAAGCCCTGAATGCAGGCACTGTCAGAGCTGTGAGGGCTCATGGGGACAAGGTGTGACGGCGTGTCTGGGCAGGGCAGTCAGGGAAGGCTTCCGGGAAGGACAAGGCCTTTGGTTTCACCTTTGACAGAGGTTAGGTGTCATTCATTCTTGATTCTGCCAGAATAGAAGCTCTGAGGTGGAAGATGCCTCCCTGGCTCGTCCACCTGTGTGCACAGGGGCAGAATATATTACTGTGTAATAGCTGATCATAATGATTTGTCAGCCACAGGCATCTTCAGGAAGTATCTGTAGGTAGAGTTATAGGGATGAATAAAAAACTCCTAGTCATGAGAGTTTTTTATGGAGCTTGAGGCCCTGGAGGAGACAGGAACGTAAAAGGGGACTTTTGTAGTGGACAGTGTGTGTTTTGGACTGAGTTCAGGGGACTTCCCTAGGAAAACTGCAGATATACCTATGTATCCCCTGTGCCCAGCACTGGGCTTGACATATAGTCAGTCAAATAAAGCTCACTGGGTGAATGGTTCTGGGGAACAGGAAGGAAGGAAGGATGGAAACTGGACACATGCTAATTCTCAACTCATCCCCATCCTCTGAATCTCAGAGTCCCCACCAACCGAGAATGACCTTCTCGCTGTGGACCCAGCTTACTGCTCTGAGTCATGCTTTTCTTGAAGGCTGGATCTTGCTGCTCTTTGCCCTGACCTCCAGCAACTGGCAGATCATTGGTTTTTTAAATTTACTTCTCATTCAGGGCCTTTGTGTATGCTGATCCCTCTGCCTGGAACACTCTTCCTTGCACCCCAGTGGTGGTGAATGGTGCCCAACTGACCTAGTGCAGTTCACAGATGTGTTTTCTGTCAGCTGCCTGGTGCTTTCAGAAAATTTGGATTAAATACCAACATTTAACAGTCGAGTGATTTCACAGGAAGTGCTGGATTTCCGGCTTCCCTTGAAAAGTTGTACGATGCTTTCGTCTTCCCATGTGGGAACGGCCACTGCGCCGAGGACTGGCTGCCGGCTTCAGAAGCAGCAGCGCTGGCTGGCTCAGCGCAGTGTCCACCTGGCCCCTTTTGCTCATTCACGATGATTTGAGGTCCCTGTGTTAGGGTGAATTTTATCTGATTTTTCACACTGGATCCCACCTTAAGACTGCATATGATTAGAAAGTTTATCCACTAAACCCAGAAGGCCCCTGAGCAAGCCATTTGTCAGATGGACCCTGTTGAGGCCCAGAGAGGGACAACGGCTTGCCCAAATTTGCCCAGCAAGCCATAAACCCTCCTTGATCCTCTAAAAGGGGCAAGACTGAGCTCAGGGCAGAAACCTAGGTCACAGTTGTTTGCCTCTGGGCTGCCTTCTTCTGCACCAGCTGCTGTGGGGACACTTCCCGTCCCCCTGCCCTGGCCATAGAGCTGCTGGTCGGTGCCATAGGCGGCCCCCAATGGGACCGCTGGTGGGCAGCCAAATGCCGAGTCCCCAGCTTCCGAGAGTGGGCACATAACATCTGTTCCCCTCTCCCAGCTGCTGGCAACTTTCTCCCTGTCTCTGATTTTTGGGACTTTGGGAATTGGACTGGGGGTTGAGGACCCAGAACAACCTCTTCCCCACCTGGGGCCCCCACTCCCCAGAACAGATCCATTTCTCCTGCAGCCCCTTTGGCCTGCACCAGGGGCCCTCTGAATGCCTCAGCACACACTACCACCTACACACAAGGCAGGTCTTTGCTCAGCCAAACACTGGGAAGCTAAAAATAGCCCTGCCCCCCTCTGGCCTGTAATTGGAGGCGGGACAGCTGGTTTCGATAAGCAGGGAGCTCTGTGCTTTGGCCAGCTGCCACCTGCTTTCATTGAACACAGATTGCCTGGGTGGAAACAGTCCTGTTCCTGGCTCTACCCTTTCCTGCTGACTTCAAGTGGGTTGAGTTCTTCACCGAGCTTGAACGCACCTCTGAGACCCAGGACCTGGGGTCTGGCTAAGCCTCTACCCCACTGGGTGGTCACATTGAATTTTCCTGATGTCCCCTGACTTGTGAGCCCTTCTTTCTCTTTGCGACCTTCCTGCTGACCCCTGATCATCCCTTCTTATTTGATGGTTCATTCCTTCATTTGCTCAAAAAATGATTATTGAGTCCCACTGTGCTTTAGATTTTCTTCTAGGTGCTGGGGGTGACTATGAATAAGACAAAAATCCATGTCTATGGGTTTACATTCTGGTTGGGGGAGATGGCTGGTAAACACAAATAAATCTGTAGACAGCACAACTCCAGGCAGTGAAAGTGCTAAAAGGGAGGCAAAACGAGAGACATGATAGATTATTTGGAAGTGGGGGGACTGCTGTTGGTAAGGTAGTTAGGGAAGGCTTTTCTGAGGTGACATTTGAGTTGAGTCTTGAAGGATGGAAAGGAAGGGTTATGTGAAGAGCTGGGAAGGGGGATTCCTGGCAGAGGGAACAGCAAGTGCAAAGGCCCCGAGGTGGATGACAATCTGGCATTTTTTTAAGAAGGGGAAGATGGTGGGTGTGGCTAAAGCATGAAAGGTGAAAGGTACAGGAATTGAGATCAGTGAGGGTGGGGCTGTTCACACGTTCATGTCATCAATCGAGCAGAGTTTGGATTTTTTTCTAAGAGTAACAGGGGGTTCATTGGAGGGGTGAAGTAGGAGATGACATGATTTAATCACCATTAGCTCCCCTGACTCTCCACAGTCATCTTTCTAAGCCCTATTTCTTTCTGCTTGTTTCTTCATTACTTCTGCTCATCCATTCATCCAGGTAGCCATTCATCACCCATTTGCCCACCCATCTGCCCAGTTGTCTTTCCACCTGTCATCTGCCCATCCACTCGTGCTCCCCTACACCCACCTGCCCACCAGTCTTTCCAGCTACCAAGTCATTTATCTGTCAGGTCACCCATGCATCCATTCATCTACTCACTTTCCACTCATTTGCCTACTCACTTACACGTCTGTCCATCCTCCTTCCTCCGTCCGGCTGTGCTCTGGATCCTTCCAGCCCATCCATCCACTGAGCCTGAGGCAGGGCCTTGGGTCTGGCCACACCCACTTGTCTGCCACTGGTCATGGGGTAAAGCACCAGGTCTCAGTACAACCCCCAGGGCTGTGGGGTCCTAAACTTTGCTTCCATGTGGGAAGTCCTAGCTGTCATTTCTGGGAGTGGGTGGGACCAGGCCAGTTTAGTGCTGGTCCCTGAGGTCCCAGGGCCGGGAGGTCTTGTCAGCTGCATCTTATATTCCTGGCAGCGAGTTTGTTGCCTGGCTCCTGGAGATTGGTGAAATCAGCAAGACCGAAGAAGGAGTCAACTTGGGCCAGGCCTTGTTGGAGAATGGAATAATCCACCATGGTGAGTGGGGCCTGGGCTCGGTGGGTCAGGGGCTGGGAACAGGGCCGACCTCAGAACAATGCCATGTTTCTGCTAACACAGTGGCTGTCTCTGCACTTCTGTGCAGCCGCCCCTATACCCTGGGTACATTATGGCCCCAGGAACATGAATATCCCCTTATAAAGCTGCTCAAAGGGCTAGAAAACCCAGCACTCACTGGAGACACCAGAAAAGTAGATAGGTCTCAAAAAGTTAGGGGCAGGGCAGTAGAACTTTCTGTCCCTTCAAAAAAGGCAAGACCCATTTTAGTCACTCAACAGATATTTATTGAATGCCTATTATGTGCCAGTCACAGTCCTCACAACAGGGAATGGCTCGGCTGAAATGCTTACCCTCATGGGGCTGACATCTAGTTGGAGGGGGAAGATAAGAAATGAGATGAGTAAGCTGTATTTATACAGGGGGCAGTAAGTGCTAGGCAGGGAGAGAGCAGGGAGTTCGGTTTTGAATAGAGGAGGTGGGAAGGCCTCCTTGAGAAGGAACTAAGTCCTGAGAGAGTGAGGGAGCCAGGTAGGCCCTGGGGTTCCAGGCTGAGGGAACAGCCTGCTCACCATCTCCAGGACAAGAGTGTAAGCGGTTTGTTCAGGGAACAGCAAAGAAGCCAGTGTGGATGCCTGGAGTGGGCAGGGGGAGTGTTAGGAGATGAGGTCAGAGGGCATGGGGTCAAGGTGGAGTGGTTAAGGGGTGCCATCCAGGGCCTTGTAGAGGACTGTTCGGTCTTTGGATTTTACCCTGAAGGAGATAGGAAGCCACTGCTGAGTTTTCAGTAGAGCAAATAGTTGCTTAGACTCAGATTTTAATAGGATCCCTCTATGCCGAGTAGAGAGTGAACTCTCGTGCTAAAGGTGGCAGCAGGGTGCCCTGTAAGGGGGCAGCTGTGATATTTCAGGTGGGAGAGGAAGGTGACTCAGACCAGGGTGGGCATGTAGTCTGGTTCTTGGGTTTGCTGGTGCAGTCAGAGTGGCGCGTCAGGGAGGGAAGCCCCGAGGCCCGCTCACGGCCAATGGAGAGACAGTCCCATAAATCCTGACAGCGTCTCTCAGATCGCAGCACACTCGGTCCCAACACGTGCTTTTGGTGATTTAGCTCCAAGAATGATGCTGGGCCAGGTGGGTCCCAATGCAGGCTGAGTCAGGGGCATTTCTGGGCCTCTCACGGGGCCTGCAGGTGCCCCACCCCGGGCTGCAAGTCTCAGCAGGGCCCTGGATGTAGCAGGAGGACATGGTTCCCACATCAGAGCCTGGGCGGGAGGTTCACTGAAGCTGGCCTGGTGCAGAGCTTGGCCAAGGAAAGGGTGGTGATGGTGGGTGTTGGTTGGGAGGGGCTGAGGGGCGGGGCTGTGCCCAGCCTCACTGGCCCCCTGGATCCCATCAGTCTCTGACAAGCACCAGTTCAAGAACGAGCAGGTGATGTACCGTTTCCGCTATGATGATGGCACCTACAAGGCCCGGAGTGAGCTGGAGGACATCATGTCCAAGGTAGGGACCCCTCCTCCCCGACCCCACGGTCACCGTGGAGCAGGAGTGTGTCCTGGCAGCCTGTTCTCCCCCACTGCCCCCACCAGTCCCCGCCCTCTCCAGCCTGCTCTCTCCTGGGAGCCATCTCTCCCAGCAGCCTGGATTTGGAGGCCCCTGGAGGATGTGGCCTGATCCCAGACTCCCCCTTTTTTTCTTTCAGGGTGTGAGGCTTTACTGCCGTCTACACAGCCTCTACACCCCCGTGATCAAGTAAGTTACTCTCTCCAAGCTCTAGGTTCACCTCTGCCTCTTCTTAGCTGTGTAGCCTTGGACCAATAACTTAATCTCTGAGCCTCAGTCTGCCTCTCCATCAAATGGGGCTAATAATTGCACCTACTCTGTAGGTTTGTCCTTAGGGGTAAGTGAGTTAATTTGTGGGAAACACCAGTATGGTGGCAAAGGGTGCCAGTTTGAATCTCAGCCTGCTAGTTACCTGCTGAGTGATCTTGGGCAGAATTAATTGACTTCCTGGCACCTCAACTTTTCCTTGGAATGGTGATAATAACAGGATTGACCCCAGAACCTTTGCACTTGCTGTCCCCTCTGCCTGAAATGCTCTTCCCCTACATATCTGCATATTTGCTCCTTTACTTCCTTCAAATGTCTCCAAGTCTGAAGGGGCTTCCCTGACCCCCTTTCTAAAGTATCACCCACCATCTGGTACCCACTGTCTTCCTTACTTCACTTTGGTTTTCTTCTTGAAAGTTGACATATTATATATTCATTTCTTTATCTGTGTACTGTCTTTCCTCCCCACTGAATTGTGAACTCACCAATGGAGGGGAATTTACTCACTGCTGTTTGCCTGACTCTTGAACAGCACCTCGAGTGGCACTATTCCAGTAGACCTGTCCACACTGGTAAAAATGCTTTAAGTCTGTGCTGCCCAATAGCATAGCCACCAGTTAGTTACATGTGGCTTTCACACCCTTGAGACCAAGGAATGTGATTTTAAGTTTGATTTAATATGAATCGTTTGAAAAATGGCTACATACTGAAGAGTGCAGGCCTAGGGTAAAAGTACCACCCAGTAAATGTTTGTAGAGTGAATATTGGAAAGTAATTAACCTCTTTTACCTCTGTTTCTGCATCTGTGGAACGGGCATAAGAATAGCTCCCATCACTTGGGTGTCATGAGGATTAAATTTGAATGGCACCTGGCACGTAGGAGTGAGTGCTACATAAATGTCAGCAATTGGTTGTTCTCTTTACCGTGAAGCTAATGGCTATGGATGAAGGGACAGAGAAGGTGACCTGATTCTTAATCCTGCTGCAGATTCCTCTGCCTTCCTGTCCTGACAGCTCTCAGAGGAGCAGAGAGGAAGGGCCTTTTCCTGGCATTCGCTGGCCTCGTTGGAGGTCAGGCCCTGGGGACCATTTGCACGTCCAGACCCACCTCCACCTCCCCTGCGGCCTTTGTGCCAGTCCCAGAAGGCAGGCGGGCTGCCTTGGTCCAGCCTTCGCCCTTGCAGGAAAGTCCTCTCCATCAGCCCCTGAAGAAGGAGGTGGCAGGGGCCGTTAGCGGGTCTCTGCTTAGTGTATGTGTGGCTTGCTGGATTCCCTAGTTCCTAAGAGCCAGAGAAAAACTCCCCAGGACTTTATCAGCCTTGGCATGGGCTGGCCGTGTGAACTCATTTTTGTCAGTATCAAAGGCTGAGAAATTGTTGCAATTCAGCTGTAAGTTCAGCACAGCCCTTTGTACAAGACTCACCCAGAATTTAGATCCCACACAGGTCAGAGCATTTACTTCAGGAAGGAACTAGGAATGTCACAGTCCCTCGCCCATGCCCAGTCCTGATGCCCCACACCAGCCCACAGACAGGCATTTCCATGCTGGAATAGTTTCATTACCTTTGAACACATGAACGTTAACAATAAGACAAAAGGGAGGAAAGAATTGAGAGGGTTTTCTCCCTACTCAGAGTAAAGCAGGTTTCTGTAGCTTTAGGCTATTGCCATTTGGGGCTGGCTAATTCTTTCAGGGGCTGTTCTGGGCATTTTTGGATATTTAGTGGCACCCTCGGTCTCTACCTGCTAGAGGCCGCCTGCCAGGCCATGACAGCCAAAAATGTCTCTAGACACAGCCAAGTATTCCTTTGTGGGCAGAGTCGCCTCTTTTTGAGACCCCCTGGGGTAGGGAGAGGAGAGTTTACAGAGCCATTAGCTCCTGCCCTCTCAGTGTAGGTGAGAATGGGGTCCTGGGCTGGAACACACCTGCCCTGGGTCACACTGTGAGTTAGGTGTGGTGTCTGGGCCAAGACTCCCTGCCCAGTGCTCTCCCCTGCCCTCCCCCTCCCCCTGTGGCTTGGATCCTGAGCATGTGGTCCAGCCGGGAGACTGGGACTGCCCTCCCCTCCCTGCTGCCCGTCCACTCATGGTGGGCTTCCTCCTCTGCAGAGACCGTGATTACCACCTGAAGACATACAAGTCGGTGCTGCCTGGGAGCAAGCTGGTGGACTGGCTGCTGGCTCAGGTGAGGACCCCCTTGAACTAGTGTGACCAGCTGGCTCGCTCTGCCCAGGACCAAGGGGCTAACCAGGATGTGGCCTTTGAATTTTTATCATTTTGTTTTACATTTTTCATTATTTTTTGCTTGCGGTAAAACATTCATAACACTGTCCTCACCATAAGAATGGTTCAGTGGCATTAAGTACACAGTTCAGTGGCATTAAGTACACAGTTCAGTGGCATTAAGTACACTTGCATTTGCTGCAGCCATCACCACCATCCTTCTCCAAGGCTCTTGGCATCTTGCAAAACTGAAACTGGGGGCTTGGAAAATCTGTTCATCAATTTTGCTGCAACTTCCCAAAGACGTTTGTTCCATCACCATGCCGTGGATATTCCTGTCTGCTGCACCTGGTCCTTTCTGGCTCTCATTCATGGGGTGATTACTCTGGGCTGGGCCCTAACTGGGCTTTGCTCATTATCTTGTTGAGTCCTCCAACCCACCAACAGATGGGGAACTGGGGCCCAGAGAGGCTGAGTGCCTGGTCCAAAGATACACAGCCTTGCAGTGGCAAAGCTGGGACTTGGGTGGGCCTGTTCCCCACTGATGCCTCGGCTCGTGAACTTTTCAGGGAGCTCATAGAATGTTCATTTGCAGTCTGTGGAAAGAGCATGTTGGCTCCAAAGACAACGAAACAACTGTGAAATCGAAATGGATAAATGTTTAAACATTTACAGAGCACAACTTTATGTCAGCCTCATTAACTGTTAAATTTAGCGTTCATGAGAACCTCATTCCGTTCGAAAACAATTTGCTGGCTGGATTTTCTCATGTCACACAAATTCCCGATGATTGCCTAGAAATCATAGCCAATCTGTAAAGTAAATGTTTCTTGGCCCCAAATAACTTTAAAAGCAAGTTTAGAAAAATCCTTGAAAAACACTTTTTTCAAGTCAGAAAAGCATATTTAACATAGGATGTGGGTGCATTTTAATATGTTTGCTGTGATGTGGGACCCTAAGGCCCAGGAGTCTTGAAACAACCCTGGATTTGAATTTAGATGTGCACATGGGAGCAGCACAGAGCATCTCACTGCTGTGTTGCCCTGCCCTCTCCCTAGGATCCTGTGAAACCAGCTCAGAGCATGTGCTTTATTTATAGTGAGGCAGACCTGGGTTCAAATCCCAGCTCTGCTGCTTCCTACCTGCGGGTCTTGGACAAGCTAATTAAACAATCTCTGCCTGATTTTCCACACCTGTACAATGCAACTGAAACCCATAGCTTCCCCTTTGGATTATTTTCAGGGTTCACTGAAGGAATCATGTAATGTGTATTGAGTGGGGTCATTTGAAGACACCTGAGAGAGGTGGGGAGCAAGCCAGGGGGCCGTCTGGGGTGCAGCCTTTTCCGAGGGGCATCACCTCGGAGCCTCTGAATGGGGTGGTTCTGGGTGTCTGAGAGCAGCATGAAGGCCTGGAGTGCGTGGCTGGAGAGGCCTGAGTGAGAGGGAGGGGTGTCGGGGAAGCCAGCAGGCGGGCGGCCAGTCACATGGGGCCTTGTGGGCGACTGGGAGGGCTCGGGCCGCTGCAGGGCTCTGAGCACAGAAGGGACTGTGTGACTTGGTGGGTAAGATCCCTCCAGCTGTGCGTGGAGCCCGGATGGTTGGGGGAATGAGGCTGGCAGATGGGAGACCAGGAAGGAGGCAGCTTCAGAACTCCAGGAGGGGAGCATGGCAGCCGGGAACCGCATGGCTGTGGGGAAGGTGGTCACATTCTGGATATTTTGAAGGCAGACCTATCAGAGATAGGTGGGTGGAGGAGTGTGAGAGGTGAGAGACAGAGAGGGGTCTTGAACTACTCCAAAGTCCTTGGCTGAGCTGGGGAGGCCCAGGACTGTGCCCTGGAGCACCCGGCAAGGAAGAGACCCAGCTAAAGCAATCGCCAGCATTGGTTTCTCTCTGGTGATTGGTGTCGGGCATGGCGGGGCCTGCTGGTGGCCAGTGCTGCCAGGGAAGCTGTGGTGCTGGCTGAAGGCCCCCTGGAGTAGCCTGAGTCATTGTCAGTCCTGAGGACGCCTGCATCCCCCACCAGCATCCTGTTGCAAATGGAGCAGGGGGAGGATGGTGGAGTGAAGGTTGCAGCTGACCACAGAATGTGTCTGTCCACCTCAGCAGACCTGCCACGGCTTGGCTGAGTCTGAGCACACAGGGAATCTCATTTGCAGGATGATGACTTCCATGAGATTGACCAAAAGACAACTGGCATCTGGTTCTGCGTCAGGGAAAGGGGGAGGAGGGTATGTGTGGGTCTGTCAGTGGGGGAGAGGTTGGTGATGAGGATGTGACCTTGAAGACTAATTGCAGTGAGTCTTGATTTCAAGAGTTATCCCCACCTTGTGCCTTGGCAGGAAACTACAAGCATATAATTGTGTAGTTTAGGAGGGCTATTTTGCTTTGAACATGTCTTCATTCCTAACTTCCAGATTATTCTGATCCTTGAAACAAAACGTTGATTTACATCCACTGGATCAGCTAGAATTGCTTTTGGCTGCATGTAATAGGAAACCTGACTTATGCGGTAAACACATTTTTCTCTCACATAGCTAGGCATCCAGAGTTAATGATCCTAGAGTTCAACAATGCCATCTACACCCAGGCTCTTTGCATCTTTCTGTTCTGCTGTCTTCTTGCTAGATGCCTCATAGTCAAAAGATGGCTACCACAACTCCAGGCATCACATCTTTGTAGACGTATGGCCAAAGGCAGGCAGCAGGGACATTTGGAAATAACTTTCTTACTCTGTTTATTGGGGGTGGAAACTTCCTCCCCTCCCCAGTGGTCCTCCCTTTAAATTGGCCAGATGGGTCCCACATGTACCCCTAAACCACTCCTTGGGGAAGAAAACAGGGATTGCTGAGAATGGCTTAGAGTTCTTCAGAATTCATGCCTTGAGACTGGGAGAGGCTCCCTACCCACCACTTGAATGAATCAGTTCTTTTAACTCTGAGGACAAGTTGGGGTGGGAGGGTATTATTTCTCTGATAGATAACCTGTGCTCTGTATCAGTTCTGATCCCCTCTGTGCATTCAATCCTCTGAGCAACCTGAGGAAAACACTGTATTCCTCATTTTACTGATGAAGGCACTGAGGCTCAGGTTATATAACTTGCCTCAGGACACACAGAACTGGGGAACTCCTATAAGATTGTATGTTTTGGGGGCTGTTATCATGCCATAATAGTCAATAATAATACCAATAATAATAGCCCTCTGTATTGATTATAGCCTATCCTGTAGAATCTGAGCAGGGAGTGCCACTCAGGAGTGACAGAAGCCCTGGGAAATCAAGGGCAAATCTGGGAATTAAAAATAAAAAATGGGGAAATGAAGCTAAGGCTGAGGAATTGCCTCTGGTCACCTGGGTCAAGCAAGGGCGTGAACCTGGGGGTCCAGCTCCGGAGTTCGCTCCCATCACCTCTCTGCTCCAGGGCTTTTGGTCTGTGCTGCCAGGGCTCCAGGATGCCCTAGGCTGTGGCTGTCAAATGGAAGGCAGGGAGTCATTGGGCTGGGCCCAGAGCCAAGGGCAGGCACGCTCAAATCTGCCAGCTCCTGGACAGGCTCCACAGAAATGTGCCCACAGTACCCTCCACTTTGACCGCCACCACGAGGCAGACAGCAGGTGCTGACAGCTGCAGCAGGTGTAGCATAAGGGAAGGGGCCATAGTGGGAACAGGCAAAGGGCCAGGCTGGCAGCTCGAGGCACTGACGGAGCAAGCAAGGCATAAACAGGGACAGGGCAGGAGCCCTGGTCATGACCCTGGGCATCTAACGTCTCGGAGCCTCAGTCTCCATATCTGTAGCATGATGGTAGGGGGAGGGTCCAGTTCTGAATGGGTTCCATTCTCATGGTGTGACCTTGGGCAAGTGCCAAGCCTGTCTGTGCCTCAGTTTGTTCATCTGTCATGTGGGTTAATCAGAGTGATTGCCTCTGGGTTGACCATCAAGATTGAGTGAGGTTGTGCAGCCCTTGGCCTGCACGGGGTCAGTGAGAGGCATCCTTGGGCCCTGTCATGGGGTTTCAGAATTCATGGGCAGAGGGGCTTCCTGATGCCCTATGTGAGTTGCCCCCCACTGAGTTCCTTCTCCCAGTCCTGCTTTGCCTCTGCCACCTTGGCCTGGGTGGTTCTCCCTAATGAGAAACAGCTAAGCAGGAAGAGCTCACATCGATCCCTTGTTCCCTCCATGCCAGAGGTTGGGCCATGAGTCTGCGTAGAGCATCTAATTTGACCCTCAGAAGAACTCTGTAGTGTGGACATGATTATTTCCCACCATTTTAGGGACATGGAAATCGAGGCAGGTAGAGGGGAATTCAGGATCAGTTTCCAAATTGGGTTTGCCTTTCATTCATTCATTCATTCATTCATTCTACAGGCATTTTTTTGTGCCTCATTAAGTGCTAGATACTGTGCATGCTTCAAGGCGGGGACATGCGGTAACCATGACAGGCACTGTTGCTGCCTGCTGGAGCTGACATTCTAGAGGAAGACACACCTTAAAGGGAATGGGGGTGCTGATTCTGCTGGAGAGCAGGGTCCTGAAAGGATGAGTTCATTTCAGATTGGGACAGGTGCAGTGCAGCTGTTAGACAAGGTGACGAGAGCCTAGTGGGATGTGCGGTGGAGGGGCAGGGGGCTGCTTAGGGTGGGTAGGGAAAGGCCGCTTCAAGGAGGGCCATGAGTCCTGAGACCTGAAACGCCAGGGCAGGGCATTCTGGGCGAGGAAAGAGCAAGTGCAAAGGCTCTGAGGCAAGTCATGTTTGTATGTGGAAGGAGCAGCCCGGAGGCCAGTGTGGCTAGAGACCCCAGCATAGGGGGCAAGGAGGGGAGATGGGAGGGAGGTGTGGCTCTGAGATGGCACAGGGCTGTGTGTGCCTGTGCCTTCCTCCAGGAGGGGAGACAGCGGTGACTTGGCAACTTGAGGTTTCCCTGCAGCTGGTGGGATGTGGGCTGGGGGTTTATTTCTCAGGTGGCGGGCTCATCCAGGGTCAGCGTGTTTCACTGTTAACCTGAGAATCTCGCTGCTGTTCTAACTTTAGGAGACTCCCTGTGGTCACTCCAGGGCCCTTTGGGTAGTAGGAGGTATAGAGATAGGCTGGAATGGTCTGGGAGCTCAGACTGTGAGTGCCCCAGAAGCCAGGTGGGCTCCAGACGCCTGCCCAGGCCTTCTGGCTGCAGAGCTCCTCCTGCCTGCCACCTGGAGCAGGCTGTGCCTCCCCTGCTGGCCCCTTGCAGCTGGCGGGCGGCTGCTCCGGATGCATCTATCTCGTGGATGGCTGCCCGCCCTGGCAGGGCTCTGAGCAGGCCGGCCCTCCAGCCACGGGCTTGGGGTCCCACAGGAGACATTTGTCTTCCTCCAGTCAGTTTGGGGCAGCCAGTGCAGCAAAATACTGAAGCCAGCGGCCCACCCAGCCCTCTGCACTGGGGCTGAGCCCCAGCCTTGACAGCTTGAGTCCCACGGTCTCTGGCATTCATTTCTCCTTTAGCTGGGAAATTCCCTCTGTGGCCCCTCTGCTGCTGCTGAGAGGGGGACAGTCAAAGCCTTGGCCTGCCTGTATTGGGCAAGTGCCTCTCAGAACAACGGCTCACTTTGGAAGTTGTTTAAATGAGAGGCTGTCTGAACATAGTTGAATCTCATTGACTGGCTACAACAAGCTCCTGCGTGATTTGGCCCCTGCTGACAGTGTCTTTATTTAATAAACAGTTATTTATTGAGCACCTGCTATATGCCAGGCCCTGTTCTAAGCACTTAGGTTTCAGCAGAGAACACGACAGATCACACGCCTTGCCCTTATGGAGCTCATACTTCACTCACCCTCTCCTTGCCAGCCACGCTGCCCTTTGTGTCCAAGCTTTGCTCTGCCGCTGGACCTTTGTGCTGTTTCCTCTGCCTGTCACACCCCCTTCCCATGGACACAAACACAGCTTACACAGTTTACCTGGATGTACTGTGGTTTTTGGTGCATGAAACAGAAATGAATTCTGGCTAACTTCAGGAAAGAAAAAGATGACGATGGCTTATTGGCAGGCTGTGGCATACCCAGGATCAGGGGAAGACCCAGGAGCCAGGCCTTAGAAAGAGCTGGCACCAGGAAACGTCCAGCTTCTCGGGAGCAGGAGCTGAGGGGCACCGTCTTTAGGGCACTGCTCTTGGGGAGAATCAGCACCAGCAGTTCACAGTCCTTGGGGTCCTCCACTCACAGGTCACATTCCCGGGGAGGGAGCAGCATCTCATTGGCATTGCGTGAGTCTTGTGTCCTCACCCAGCCTGGGGGTGGCAGCCTTGAGGGACTGTCTCACCAAAATGGCAGTCCACATGGGGGAGTTAGCCCTAAAGGGGGGCCCACTCCATCCATGCCTGCTCATTCTTCAGTTTTGGGGTGATGTCACTTCCTAGGGGAGACCCTGAGATGAACCAGATGCCCCTGGTGTAAAGTGTCCCATTTAGGGGTGTTTTCAGTTGCAAGGACAAAAAACTTGACTCAGCAGTGGCCTGAGCAGACACTCATGCTGCATACCAGTCGTGCCACATTTCAAGAACCCTCCTTCCTTCGCTCCACCATCCTCAGCAGTGTCTGCCACCTTGGTAACAAGATAGCTCAGAAGCCCCACCTGTCACTTTCTCACCTGGCCTCCTCCCAGGCAGGGAGGGTATTTCCCAGAATGCTCTGGTAGGCTTCTGCAGATGTCTCACTGTCTAGAGCCAGGTCCGTGAAGTTTCAGTTCCAAAAATCCAACTACAGAGGCTGAAAGAAATTAGGGGTTTATTTTTCTTTAGTATGAGAGAAGCCTAGAGGGTGGTAGTCCAGAAAGCTAGGGCAGCCTCATGATGTCTTTGGGGACCACACTCTGAGTTTTTTACTGCTTTGCCATTCATAATGTGTTTCTGTCCTCGAGGTCAAACTGTGCTCTAGGATGGCTGCAGGAGCTCCAGCAATCACATCTTTGTTCCAGGCAGGAGGAGAAGAAAGGAGAGGACAAAAACAAAGACAGTTTGGACAGAGTTCTTTACCAGTGATTTCTGCATATATCTCATTGACCGCCTTTAGCTGCAAGGAAGGCTGGGATTTGTGGTTATCTAGATGGATGCATTGTTGTCTGCAACAGTGAGGGTTTCAGTCTAGGGCAGGATTGGGGAAATGGTCATTGCTAGGCAACCAGCAGTGTTGCCACACGAAATCTCCATTTCTCCTTTGTGGTGTTTATCTAATGATATGTGATGTACTATCACAAATACAATTAAATAATTTTCTTATCTGGGCTTTATTAAAAACAATCACAAATACATTTGAGGGACACCACAGGAAACAAAGCAGACACAGCCCTGCCCTGATAGGGCTTCCATTCTGGGGCTGGTGGTGGGCACACCTCAGTCAGGTGCCAGTGGACCTAACACCCTTCCCTTTCTGTTCTGTTCCAGGGTGATTGCCAGACGCGGGAGGAGGCAGTGGCGCTTGGCGTGGGCCTATGTAACAACAGCTTCATGCACCATGGTAACCCACCCATTCCCCTTAGCCCATCTCCCGGGGGTCTGCCCTAGAATAGAGTAGCTGCAGGGATGCTTGTCCTGTTGCATTTTACAGGGAGGGGAAACTGAGGCCCAGAGAGAGCAAGCTGTGGGCTGGAGGCTGCTCAGCATGCTGGTGGGTGAGCCCAGGCTAGATGCTGGGTCTGGGACTGTGTAGACCACTGGGGGCCCACCCTTCCTTTCCCCTGTTCTGCTATGACTGAGAGGTCACTTCGGGTGTCCAGTGGGGACCAAGGTATTGGTTGAACTTGGCTGGAAAATGGACTGGATTTGAAATCAAATGCATGAACTTCCTGTGCCCTCCCTCCAGGATGGGAGGTGGCCTCCCAGGTGGACAGTGAAGCCAGATGATGCAGGCCTGGCCCAGGGCTTCCATGGAGAGGACAGGAGAGGGCTTTGTGGAGATGGGGCAGGCAGGTCACGAGCCTGAGAGGAGGCCAGGCCTGCAGGGCCCTTCCCATGTAGGCAGGTGCCTTACCCCTCAGATAAGTCGCTCTCTCCATGGGAGAAGCATGTGAGAGAGGTAGAGACGTGGATGGTCCTGACATAATCCAGAGGTGGGAAGCTGGGGAAGAAGGGGGAGAAAATGGCTCCACTGGCACCATTTTAAATGAAAACAGAAGCTAATACTCTGTGTGCCTGGCCTGTTTCTAAGCCTTTCTATATGCTAATTAGTTTAATCCTTGTAATTGTCCTTCGATATTGGTATTAATATCATCCTTGCTTACAAATAAGAAAATAGAAGCCCAGACAGTTAAGATGCTCAAGGTCACAGAGCAAATAGGAGCCAGGATTGGAATCCAGGTGGACTGGCTTCACGGCCACATGCTCGGCCACACAGCTCCGTGGCCTTTGCCCTCACGGGCCCTGGGGGAGTGCCGAGTCTCCTACCCTTTCTGCAGGACAGGTAGACTTTGAGCCCCCACCATGGAGCCTTTCTCCTGTTTCTAGAACACTCCCTGGCCTTGGCACTGCCCTGTCCCTTGCCTGGGGTGCCCTTCCGTAGCTGCCTTCCCCCCTCATTTGTTGAGTGTCTCTGCCTCAGTTCACCCCTCCCTGGCAAGGCCTCACTGACCACCGTGGCTGAAACGGTTCCTCTTGCTCATTGCTCTCTGCACTGTTTGATTCCCTTTTCTTCAGGGAGCCACTTGCTTCCTGTCAGACTGCCTCCATGCTTCCCTTCTGCCTTTGTTCCTTCTGCTGTACCCAGCGGTGCCTGCTGTGTGCAGCACTGGCTGGGCCCCAGGGCCGGAGCTGAACAAGACAGATACGGGTCCTGCTCCGGGAACTCAGCCTAGTGTGCACCTGCGCGTGCTCGTGCACATGTGAGTCAGTCGACAACGTAATGAGTATGTCTCCCAGAATATCACGGCCGTGCGAGGAGGACTTTGGCTTTCACTTCATTGAGGGGGGCGTCCGGGAGGGTCCTGAGCAGAGGAGGGCCATGCCTGATTTAGGTCCTCACAGGATCCTTCTGGCTGCCTGTGGGGGGTGTCTGAGGATGATGGCAAAAGCAGGGGGGCCGTGAGGCGCCCGTGACAGTCCAGACGAAGGACAATGTGGCTTGCGCCCTGGTGGGCAGGGAGAGGGTGACTGCAGGCCTTTGGTTGTTCCTCCTCCCAGCTCTGTTTCACGCTGTAACTCAGAGGTCAGCACACCCTGCAAAGGAGCAGACAGTAAGTATTTTAGGCTTTGCAGGCCACAGGGTCTCTGTCACAGCCTAACATTACTGCATAAAAGCAGCTACAGGCAGTCCATAAACAAGTGGGTGTGGCTGTGTGCCAATAAAACTTTATTTAGAAAAACAGAGGTGGTGGGCCATAGTTTCCTACCCCTGGTCTGGCTGCTGGATTTGCTGTCCCTTCATCAGGGTGGAGATGCCAGTGAGATGAAAGCTTATCAGGTCTGGCTTCTGCCTCGTAGTTGGCAGGCCTGCTTCTAGGCCTGAAATAGCTGACTTCCAGCAAGCCGTGCCCCTCTCTGGGCCTTGGTGTCTCCATCTTTCTGCTGGAGGCCTTGCTGCCCCCTCCCCGCTTTGAGCTCGGCAAGGCCGTGGCTCCTCCCCGGCTGACTGTTTGCCCGGCCTGGGTGGACAGGTTGGGTCCTGCCAGGGCAGCCTTGGTCGTTCCTGCCCATTGGTCCACCTCACCAAAGTCCCTCATTCCCAGAAGCTGCTCTGTTCTCCGTGGGGCCCTCTGACAGCTCCTCCATCCCTCCTGCCAGTCATCTGGGTAGAGCCTCTCATTTGTGGGTGAGAGTAATGAGGGGTCCACCCCAGCTGCTGTTCTGGGAAGGCTGCAGGCTGAGGACGTTCTGTGGGGGGGTGACTCCCAGGCAGCACCGATGCCCTCAGGCCCTCAGGGAGACAGACCGCAGGGCGCAGCCTCTGCTCCCCTTGTGCCTGCCACGAACTCAGAAATAGGCTAAAATAGGCAAGGGCCAAATCCTCGTGTTGTGGCTGCTGCAAATTACATGTTCTGGAACAGAGGTATTAGGGAGCAAGGGGCCTGATGACGCCTCTGCGGCATCTGACCTGGGCTCACGGGGCCCTGAGGTTTCCTCAGGGAGGGGCCCATGAGGCTGGTGGTCTGGCCTCTCACTTTAGGCACATACAGGGAAACTGAGGCTCACTGTTTAATCCTTGCAGCCATCCCAGGAAATTGGTGCTATTGTTATTCCTGTAGATGAGGAAACAGAGGCACAGAGAATCTAAAAGGGTATGAAGGTTGGAAGGGAGCCTCAGGGATTTGAAGCTGCCAGTGGCCTCTACTGAAAGGTGGGAGTGGTTGGACCCGGACTTGGGTGTCCCAGCTGTTTCCTCAAACATTTCAGCCCAGACACAACGTGGTGCCCCCCACCCCCCCACTCTCCAAGTCTTTTAGCCTGATGTTTACAGGGAGGTAATGCCAGCCTGGCTCCCCAGCTCTGGGGAAAGCAGCAATTTATGTGTCTGTTCTTTCCAAAGAGTACTAGGGGTGGCCAGGAAAGATGCTCACCATCTAGACGCCCTGGGCCAGGGAGGAAAAAGAAGAGAAGGACTCTTGCCTCTTTATTTGGTCACTAAGTGGGTAAACAGCCTGTCTTCAGGGATGGCAGGTTGTCGCGAAGCTCAGACAGCTGGTGTCGCTTCTTTCAGGCACCCAGTGAATGCAGACAACTGCCTTTACCGAACCGAGCCTGGGTGGCCCTGCTTTATGGGATTCATCCCTGCCTCCGTGGAGGAGCCTGCTTAGGCTCTGTGACCTCGGGCAGTTTGTTTAGCTCCTCCGGGCCTTTGTCTCCCCATCTGTAAAAGGGGTGCAGCAAATCCTTCCTTGTCTGAGGAGTAAATGAACCTAAGCCTGTGCCCACCAAGTGCCTGGCACTAGTAGGTACTTAGTCAAACTGTCATCCACAGGGACCAGATCACACACTAGTTGTTATTGTTTATTTTTATTCATTTTCCTGGCTTGCCTTAGAACAGAGGTCAGAAAACTTTTCCTGTAAAGGCCCAGATAATAAATATTTTAGGCTTTGTGGCCATACAATCTCTTGCAATTATTTAACTCTGTCATTGTGACACAAAAGCAGCCCCAGACAATACATAAATAAATGGGTGTGGCTGTGTTCCAGTAAAACGAGGTTTATAAAAAGAGGCAGTGGGCCGGACTTGGCTCACAGGACCTGGCTTTGCCAACCCCTGGTCCAAAGTGTTCTCGTCATCGTCTGTTCCTGACTATTAGTGAGGTTCAGCCCCTTTTCACATTATTTGCTGCCCACTTGGGTTTCCCCATCTGTTAATTGTCCATTCATATCTTTGCCCATTTATCTCTGAGTTTCTCAGCTTTCTCTGGTTGATTTGTTGGAGTTTCTTATATATTCTAGATATTTATTCTTTGTTGTTTTTTTTTTTTAGATATTTAGAGTTATTTTTGAAACTGCCATCTGGTTATTTTCTTGTTATTGAACAGAGGTCTTTTTCTTTATGATAGTGTTCTCTGGGGAGTCTTGTACATGAACTCCTTTCCTACCCTAGGACAGAGATATTCTCTTGCATTTTATTTGGTGAGCTTTAGTTTTCCTGTTCATATTTAGGTCTTTAATCCATCAGGTGTTCATTGTTGTATATGATGTGAGGTAGGGATCCAATTAATTTTTTTCCCCTAAGTGAGTCAGTTTTCCCTGCACCATCTGCAAAATGGCCCATGTGTTCATTCATCATCTGTCATATACTAAGTTCCCATAAACACATAGTCGTCTCGTGTGATTTCTATTCCCTTCCCCTGGTCCTCTATCTGTTTCTGCTGTAGTTCCACACTCTTTTGTTACTATAGCTTTGTAATATGTCTTTATAGCAGGTGGGGACAAGTTCAGATTTTTCAAGAGACGTCAGAAAGCCAGACTTTTATGTGACATATCCTAATAGATTAGTGTTGGCACATGATTCCATGTAATAAAACCCTGTGCTAGCCAAACCAAACTTGTCCAGGGTCTGGTTTCGGCCTGTGGCTGCCAGTTAGCAATGCTGTTGAGACCTTCCCATGAGCCTAACCGCGTGCTGCGTGCCTGTGGGTTTCAGTGCTGGAGAAGAGCGAGTTCAAGGACGAGTCCCAGTATTTCCGTTTCCACGCTGACGAGGAGATGGAGGGAACCAGCGGCAGGAACAAACAGCTGCGCAATGACTTCAAGCTGGTGGAGAACATTCTGGCCAAGCGCCTGCTGGTAGGAGCAGAACTGAGTTGCTGCATCTTCCTTCCCAGCCCCATTTGCAGGCCTAGGACCTGGGCGACCTTCAGATTATGCTAGAGAAGTTGGGCTCAACTTTGAGCACTAAAGACTATGGGGTTCTAGGTGGTGGCTGGCAACACTGCCAAGAATCCAGGTCCCTTCACTGGGCAAGACTACCCTCTACATAAGAGACTGGGCTTGCTGGGCTCCCTTCCTTTTCCTTTCCATCCCCCTTTGTCCACCCGACATCCCAGCCTACGCTGGGCAGAGAGGATGGCCTTCTGAAATGACTCAGCCTGCGTACAAAGCCTTCGGCCTCCTGGACTGGCACCCTGTCCACGCTCAGTTGCTGTAAATATCCCTGCAGCTAAGGTAGACCATCGACCAGCCTGTTCAGATATTTAATCAGCCTAGCCCACCCAGTCCTCTTTCTCTGCCTCCATTTTAATGCCTGGCCCATAGTAGGCAATCAAGAGAGAAGCTCAGAGGTTAGGTCTTTTGCTCCAGCCAGAGTAGGGGGCTGCCGTTCCTTCCAATTCCCATTTCTCCTGCTGCCCTCCATCACTCTTAGGATAAAATGCAGTCTCTTGTCATGATCTACAAGATTCTTGCCTCTCCAGCTTCATCTCCTGTTCTCTCCCCTTCCTCACAGCCGCTCTGATCTCCTTTCTTATCCTCTTGTACCTTGTGGGCCTGATACAGGGCCTTTGCACATGCTGTGCCTGCTCCCTGGAGCACTTCTCCACTCTTTATAAAGTTCTGTTCCTCTCTTAACTCAGGTCTCAGCTCAGAAGATTCCTCGTCTGGCATCTCTTCTCTGCCGTGTTCTGTCCCTTTACGGGCTTTTTAAAACTTCAAACTACATACACTCGCTGCATCACATTCTGTATTTGTTTGTAGCCTGTCTTCCCCATCAGACTGTCAGCTCCACAAGGGCAGGAGCGCTCTTTGTCAATACTGTTTTCAGTGCCCAGTAAAGCACCTGGCCCACATGCTAGGCAGCAGCTCGGCAGGTATCTATTGAATGAATAACTTCATTTCCCTGTATCCCCACCACCACCGAACCCCAGAACCTCCCAACCTGCCCGCCATCCTGCAATGGGAAGGGTCTGCTCCTCCCTGACCTCCCTTCCTATCCCCAAGGTCTTGGCAGCTGGACACCTTTGGATCTATTTTGTTCTTTAAGTACATTTTTACCGAGTGCCTGTAGTATGCCAGCAGATGGGGAGACAGCGGCTCATTACAGAGAGACTCCATCCTCAGGTTGGGAGGGGGACAGGGGGAATGGCGATGAAAGGTGAATACACCGTCAGTGCCAGGTTGAGGTGTGGGCCAGGTGACGTGTCTTCATTTGACAGGCATGTACTGCATACCTATTGGGTGCCGGGTGCTGTTGGTTTCATTCCATCCATCCTCCTGCCCTCCCGCAGTGCCCCCACCCTGCCCCCTGTGTGACTGGGGCAGCAGGCTCACGGTCCCTTGAGAACCAAGGTGGGGCCGGCCCCAGCTCCCCTCTCTGCCTCACTCGTCTCTCCTGCCTCGGGCCCTCAGATCCTGCCTCAGGAGGAGGACTACGGCTTCGACATCGAGGAGAAGAACAAGGCCGTGGTGGTGAAGTCTGTCCAGAGGGGTTCCCTGGCTGAGGTGAGGCCTCTCAGAGGGAGAGTCTCTCTCCAGTTCCCTTGAGGAAGGCCAGCTCAGCAGATCCCGGAATGTCAGTGGTTCCTCCTTGCTCATGGCCCGTGTAGGGGAAACTGAGTTCAGGGCCTTCTTACCTAGAGTCTGGGGGAGTCAGGATAGAGCCCCCTGCCTGGGGTTGTTCACCCAGTTTGTGTGTGCTGCCAGCGCCCTCTCCTGGCCCTGTGGGGATGTGCAAGAAAAAGCAGGCTTCTGAATCAGGTGGTTTTCTGAATCAGCTGTGGTAATAGAAGAAACCAACGACCCGTGGCTTGAGCAGGACAAGTTTGTTGCTCTGTCACGGTTACAACATCTGGAGGAGGAGGGAGAGCAAGTCTGAGCCAAGGATACAGCCCCAGGTCCTCGTGGCTGCTCCCTGGAGGTGTGGAAGTGGGCGGGGGAGGCGCCTGCCAGTTGTCCCAGCCCTCTGCTCGCTTCCTAGTAGCACTTAGGGATGCTTTTGCCTGCCGGGTAGCTACGTGCCCGCTCCACAGAGGCTGGAGCCCTAGGGCTTCATTTCCTGCTGTAAGTGGTTAGAAGGAGGCAGTTGGGAGGCTTGGATCAGGGCCAATATCTCTTCGACTCTCCTGGACAAGCCCTCATAGTCACCAGGTGGCCACCCCAGTTTGATGTCGCGTGTCCTCACATGGCAGGGAGGGAAGCAGGGGCAGGCCCAGGGCAGGCTCTCCTCAAGGAAAAATGTCTTTCCCGGTAGCGCCTTTGGCAGGCTTCCCTTCATTGCTCGTTGGCCAGAAGAGGTCTTGCCAGCGCCTTACCTGCTGACCTTGGAGGGGAGTGGGTTGCTCTGGTGGACTCACCGTGGTAACACTTGGTCCCTGGGGCCGGCTCTGTGCTGCCTGAAGGCACTCATGGTTCCTCAGTGAGGAGGAAGGGAGGCTAGTAACCTGGTGTGCATGTCTCCCCTGTCTCCCCCCACCCCACTGCCTCCCACCAAGATGGCTGGCCTGCAGGTGGGGAGGAAGATCTACTCCATCAACGAGGACCTGGTGTTCCTGAGGCCCTTTGCCGAGGTGGAGTCCATTCTCAACCAGTCTTTCTGCTCCCGCCGCCCCCTGCGCCTCCTGGTAGCCACCAAGGCCAAGGAGTGAGTGACCCCAGAGGCAGGGTGTCTGGCTGACTTTCCTCTCAGGTTGAGGAGTTGCCTGAGGGGCTAGGGGTGGTGGCAGGGGTCCCAAGCTGTCCTGCTTCCCCGTGGATGGGGCTCATTCTGCAGGCCCATGACACAAAGCTGCTACCTTCATTCATGTAACAGATGCTGTCTGAGCACCCGCCTGTGCTTAGTGGTGATTCAGGCTATGGGGATCCAGCCCCGTCTGGCTGGATGTATTTCTGCCCTTCATAGAGCTCAGTCTAGTTGGAAGGTAGAGCAGGAGACAGACAAAAGAACATAAAGTAGGGAAGTAAGGGACATACTGACCGAGGTGGTGGTAAGTGTGGACCAGTATATAAAGCTGGGAAAGGAGATGGGCTGAGTGGGGGGATGGTGATCAGGGAGATGCCGCTGTGAACTGAAGTGAAGATCTGAAAGAGGTAAGGGAGGGAGTCAAGGGCAGGAAGGAAGTTCCAGGCAGAGGAAACAACCGTGCAAAGACCCTGGGGTGGAGCTGTGACTGGCGCCTTTGAGGAACAGTGAGGAAGCTGATGGGGCTGGAGCCGAGTGACCGAGAGGGAGGGTTGGGCAATGAGGTCAGCCAGACATGGAGGCCAGGCCCGGTGGGACCCTGTACCCACGGTGAGGACTGTGGAGCCCCTGGAAGTTTTGGAGCAGGGGTGAGGCATGATCCGATGTGGGCTCTAGCAGAATCCTTCTGGCTGTGGTAGAGACCTGATTGTCGGGGCAAAGTGGAAATGGGGAGTGGCAAGGAGGCTGGAGGCCCGGCCTGCAGCGGGGTGAGATGTAGTCGGATACCAGATGTAGGCGGGAGAAGCATTTCCTACTTTAAAAAGTGTGCATTTGGTTTTCACTTCTGTCTTCTATTTAAGGCAAGTGCTTCTGGTGTTTTATTGATGGGAGTGATGGAATGTTTTGAATATGATTATTTCAATAAAAAGGCAAGCCTATTAAGGCAAAATGATTGATAGTTTGGTTGGTATGTGGAAGCAGTGGAAATCCCAAGGAGGAATGTGCCTGCTTAAAGTTCACGAAATATCTGGGTTTGAGAACAGGCTCCCCAAATGGCTTTGTTTGGCAGGTGGGGATAGGAGGGACAATCCTGAGGCCCAGTGTGGGGAACATGCCCTCAAGAGGGATGCAGACAACTGCACTGAAGCCTCTGGATTAGCGCCATCCACTGCCTGACCCTGGGCAGGTGCCGCCTGCTCTGCTCTGGTGTTCCATGCACAGAATGGCCAAGACTTAGGCTTTCAAACCATGCTCTTTAGGGAATGTACGTGGGCATTTCTGGAGTCAGCACCCAGATGTGCTGGGTCACTTCTCACTGCCCCATCTGTGATTGTTGGCTAAAATATTCACTGGCGGCCATGCTGGTCTGGCTACCAAGAAGCCTACTCTCACTAGAAGAATGGTGAAAAAGTGTACAAGTGTGATTTGGAATCTCTGTGCATGGATTGAGTTTCAAGGGCAGACCAGGTGGTTCTGATTAATTGATATTCTGTGGTGTGGTGGGCTCTGGTTAAATGAGGTTTCTCATATATTTGGAAGCTGGAAAGCCTGGCACTGCTACTATCAGGGACTGGATTTCCCAAAAGCCTGGGGGGCAGGGTTTCCCCAGGGAGGCCCCCTGGGCTATTGGGAGTGATGCTGCTTTTCCTAATGGCTGCTTCTGCCGGGTGCAGGGTCATCAAAGTCCCGGACCATCCAGAGGCTCTGTGCTTCCAGATCCGTGGAACTGCCCCACCGTATGTCTACGCTGTGGGGAGAGGTGAGCAGCAGCCCGACGGGGAGGGGAGCTATGGGAGATGGTTGTCTGTGTGTGGCAGTTCAGAGCTGTCCACGTCGCTACTGCCAGGCTTATGCCTCATGGTGCACCACTACTGCTTACTTTCTTTGGTTGAAGCCAAGGCTTGCAAACACAAATGCCTGTGTGAGACAGGCAGTTTCAAATGGGTGACAGAGAGGAAGACAGTAGGGAGTGGTGAGGACTATGGCAAGGTGAAGAATGCATGTTCTTTCTCAAAAGGGCAGTTCTTCTTCAGCTCAAGCTCATTATTAGCCAGGCAGGATTATTACCAGAAACATGAATTTTGGCCACACTTCTAAGGCCACATCTAGCCCATGGGCCAACAGTTCGAGACCTCTGCTTTCTGTGTTTTCTTCTCCTTGCAGGCTGTTTAAGGGGTTATGCTCTCTCAGAGATGAAATCGAATGGTCCCAGTGACTGAAATCAAATGGCTCCCACTCCTTTTTGCATCTAAAGGCCCCACTTTTAAAGTTTAAATGTTAATTGTCCACTTTGGTGGTCCTAGTTGTACTTTTAATACATATTGATTAAGAAAATACATGTCATGGCAAAGATACTAGGAATTTATTAATATTTTAAAGTAGGTTTTGATTTTATCTATCCTTAAAGCAGTTGTTCTCATCTGGGGCAATTTCACTCCCCAGAGAGCATGTATCAGTGTCTCTGGACAGTGAGCAAAGATGTGATTGCTTGTCACAACTGGGATGTGGGGATGCTGCTAAATATCCCCTAGTGCACAGGGCAGCCCCACAACAGAGCATCAGCCAGGCCAAAGGGTCAGCAGTGCTGGGGTGGAAAACCCTGCCTTAGAGCATCTGCAGAGGAGAATAGGTGTTAATAGGACAACCAAGTAAAAATAGTAAAACAGCTGATACTTCTTAAGCATTTACTGAGAGCTGGGCGTGGGGCTAAGTGCTTTACATGTTTTAAATCACCAAATCTCTCAATCAGCCTGTGAGCAGACATTATTAGTGTTTTCATTTTACAGATGAGGAAGCCAAGGCACAGAGAGATTGAGGAACTTGCTGAAGGTCACACAGTTGGTCAGTGGCAGAGCAGGGTTTAAGCCGAAGCCCCTGGGTCCGGTCCCATACTCCACACCATCACACTGTACAGGCCCGGTAGTCTCCCATGTACAGACAACGCTTGGCATTCATTTGTGTTTCTAGACCTTTCATATTAACCACACAAAACCTTGGAGTCCAAGACCTACAGTTTGGGAATCATGGGTAGCTGAGAAAACATGCACTTGGAGCCTGGTAGATCAAATCCTGGCTTCTCCTAGCTGTGTGGCATTGGGCTTGCTGCTACTTCTCTGAGCCTCAGTTTCTTCTTCTGCACAGTGGGAGTGCCAGTCCCTGTCTTGCCCCCTGCAGTGGGTTGGAGAGTGGCTCCAGGGTGGGAGGGATGAAGGTGGAGTATTTGGGTGCGTGTTGGGGGCTGGGGTGGTGGGTGGTCCAGGGGGGTGTTCATCTGGTTACTTGCCCTTCAGGCCCTGTTCCCCTGGGTCCAGCCTCAAGCCCTCCCATCCCCCTTAGGCTCAGAGGCTGCGGCTGCAGGGCTCTGTGCTGGCCAGTGCATCCTGAAGGTCAATGGCAACAACGTGATGAGTGATGGCGCCCCACAGGTCCTAGAGCACTTCCAGGCATTCCGGAGCCACCGAGAAGAGGCCCTGGTGAGCCGTCTCACAGCCAAAGGGATCAGAGAAGCCCTGCTCAGTGGGTGGCTGAGGGCCACCCTCCCTTCTCTGGGGAGAAGCATGAAGGCACACAGCATTTCAGGTGGGGTGGGGCTGCCTGCCTGGCAGGGCTGAGCCGGCCTTGGGCTCTGTGCTTCTGACCCAGAGGAGCTGGGCCATGATACCTCCTGGTTTTCACAGCTGCGAAATGGAGGTGATGAGACCCTCTGGCCCATAGGCGCCATGGGCAAAGAGTCGTGTTGCTGGTGAAGACTGATGCACTTGGGTTGGGGGCTGAGGTTCTGTGGGTGGGGGGGATACTGGCGCATTCTGTAAGCTTATTGAGCACCTGCTGTGTTTCTGGCTCTGGGGCCACAGGAGAGGCAAGGTTTCTGCTCCTATGGGTCTGACATGTATTTTCAAAGGCTCCCCCCTTTCCCTGGAGTCTGTGTGGAGCATAGACTATAGGAAGTGAGGGCTCAGCATGACCGGAGGTCTCCGAGGAAGGTTCCAGAATGGAGTCTTGGGAGCATCTCCAAAGATAGTGTCACCAATAGGTCGAAAGCTTGAGCTTTGGAGTCAGTTTGCACCTTGGCCTCTTCCCTTCCTCCCTGGGCTCCTGGCGTCCTGGCCACCCCCTCTTACTCTGCTCTCCTCACAGGGTCTATACCAGTGGGTCTACCACACCCACGAGGATGCCCAGGAGGCTCGAGCCAGCCAGGAGTCCCCTGGAGAGGACCCTAATGGTGAGGGGACCCAGGAGGAAGACCAGCCTGACTCAGGTAACTGGACAGGCGGGCAGTGTGATAGAGACCTTAGAGGGGCTGGGTCCTCTTGTGTGTCACACTCCTCCCCGATCCCATCCAGGCCATCTCCATGCCATCGTTCTCTATTAGTTTCTGATTGCTGCTGTAACAAAGTACCACAAACCTGGTGGCTTAAAACAGTACACATTTATTATCATATAGTTCTGGAGGTCAGAAGTCTGAAATAAGTCTCACTGGGCTATAACATTCCTTTCTGGGGACAATCCATTTACTTGCCTGTTTCAGTCTCCAGAATCTGCCTGCATTTCTGGCTTACAGCCCCTTCCTCTGTCTTCAGAGCCAACAGTGTTGGCCCGAGTCCTTCCCACACTGCCATTTTCTAATTCTGACTCTTCTTGCCTTTACTTTTCCCCATTTAAGGACCCTTGCGGTCACACCGGTTCACCTAGATAGTCCAGGATGCTCTCCTTAAAGTCAGCTGATTAGCAAGTTTAATTCTATTTGCTACCAGATTCCCCTTGTCATGCAACATAGCATGCCTACAGGGTCTGGGGACCTTTAGCTTGGCCCAGCTGAGCTCCTGACCTTCCCCTGAAACCTGCTCGTCCCCTTGGTGTCCCATCTCCATCCTTCCAGATTCTCAGGCCGCAAACCTTGGAATCCTCCTTGACTGTTCGTTCTCTTTCTCCTCTGTCCCTCCACTGTGATTCCAGAAGCATACCTCGTTGCCCCTGCCTTCCTCATGCATCCAGAATCTGACCACGTGCCCCACCTCCGTCACTGCCTGGTCCAAACCACTGTTTCTCCCCAGGACAGATCTCCCTGACCTACCTCCCCTCCCCTCCTAAGGACTAAAAAACAAAAGTCCCAGACTTGACTCTCAGGGGCCCAGCTTGGGTCACATGCTCACCCCTGAACCAATCACCATGAACACCGTGGAACTGCCCCACCGTATGTCTACGCTGTGGGGAGAGGTGAGCAGCAGCCCGACGGGGAGGGGAGCTATGGGAGATGGTTGTCTGTGTGTGGCAGTTCAGAGCTGTCCACGTCGCTACTGCCAGGCTTATGCCTCATGGTGCACCACTACTGCTTACTTTCTTTGGTTGAAGCCAAGGCTTGCAAACACAAATGCCTGTGTGAGACAGGCAGTTTCAAATGGGTGACAGAGAGGAAGACAGTAGGGAGTGGTGAGGACTATGGCAAGGTGAAGAATGCATGTTCTTTCTCAAAAGGGCAGTTCTTCTTCAGCTCAAGCTCATTATTAGCCAGGCAGGATTATTACCAGAAACATGAATTTTGGCCACACTTCTAAGGCCACATCTAGCCCATGGGCCAACAGTTCGAGACCTCTGCTTTCTGTGTTTTCTTCTCCTTGCAGGCTGTTTAAGGGGTTATGCTCTCTCAGAGATGAAATCGAATGGTCCCAGTGACTGAAATCAAATGGCTCCCACTCCTTTTTGCATCTAAAGGCCCCACTTTTAAAGTTTAAATGTTAATTGTCCACTTTGGTGGTCCTAGTTGTACTTTTAATACATATTGATTAAGAAAATACATGTCATGGCAAAGATACTAGGAATTTATTAATATTTTAAAGTAGGTTTTGATTTTATCTATCCTTAAAGCAGTTGTTCTCATCTGGGGCAATTTCACTCCCCAGAGAGCATGTATCAGTGTCTCTGGACAGTGAGCAAAGATGTGATTGCTTGTCACAACTGGGATGTGGGGATGCTGCTAAATATCCCCTAGTGCACAGGGCAGCCCCACAACAGAGCATCAGCCAGGCCAAAGGGTCAGCAGTGCTGGGGTGGAAAACCCTGCCTTAGAGCATCTGCAGAGGAGAATAGGTGTTAATAGGACAACCAAGTAAAAATAGTAAAACAGCTGATACTTCTTAAGCATTTACTGAGAGCTGGGCGTGGGGCTAAGTGCTTTACATGTTTTAAATCACCAAATCTCTCAATCAGCCTGTGAGCAGACATTATTAGTGTTTTCATTTTACAGATGAGGAAGCCAAGGCACAGAGAGATTGAGGAACTTGCTGAAGGTCACACAGTTGGTCAGTGGCAGAGCAGGGTTTAAGCCGAAGCCCCTGGGTCCGGTCCCATACTCCACACCATCACACTGTACAGGCCCGGTAGTCTCCCATGTACAGACAACGCTTGGCATTCATTTGTGTTTCTAGACCTTTCATATTAACCACACAAAACCTTGGAGTCCAAGACCTACAGTTTGGGAATCATGGGTAGCTGAGAAAACATGCACTTGGAGCCTGGTAGATCAAATCCTGGCTTCTCCTAGCTGTGTGGCATTGGGCTTGCTGCTACTTCTCTGAGCCTCAGTTTCTTCTTCTGCACAGTGGGAGTGCCAGTCCCTGTCTTGCCCCCTGCAGTGGGTTGGAGAGTGGCTCCAGGGTGGGAGGGATGAAGGTGGAGTATTTGGGTGCGTGTTGGGGGCTGGGGTGGTGGGTGGTCCAGGGGGGTGTTCATCTGGTTACTTGCCCTTCAGGCCCTGTTCCCCTGGGTCCAGCCTCAAGCCCTCCCATCCCCCTTAGGCTCAGAGGCTGCGGCTGCAGGGCTCTGTGCTGGCCAGTGCATCCTGAAGGTCAATGGCAACAACGTGATGAGTGATGGCGCCCCACAGGTCCTAGAGCACTTCCAGGCATTCCGGAGCCACCGAGAAGAGGCCCTGGTGAGCCGTCTCACAGCCAAAGGGATCAGAGAAGCCCTGCTCAGTGGGTGGCTGAGGGCCACCCTCCCTTCTCTGGGGAGAAGCATGAAGGCACACAGCATTTCAGGTGGGGTGGGGCTGCCTGCCTGGCAGGGCTGAGCCGGCCTTGGGCTCTGTGCTTCTGACCCAGAGGAGCTGGGCCATGATACCTCCTGGTTTTCACAGCTGCGAAATGGAGGTGATGAGACCCTCTGGCCCATAGGCGCCATGGGCAAAGAGTCGTGTTGCTGGTGAAGACTGATGCACTTGGGTTGGGGGCTGAGGTTCTGTGGGTGGGGGGGATACTGGCGCATTCTGTAAGCTTATTGAGCACCTGCTGTGTTTCTGGCTCTGGGGCCACAGGAGAGGCAAGGTTTCTGCTCCTATGGGTCTGACATGTATTTTCAAAGGCTCCCCCCTTTCCCTGGAGTCTGTGTGGAGCATAGACTATAGGAAGTGAGGGCTCAGCATGACCGGAGGTCTCCGAGGAAGGTTCCAGAATGGAGTCTTGGGAGCATCTCCAAAGATAGTGTCACCAATAGGTCGAAAGCTTGAGCTTTGGAGTCAGTTTGCACCTTGGCCTCTTCCCTTCCTCCCTGGGCTCCTGGCGTCCTGGCCACCCCCTCTTACTCTGCTCTCCTCACAGGGTCTATACCAGTGGGTCTACCACACCCACGAGGATGCCCAGGAGGCTCGAGCCAGCCAGGAGTCCCCTGGAGAGGACCCTAATGGTGAGGGGACCCAGGAGGAAGACCAGCCTGACTCAGGTAACTGGACAGGCGGGCAGTGTGATAGAGACCTTAGAGGGGCTGGGTCCTCTTGTGTGTCACACTCCTCCCCGATCCCATCCAGGCCATCTCCATGCCATCGTTCTCTATTAGTTTCTGATTGCTGCTGTAACAAAGTACCACAAACCTGGTGGCTTAAAACAGTACACATTTATTATCATATAGTTCTGGAGGTCAGAAGTCTGAAATAAGTCTCACTGGGCTATAACATTCCTTTCTGGGGACAATCCATTTACTTGCCTGTTTCAGTCTCCAGAATCTGCCTGCATTTCTGGCTTACAGCCCCTTCCTCTGTCTTCAGAGCCAACAGTGTTGGCCCGAGTCCTTCCCACACTGCCATTTTCTAATTCTGACTCTTCTTGCCTTTACTTTTCCCCATTTAAGGACCCTTGCGGTCACACCGGTTCACCTAGATAGTCCAGGATGCTCTCCTTAAAGTCAGCTGATTAGCAAGTTTAATTCCATTTGCTACCAGATTCCCCTTGTCATGCAACATAGCATGCCTACAGGGTCTGGGGACCTTTAGCTTGGCCCAGCTGAGCTCCTGACCTTCCCCTGAAACCTGCTCGTCCCCTTGGTGTCCCATCTCCATCCTTCCAGATTCTCAGGCCGCAAACCTTGGAATCCTCCTTGACTGTTCGTTCTCTTTCTCCTCTGTCCCTCCACTGTGATTCCAGAAGCATACCTCGTTGCCCCTGCCTTCCTCATGCATCCAGAATCTGACCACGTGCCCCACCTCCGTCACTGCCTGGTCCAAACCACTGTTTCTCCCCAGGACAGATCTCCCTGACCTACCTCCCCTCCCCTCCTAAGGACTAAAAAACAAAAGTCCCAGACTTGACTCTCAGGGGCCCAGCTTGGGTCACATGCTCACCCCTGAACCAATCACCATGAACAGGGGACATTTACTATGCTGATTGGCCAGGCCTGTTCCTCTGGGGAAGAGTGTGGGCGGCGGTCCCCTCTTCTGAGACACATGGACTGAGAATGGTGCACAAGGGTTTTATTCCTTGAAGGAAAATGTTCTAGGACAAGGGGTGAATGGGAGTGGGCTGGTAAAAATGAACAGAGCTGCACTTCAGTCTCCCCGTCTGTCCAGCATGAACCATCTGTGGTGCTGGGTGAGGGCTGGTGCTCCTCCTCAGGGTTGCTTGTCTGTTTGGCTTCCAGCCTCCCCTCTGCTGTCCCTGGGTCCCCAGCTGAGTCTGCATGAGGACAGCCCTGTGGTCAGCACGACCGTGGACAACGTCCACCTGGAGCACGGCGTGGTGTATGAGTATGTGAGCACAGCAGGTGTCAAGTGCCATGTGCTAGAGAAGATCGTGGAGCCCCGTGGCTGCTTTGGCCTCACTGCCAAGGTCTCTCTGGGTGCTGCCCTGCCATGGGGGACGGGTGGAGCAGCTTGATTCCCGTTTTCTCAGAATTAGCCTGAAGCCCTGAATTTTAGTCCCATTTGATAGCTATGGGGCTTAGGAGATTAATTTGTTATCTCTTTAGCCTCAGTTTAGTTCTTTGCAAAGTGGGCCAGTAATAGACCTGACCTCCAGGAGTATTATGAGGCAAGCAGGAGTCACTGCAGATAAACTGCCAAAACCCTCCCTTGGTGCATAGTGAGTGCTCAGTAGCTGTTCATGTTTCTGCAGATCCTCAAGGCCTTTGCTGCTGATGACAGTGTCTTTGTGCAGAACTGCGGGCGGCTCATGGCCCTGAGCAACAACATCAGGACCATGTCTCACTATGAATTCCGCAACATCTGCGACACCAAGCTGGAGAGCATTGGCCAGAGAATTGCCTGCTACCAGGAGGTACCTGCACCCTATGGGGTTTCAGCCTGGGATATTAGACTGTAAATGTCAAAACCCAACCCAATTTAGCTTAAACAATCAGGAGAATTTATTGATTTATATTACTGAAAAGTCCAGAGGTGAACTTCAGGCATGGTTGTATCCAGGCGCTCAAACAGGTATCACACTACCATTAGAACATGGCCTCTCTCCTCTTCACCTTGTTTTCCTTTGTTGGCTTCATTCTCAGGCAAGTCTTTCCCATGTGGTGACAAAATGGCCCCCAGTGGCTCTAGCTTTAGCTATTTGAAAAGCTTTCTCCTTTTCCCAGTGGAAAAGGAATTTGATGAGAGCTCTTATTGGCTGGGCTAGGGTTCCTTGCCTACCCCTGTACCAGTCACCACAGTGATGCAGAGGCTGCCTTACCTGAACCTCATGGACTGTGGGTTGGGGAGAGATGGTTCTTCAGGAACAGCTCAGGTGCTGCTAAGATAGAGAAATGAATGTGAGTAGGTACTCAGAGGACTCAGATTTCTTCAAGCCTTCCCTGAAATCTGGATCTAGTAAAGGGCAGTGCAGAGGAATCTACTTTTTCATTTGAAGCTATTGGCATTTTGTCTGATTTTGGAATAGCTGGCCTAGGCCAGGGTAAAGTGGGTACTGGAGTGGGCTAGAATTCCCAGAGCCTTGAATTAAGACCCCCTGTACCCCATTTTTCTCAGTTTGCAGCCCAGCTGAAGAACAGGGTCAGCCCACCCTTCAAACAAGCATCCCTGGAACCCCATCCACTATGTGACCTGGACTTCTGCCCAACCAATTGCCATGTCAACCTCATGGAAGTGTCTTACCCCAAGACCACACCTTCGATTGGCAGGTCCTTCAGCATCCGCTTTGGTCGCAAACCATCCCTTATTGGCCTTGACCCAGAACAAGGTAACTGTGTGTGTATTAGAAATTGTATTTGGATCTCACACTCCAGATACTTAAACAGAAACATGTCAGGAGGCCAGTAGTTTGGCTGGACTGACAGGTCCACAGTCATCAGGGACCCAGGCTCCTTTTATCTTTCTGTACCATCATCTCTAGATGTACCTTCCATTCTGAAGGATGCCTCATGGTATAGAATGGCTGCTGGAGTACTAGTTGTCATGTCTGCATTCCAAACAGGAAACAATCACAATAGTTAAAAGCATATTAGCACCAAACTGCCACTTTCTTCTTGAAGTAACCTAATGGATTAAAAGAATAAAAGGAAAATTTTCTCATTCATTGGTATCATTGAAATGGGTTTGTATATTTCTGTCTAAGGGGCTTGTTGGTGTCTGGGAACTGTTTCCAAGTGAGTTCTCTCTCCTGCTACAGTGGGCCATCTGAATCCAATGTCCTATACCCAACACTGCATCACCACCATGGCTGCCCCTTCCTGGAAGTGCCTGCCTGCTGCGGATGGGGACCTCCAACACCAGGGTCCCAACAACAGCAGCTTTGGGCCAGCCAATGGAGCCCTTGGCCAGGAGGACCGGGGCCTGAGCTTTCTACTCAAGCAGGAGGACCGTGAGATCCAAGATGCCTACCTGCAGCTCTTTACCAAACTGGATGTGGCCCTGAAGGAGATGAAGCAATATGTCACTCAGATCAACAGGTGAGCCCTCGCCCGGGAGGGAATGGCAGGGGCCTGTTAGTGTCAGGATTCCTCAACTTCATCAGTATCAACTGTTTGGGTAGGGTAATTCTTTGTAGTGGGGGCTGTCCTGCATATTGTAGGCTACTTGGCAGTACTCCCCTGGTCTCTGTGCACCTGACACCAATGGTCTCATCCCATGGTGATAACCCGGAATGTCCGCATATATTGCCTGATGCCCCCTGGGAGCAAAATCTCCCGACTGAGAACCACTGCTCTAATGAAATGGTGGATGTAAGCAGTGATCATCGGTAGAGAAAAAATTATTTGGCCAAAGATTTTTGGGGAACTTCACAATTGCAGAAAGAGAGGCAGCCGAACACGATGTCCCTCATGGATGGACAAATGATGGCCTGTGGGCCAAACCAGCCGACTGCCTGTTTTTCTAAATAAAATGTTACTGGCCCGCAGCCATACCCATTTGTTTATAAATTATCTTTGGTGCGTTCACACTACAGCAGCAGAGTGGAGTAGTTGTAACAGATTGTACGGCCTTGCAAAGCTGGGAAGGCTTGCTCTCTGAGCCTTTTCAAAGTTTCCCAGTCGTGTTTTATGCTCTTGAGCCTTGTGTAGCTTGGCCATGAAATAAAGAACCTCCATATCTCAAACCCCTACAGGAGGGACAGTGTATGTGTATCTGCTGAACTGCTGGGAGGATTTTCAGGGAAGAGATGCAAAGCATTTGATGGCTCACTTTGCTTAGGGTCAAAGGTGAGGCCTGAGGTCAGGGCCTTGCCTGGGGCCTCCATGAAGGTGAGTGAAGCCATGGGCCTCTTTAAGTTCATAATCTTTGCTCCTACAGGCTGCTGTCCACTATCACAGAGCCCACCTCTGGAGGGTCCCGTGATCCACCCTTGGCTGAGGAGGCCTCGTCCCCGCCGCTGGTCAGCGAAGAGAGTGATATGGACAGGACGGACCATGGGGGCATCAAGAAGGTGTGCTTCAAGGTGTCTGAGGAGGATCAGGAGGACTCGGGTCATGACACCATGAGCTACCGTGACTCCTACAGGTAGGGGGCAGCCTGGAGAGGGGCGGGGTTGTTGGTTGGGGTTTGATGTGGATGGCGAGTGGGACAGTTGAGTCTGTTGACCCGTGGAAAAGTTGGTATCAGTGGGACATTTCCCAGGAAGCAGTGGGCTCGGACGCTGCTGTTACAACATGTGGTTCTGGGGGGTTATCTGAAACCCCTGAAGCACATCCAAGATTCCCCCTTTGGTTCCCCCACCCCAAGGCTAGTGTTCCAGGGCCTGTGCCCTGTGGGCACCATCCGTCCCTTCTGCCTTCATTCGGCTCCACACAAACTGATGGAATGACCAAGAAAGTCAAGCTCAGCGGGGTGTTTTAAAATACAATGTAAGGCATATGGTTTCTGCAACAAACACTGTTTATTTTTACTTGATTCAAGGAGAAAGACATTTTTTTTCTTCCTTACTCTGAGAGGATCTGAATTGTTTCTCTACTGATTAAGTTAATTACAACAAAAATCAGTGAAGTCCTCCTAATTAGTGGGTTAAATAGACTAAAACCTCAATTTCCTGTAATAAATGATACAGTGGGTAAATGGGATTTCTTACTATGAATAAATAAGCACTGTGTCTCCAGTGTAAGATTATGTGACATTTGGCTATCGTGGTTAAAGTAGGACCTTAGAGTGGGTACCCCAGTTGTTTGTGGGCACAACACAGAACCGATAGAATTTGACAAGAATGACCTTCACTATGGTCCTCCCAATGGTCTTCAAGAGATCCGACTGGTCCATGTTTCTGGCTCGGTGTTCGTTCAATGATATGTGCTGACTAGCTGGGTGCTGGGTGCCCTTGGAGACTTGTGTCCATAGTCCAGGATTTCTCCATCTCTCACGGTTTCCATTCTTATATTTTTGGGTCCTCTGATTTTTCCCTTTATATTTAAGAAGGTGAAGGGAAGGATTTCAGGATTGTAGTTTTTGATTCCCATAACCCTCTGAGTTACTGGGACACAAGCTTATTAAACATAGTCCCTGTCCTCAAGAGGTTTCCAGGCAGGCTGAGGAGACAGAACGCGGAGCCATATGGGTGAGAGTGGCTAGAGCGGGTGTGTCCAGGACCGGCTGTCCCATGAGGGGAGTGACAGAAGTTACCCGGATGAAAAGAATTCACTGTCCTGCTGTTCCTGCGTTTCTGTGCTGGGGTCTGGAAGTGTTCCCCTACTGTCAGACATGCAAAGCCAACCAGGACGGCCTCCACCTCCGGCACCAGTGTATGGCCCGCAGTGCCCTCTCTGGACTGGTTGTCCAGAGGCCAGGGGCCAGGGGTTCTGTCTACACTCCAGAAAGTGGGTTCTGGGTGCCGCGACCAGAGGGTGGGAGGCAGAGGGTGACTCCTCCCTCCTGTCTGCCCCTTTGCAGCGAGTGTAACAGTAATCGGGATTCCGTCCTGTCCTACACCAGCGTGAGAAGTAACAGCTCCTACCTGGGCAGCGATGAGATGGGGTCTGGTGAGTGCAGGGGCTTTGTGCTCGAGAAGAGGGGTCCCTGCAGCGAGATTTCATGTGGTTTTTATTTTACAATGCTTTATTCTGTGTTACAGTGTTTTGTGTTAGTCCACGTAGTATGGTAGTGTATTTCCTTTCCGTCACTCATTCAGCCAAAATTTATGAAGCATTTTTTAGGTGCTGAGACCATAGTAGCGAATTAAAAGGGCTCCTGGTCCTTATGGAGCTGCCATTCTCCATGCATGTCATGGGCACGGGATGGATAAAAACATACATGATGCAGTACGGACTGTGATCAGTGCTCTGACGTCATCAAAGTAGGGTGACCTGATGGTTTCCATAAAAATGACACATGCGCAAATCAAAAATTGAGATGTCGCAGAAAAGCTCAAAAGTACATGAAAGTCAGTCAGAGTATCATCCCCTCCCTCAGAAACGACCATTGGTCATATCTGGAGCCCACTGGTGAGTGCAGATTTCTGCCCAGATGGACATGTGGGTGGATGGCTGGATGGACAGATACAATGAATATTTTAAATTATACTCTACTTTGAATTTTTGCTGAAAGACTTGAAATTTGTTTTTTATTTTAGTTTCATTGATTGCAAGCTTTACATGTTTTATTTTGTGAGTAGGTCATACATCCTTGTGGTTCATAATTCATAAGGGGCAAGAGGGTGAATGGTCACGAGCCTCCCCTCCTTCTCATGGGCCCCACCCTCCCAGTCCCGGGCGCCTGCTGCCTTACTGCCTCATGTGTCTTTCCAGAGGTAGTCTGCACCGAAAAATTTAATTTTAATTAGACTTCAACGTAACAGAAGAAAGAGAAGCTCAAGTAAAATTGCAGATATTGTTGAACTTTAGATAAATATTTTATCACATAAGATACTCAGCTGCAAAAAATGTCTCTGGGGGGCTTTAGGAAGGAGGCTGTGTGCTGCAGCTGATTTAACTGCAACAGCTGAGGGTTGAATCAGGAAACGAGGTTCACTGTCTTCTCTCTGGTTCTCAGTCTCCTCAATTGCAGAATGGAAATATTAACAATGACCACAGCTACATAATACTTTAGTTCCTGTTGTCCATTTTGCATGAAGAGACAAGGCTCAGAGTGGTCAGGTGATTTGCCCACTGCCACACAGCCAAGATCTGAGTTGGCCAGACTCCAAATCGGCTGTGGGTTTTGGAGCTCTGTAGCTCTGTAGGCTTTTTGGAAAAGAGGTCGGGAAGGCGTGGGATGGGGCTGGAATAGTTGATGGCCATGGCTGCTGCTTTCTGCCAGGGGACGAGCTGCCCTGTGACATGCGGATCCCATCAGACAAGCAGGACAAGCTTCACGGCTGCCTGGAGCATCTCTTTAACCAGGTAGGACCTTTGTCCCACCCCCCGCCTGACCTCGGGTTCGTCCCATCACTCCTGGTGAGAACCCATAGGCCAGGAGCCGGAGCAGGGCTGCAGGTCATGGGTCCCTGCAACCCGGAGGGCTACAGGGGCCCAACTAACCCAGAGCTCCCTGCTACCCAGGTGGACTCCATCCACACACTCCTCAAGGGGCCAGTCATGAGCAGGGCTTTTGAAGAGACCAAGCATTTCCCCATGGACCACAGCTTGCAAGGTGAGCCCAGGGGAGTCTCGAGGGAGGGCTGGGAATGGCATCCAGCATCTAGTAAGGAGACAGCCTGTGGTGAGGAATGTGTGCTAGATGGAGGCAGGACCCCCAGGCCACTCTCTCCCCGCTTTGCCCCTCTCCTGCCCAAGGGCTATGGGCTAGTCCAGGGGTCAGCAGGTGCAGTCCAGGGGCCAGATCCAGCCCACAGCCTGTTTCTGTGCAGTCTGTGAGCTGAGAATGATTTTTTTCTTTTAGAAAGAGTTATAAAAACAAAAAGAAAGAAAAAATATGTGACAGAGACTATATGCCCTGCAAAACCTTAAACAGTTCCTATCTGGCTCTCTACAGAAAAGGTGTGTGGACGCCTGGGCTGGCCTCCCAGCCTTTCTGGGCCTCCGTCTGCCCATCGGTGGCATGAGGTGAAGGGCTGGAGCAGTTTGCCAAATCTCAGACTCCCCGTCCCCCATCGTCATTGTCACTATATTCACAGAATCTCCCTACATCTTTAAATTTTTTAGATCCATATTCATTTGCTGCCTGTATTATTATTGACATAACTTTTTTGAAAAAGTGCCTCCCTTTTAAAAATTTAATTTGGAAAGGAGCTCATTAAACTCCCTGTATATGGAATAGCAGTACAACGTGCCATAGAATAATGGCCAGAATAAGCAATCCAATGGAAACAATAACAAAGATGTTATTGTGCTGTAGTTAGGTCTTTGCTCTTTATTCATGGGGGATTAGTGAGTTAAAGCAGTGTTCAGGATTTAACAGCACCAAATTAAGACTTCCTGGAATGATGAGAGAAAAAGAATTGACGTTTATGTCCTCCCCCTACCTTTTGTCCCATTTACCCACTGACCTCCCTGCCCACCCACTCACCATCCGTCTGTGCATGCACTTGCCCACTCCCCACCCATGCATCCACACATCTAGTAGGTAATTCCCAAGAACCCTCTTGGGCCACCCCTAATGCTGGGCACTGGGGACCCTGAAATGAATGTGCCACTACTCCTGACCTCAAGGAGCTCCCAGTTGGGTACATGAGATGGGAAAAGAAACAAGCAGTTGCTTTTAAGTAAGGGTAGAACTGGAGTGCCCTAGCTCAACTGCCTCCCCTGCTGTCTCAGGATCATTTCCCCAAGGATAGACCTCAAAAAGCAGAAATCTCAAACCCAGAGGAGTGAAACCACATATCTCAGAAACCTGGGATCTTGTAGGAGGGAAGAGGCTCAAGGAACAGGGGCCTGTGTCTGCCTGGCCTTTGAATGGTCCTACGGGGGCCAGGTTCAAGTCCCAGCTCTGTCATTACCCAGCAGTGTGACTTTAGGCAAGTCACTCTCTCACTATGTACCTGGGCTTCCTCCTCCGTATAGGGAATAGGTTAGACTAGGCGATAACTCATGTGCCAGCTTGACGGGTTGTGGCTATGAGGAGGTAGTACCTGCAAATCCTTCTGTGTCTATGTCCAGGCTTAGGAGAAAAGAATGCAGTGATTGATTTGTGATGTCTTATCATGGATTGGTTGGAGCTATGGCGGCTAACAGCCTCAGAGTAGGAGGAAGGAGTGCGGATATTGATTAGTGATGTCTGTCATGTGTGTGGTACTGTCAATCAGTAGCACACTTACCATGTATTTGCCCTCTGTGGACCAGATAACACCCAAGAGTCCTGCCAGCATCCTTGACCTGGGATTCTGAGCTTTGGAGTCTTGTAATAGAACATAGACCTTTGTGTCACTGTTCTCCAGAGCTACCTCTGTCTCTTTCCTGCCCTCATGTCACTTTCCTGTCCCAGAGTTCAAACAGAAAGAAGAGTGTACAATCCGTGGCCGGAGCTTGATCCAGATTAGCATCCAGGAGGACCCCTGGAACCTTCCCAACTCCATCAAGACCCTGGTGGACAACATTCAGAGATATGTGGAAGGTTAGTTGGGCAGAGAAGGCTGTAACATGGGGGTTTTGTGGCCTTTGGTTCTTCATATGGAATAAAGGATCAGAAATGGGTCCATCTCCAAGGCCTATTTCTCTTCATGCCCAGCAGAGGAAAGGAGAGCAGGCGCCCCTTTCTCAGCCGAGCATCCTGCTGTAGGCAGGGCCTGGGACTGTACACCCTTGATCAGAGAACTGCGCTTTTGAGTGCCTGGGGCTTCCTTGCAGTCTCAGGAGGCCAAGAAAGCTGAACTTGTTCCTTCTCAATTTCCACAACTGTAGATTTAGTTCAATTCCTTTTATTTATTTTCAAGGTCACAAGCTGGGTGCCCCTGATCAGACTTGGGCCCACAGATAATTTTTGATGTTATCGCATTAAAAAAATGTGAATCCACTGTCAGTATTTAAAATCCAAAATCTCATATAAACAGCTAGATTTCTTGCTATTCTTGAATAATCAGAGGCTCTGGTGAGACCAGGCCTGTAGTCCACATCACACTTGGCTGGGGTGGAGATGAGTGGCAGAGGGTGACTGCCAGTCCACCACAGTCCCCAGCACTCCCTGTGGCCTGGTGTTTGTGTCAAGTCATCTTACATTACTTGCCTGGCCCTGGGCAGCATTTGAGTCTGGGACTCCCGCGGTAGAAGAACCCCAGGCCAGGGACACATTTTACCAGAACAGCAGAAGGTGTGCGGTGTCAGGGCTGCTCCCCCAGGAACAGTAGCTTCTGAGTTGGATGTCTCTGTTGGCCCTGAGCTGTTCTGTTTCCAACTGTAATTGGCTGGAGGCATGGACTCTGGGGCCAGATTGCCAGTGCTGGAACCCCAGCTCTGCCACTCTGGGCTCTGTGATCTTTGCAAGTTCTTTGACTTCTCTGTGCCTCAGTTTCTTCATGTGTGAAATGGGTTCATAGTGTTGTGAGGATTAAATGACTCGGTGCAAATATAGCACCTGGTACTGTGCCTGGCATACAGTAAATCCTCAGCTAGGGTCCCCTGCTGCTACAGGCGCTGTCACTATTAACACACCCAGCCCTGCATCTTAGTGCCTGTCAGGACAAAAAGTATCTCAAGAGGACAACTTTAAGGCTTTTCTGATTTTTCTTTTAAGCTCCTTCTGGGCCTAAGAGCCTCTTTTTGAAGGAAAGAGACCAGACTGTTTGGCCTGTCTCTGGAAGGTCTGAGCTCTGTCTATACATGTGTAGGCTGTGTGTAAGTCCCTGAGTATCCCATCTGTGTGTGTGTATCTGCGTGTGTGCATGCGTGCATGTGTGCACATGTCAGTGTGCCCACACATGGGTACAGGGCATGGGCAGGAGCTCTGGCCCAGGAGTTAGAGGGCTGGATTTGGTCTGTGTTTGGTGATCACATGTAAACAGATGCAGCCAACAGTTGGGATTCCATCCTCTGGATGTCCAGGGGTTTCTGGAATCTACCCAACATTCAATGAAACCTTCTTCAGTGCATAAGCCAGAGCCTCGTTACTAAAGGTTCAGAGCGCTCGGGCTGTGGAGAGGGGCCCAGCTCTGCTGTACCATCTGCTAACTCCCCTCAGCCCGTCCTCCTTTCGTGACCCCTTCTCTTTCCAGATGGGAAGAACCAGCTGCTCCTGGCCTTGCTGAAATGCACAGGTGAGGGCATGGAAGGGGCAACTGCTTGTGATTTGCACATGTCAAGGTATGTCTAGGAGAGGCCATCCTGGCAGGAGTGCTTGTGACTGCTTCCCAGGGAAGGCCTCTTCTGCTGGCCAAGGTTGACTTTCCCGAGGTCATCAGGGCCTGCACAGGGCGGGGGCTGGGGGTGGCTGGTAACGCCATGCCTCGCGCATCTCCAAGAAAACTACTTAGATCTTGCATTCTCCTCTTGTGTCCAGGGGACCAGTCTCAGGGTCCTGGGGCAGGGAACCCTGTCTCTTAGCACTTCAGGTCTGGAAGGATCTTGACGAGGACGCAAGACAGAGGACCAGTGATTATGGAGGCTCTTTGCTGCTCGGGCCCTCAGCCCCAGCCTGGGTCTTCCTACCCAGTAGAGCGGGGGGAGGAGGAAGAGGCTGTTGGGAGGCTAGGGGAAGCTTGGAGCTGTTTTCTGTCCCTCCTTGCTCTCCAGAAGTTCTCGCCAAGGGGCAGCCAATACAGGGTCTAGAGAGCATTGGTCACTAAAAACCAGCTGGCAGAAGCCAGTCATCAAAAATAATCCCTTCCGGGAAACAGGAACCCTGCAGGATCAATTACCTGAAATTGGCCCGTTCCGCAAACCAAAATGTCACGAGCAGGGTTGAGCAAAGGTGGGGAGAGCTGGTAGAAGGCGTAATTCTCAGAAGTAGAGAAAACGGCAAACTGCATTTCTTAAAACATGGAGCTTGGCAAAAATGCTTGACATCACTGTCGTTCTCAGTCCAGGCCAAGAGATCCCCTAACAAATGGAGAAACAGCTGAGGGTAAAGGTTTGGGGGAAGCTTTAGGAAAATCACAAAGTGTTTTTTTTTCTAAATAGGCAGATGGGTCATTGAGAGAATTGAGTTTTTTGGCAAATGGCTTACTTTTGGAGAATTGATTTTTATGGAGTTGGCTTTTGGTCGCTGGACTTAATTACTTTTTGGCAAGTTGGCCTCTGATGGGTGGTCTGGGGGGGAGGTCTGGCTTTGGGGCAGGGGCCCTACCGATGGCACAGGAGCGCCCTCCCTTCCTGCCCCTGCCTGTAGACACAGAGCTGCAGCTGCGGAGGGATGCCATCTTCTGCCAAGCCCTGGTGGCCGCCGTGTGCACCTTCTCTGAGCAGCTGCTGGCAGCCCTCAGCTACCGCTACAACAACAACGGCGAGTACGAGGAGAGCAGCCGGGATGCCAGCCGCAAGTGGCTGGAGCAGGTGGCGGCCACCGGGGTCCTCCTGCACTGCCAGTCCCTGCTCTCTCCGGCTGCCCTGGTGAGTGAGGGAGGGAGGAGGGAGGGGGTGGCGGGGGTGGGGGGAGCATGGGACAGGAGAGCTCTTGCTTCCTCCCTGGAGCTCTCACACACTTGGTCATTCATTCATCCAGCAGTTATTTATTGAGCACCTAGTCTATGCAGCTGTTATAGGCACTGGCGATCCGGCAGTGAAAAAGCAGTCCGTGTACTCAGGGATCTTATATTCTAGTTGGGGGAGACAGATGTAAACAACAAATAGGTAAAATAAATGATTTTCAACCTTTTCAACCAGGGCATTTTATTCCCTTGGGGACACTTGACAAAGTCTGGAGACTTTTTAGGTTGTCATAGTTGAGGGGAGTTGAGGGGTACTACTGGTGTCCAGTAGAGGCAGGGATGCTGCTAAACATCTTACCACACAGGATCATCTCCCACCCCCAACAGAAGATTATTTGGTCCCCAATGTAAATAGTGCTGCATTTGAGAAACTCTTGTATGTGGTGATAAAGGCTAAAGAGGAAAGTATAGCAGGAAGTGGGCAGGAAGGTCTGGGGTGGTGGCAGTTGAAAGTTTTGGTAAGGTGGCCAGTGAAGGTCTCACCAAGATGGTGACACCTGACCTAAAAACTGAAGGCAGAGAGGGAGTGAGCCATGAGGATATTGGGGAGGAACCACTTCTGGAAAGTGGGATTGGTAGGTGCAAAGGCCCTGAGGCAGGAGCATTGCCTTCAGTGTTTGAGAAACAAGGTGCCCAGTGTGGCTGGAGCAGAGTGAGCTGGGGGAGATGAGTCCTGAGAATTGACTGGAGTCAGACCATGCAGGGCCTTGCAGGCTGTTGTAAGGACTTTGGCCACTGCTGTGAGTGGGTGTGAGCCATGGGAGGGTTTTGAGCAGAGGAGAGACAGGATCTAACTTTGACACTTAAGGAATCACTCAGGCCACTGGGTGGGGAAAACTATAGAAGGGCAAGAGCAGAAGCTGGGAGACCAGTGAGGGTGCTTTTAAAATAAGCCAGGTGCACTGCAATGGTGCATGCGGCACATTGTCTAATCCTTGTGATAGCCCCGCTGCAGGTCCTTTGCCACACCGGGGCCTAGGGAGCCAGGTTCGAATCCCGGGACTCTGATAACCCTTGGGCTGCCCCGTTTTGTCTACACCTCCCTTCTTGCCCTGCCCATCCCCTCAGTGCTCAGAATCAGGGTGGGTCCCTCTGCCAGCCCCAAGGACACAGAGCCAAGGTCTTAGTGTTTAGGGGTGCTGGTACCCAGAATCAACATTCCCCAGAAATGCAGCCTGCAGCCTCGCTTACTCTGTGCTGTTTGCTCTCCCCACTCTGTGCCCAGGCTGGAGCTCCCCACACCTCAGCCCTGAGCCCCCTAGACATTTTCCCAAGCCAGGCTGGATGCCACAGCTGCTGCCTGGATGGGAAGGTGCAGCCTTAGTGTGCCCTCTGCTGGCTGGCATTGCACACAGCCGGCTGTCCGGTCAGGGATCTTCTCTCCCAGGTTCCCAGAAAGCACCACCCAAGAAAACCCAGCCCTCACTCACCTTCTCAGTTGAGGACTCTGGGGCCACAGCATGAATTCACCAGTCACCACGATGTGCTTGGCCTTGGCTCTGAGCTGGGTGCTGGGGGGTCTGAAGCTCGCTTTCTACTTGGGAGGCAGCAGATTGGGAAGAAGAAAGGGTAGAGGAAGAAGGGAGAGGCAGGGAAGGTGGGTTGTGCAGCAGAATTGGAAGGGACTGAGTCTCTTTGGAGTGCCAGGGCTGGCCTCTCTGAGGAGGTGCTGTCTGGGCTGAGACCTGCATGCCAGGACAGCCGCCAAGGTAGATGGTCTAGGGAAGAGTGTGCTGGGCACAGGGAGGCCTGTGCGGCAGGAGCGGCGTGCCCAGGAGATCTGGGGATGAGGTCAGTAGTGTCACATCTGCAGGGCTTGGGACTTTGTTCTGGGAGAAGAGGGAGGGTTGAGAGGCTTTGAGGCAGGTAAGTAATATAATTTGAATTAAGTGTCCCTTGTAGTCAGAGGAGAGCCCTGGGAGTCTGACTGTAGGCCTGGTAACGATGAGGCTGCCCTACTCTCCCTGCATCTCCAGTTCTCCCCGTCTGTGCCTTGTTTGGGGGTTAGGGGGCAGAGGGAGACCTGTGATGAGGCTGGTGTAGTCCTTGTACTGGGGAGGTGGGGAGGGTGGAGGGCGCGGGTGGCTCTGGGTGGTGACCCATTAGGACGGGTGATGGACTGTGCGTGGAGGGAGGGGAGGCAAGTGAGGACCCCTGAAGGCTTGGGGCTTGGGCGGCTGGGTGGACACTGGGTGCTTTGCTGACATGTGGCCTCCTGAAGGAGGCTGAGGAGGAGATGAGGACTTTGATCTGGGTGTGTTAGGTTTGAAACAGCTGGGTCGGTGGGATGGTCCAGGTAAGAGGCCACCCAGCACTTTCAAGCAGACATGGTTTCTGACCTTGGGAGACACAGGACAAGCCTAGAGCAAACATGATTTCATGTCCAGCCCTGGAGCGCCCAGCCCAGGACCTTGCTCTGGGTAGGCCCACAAATGATGTGTTGACTGGGGTTGAATCACGGCATCTTGAAGTGAACGCCGGGATAGGGGTGGCACCTGATACCCCCCTACCCTGTCTTTTCTCCTGCAGAAGGAGGAGCGGACCATGCTAGAGGACGTCTGGGTGACCCTGTCAGAGCTGGACAATGTCACCTTCTCCTTCAAGCAGCTGGATGAGAACTACGTGGCCAGTGAGTGATTCTCCCCACTCCTACCGTGGGAGTTGGGGTTCTGGGTGGAAGGGGCTTGCTCTGCGGCCACCCTGCTTTCAAGCCCCAAGCTCCCAACACGAGTCTCAAGGCTGAACTCTGGGACACATATGGGAAAAGAGAGGTTTCTTGTAGTATAAACCCAGCTGTCTCCAACAGCTCTTAAAGGGGAATAACAAACAGTACCCGGTACTCGTTAAAATTCCGCCCCAGAGACATCCTTCTCTGGGTTGAAGACTTGGTAAGATCTTCTAATGTCTTACATCATAATTTTCTTCTTTCCTTTCTCCCTTCTGCACATATTTCCACTTGCTACCCACCCGTCCAGCCATCCACACATCCACAATTCTGAGCATGTGAGGCACAGTTTTAGGTTCTGGGGCCACCGTGGTGAGAAATAATCCCATGGTGCCTGCTGTCCTGGCCCTTAACAGTCTAGCCCAGTGGGTCTCAGCCCTGGATGTACTGGAATCATCTGGGAGCTTTTCAAAGACACTAATGCCCCAGTTCCAGCCCCAGTTGGGATTCATCTGTGGGGTAGATCCTGGGCATTGGGGTTCTAGGAAAGCTTTCCAGGTGACTTTGATGCACAGCCAGAACTGAGAACTACTGGGCTTGCTTTTCAGAGCCATGTCTCTCCAAATGTGGTCCCTGAGCCAACAGCACCTGGAAGCCTGTTAGACAGGCCAAGTCTCAGTTCCCACCCCGGACCTATTAAATCTGCAACTCTGGAAATAGAGCCCAGAAATCTGTGTGTTGACAAGCCCTCCAGGTGATTCTGAAGCACACTGGTTTGAGAACCACTGCTCTAGATTGGTGTTTCTTAACTTTTTTTTCATTATCACCCACAAAGAGCCTTTTTAGACAATTTTTTCCTGATTGCCATACTCCCATGAAATTATAATACCATAGATATGCTGCATACCCATTAATGTACTATATATGTATCTATGCTTTATACATTAAAAGTAATTTTTTTCTGCCCTCCCCCCAAGAACCAATTTTTACCTCCTTGGGGTTGATTGCATCCTGTTGAGAATGCATAGACTAAAGGCTAGAGGGACAGTGGGTTTCTTTTTGGGTACCAGTTGGAATCTGTCGGCAGTAGCTGCCTGACTGTAGGCCAAGTTGGGTTCAGGGAGAACTACTGATTGATTAGTGATGTCTGCCATGAGTGCAGTTTGGGTGTGAGTGCCATAATTTTGCCACCCCTGCCAGAAGCCCTTCCTTATGGGTATAGATAAGATGCAGGTCTTGTTTGATGGCAGCTTTTGCCAGGTAGAGACCCTGGGCTACCAGGCAAAGGCTACAAGGAGCATTGGTGAGGCTCTGAAGATAAATGCCGACAACCTCCAGATGGGCAGAATCAGTGTCAGGGCTAGGACTTAAGCAGTGCCAACTAGGAGCTGTCGAAGGAGATGAAAAGGGAGGTCAGAGGTTGTTCTTCCCAGGGTGGGGGGATGGGCTGTCTGAAGCTACCCCTAGAGGTGGGAGGGCAGGGGATTCTGAGGCTACCCCTTTGAGGACCCAGGACGCCACCCCAAAGAGCTGCCCCACTCTGGCCTCATTGGTGAGCTGCCCTGCCCTACCATGTCCTCCCACAGATGCCAATGTCTTCTATCATATTGAGGGCAGCCGGCAGGCGCTGAAGGTCATCTTCTACCTCGACAGCTACCACTTCTCCAAGCTGCCCTCCCGGCTGGAGAGCGGGGCCAGCCTGAGGCTGCATACTGTGCTCTTCACGCGAGGTGAGCTGTGGGGTGCTGGGCAGGACCCACAGGAGTGGCCAAGGCTGTGAGCTCACCAGCCAGCTGCCCTCCCTCCCTTCCTTCACAGCTCTGGAGAATGTGGAGGGGCCGCCTCCTCCGGGCAGCCAGGCTGCAGAAGAGCTGCAGCAGGAGATCAATGCCCAGTCCCTGGAGAAGGTTCAGCAGTATTACCGCAAACTCAGGTATCTGCGGGGCCGCCCATGGGGGCCAGGGGTCTGGACACTGCCATGGGGAGTGGGACATAAGGCACCAGATGGGCCCCCATGTGGGAGCACACCCACTCTGTGTGAGGCCTCTGCCTGCACACACTTGTCAGAGTCTCCCTAGTCAGCGTAGGCCATTCTAACCCACTTTGCAGATGAGGAAACTAAGGCCCAGAGGGCATACCCAGATTGCCCAAGATCACACAGCCAGACTGTGGCTGAGCTGAGCTTTGAACTCTGTTTGGCTTCAAAACAGGTCCTTGCAACTGCAACAAGCTGCCTGTTCATTTTGTGTGGGGATGGGACCCAGGGCAGGGGGCCTGCAAGTAAGGGGTGTGGCCCCTGGGGCTGGCCCCCAGAGAGCAAGGGAGAGCAGGGGCCGCATCTGCCGGGAGGAGCATCAGGTCCAGGGAAGCAGCTCCACTCCACCACCCTCAGCCAGCCCCTTCCTGCTTCTGTCTCATCACCTTCTGTGGAAAAGGGCGGCTGGGAATTGCAAGACTGGGTTTCAGGGTGTGGGTAAGGCCTTTATTGTCTTGGGGCCCTTGGAAATGGGAGAACAATGCTTTCATTCATTTGTTCAGGCAAAACAAACATCCAGCTATATTATTAAAACTGGCATATTTTTGGATTGATCGATGCCATCAATTTGTTCTGTGCCATTTGTTGAATATTTTCAATATTGCCTCTGTGACCACTCAGGCATCTCTTCCTTCATTGAGCACACATTAATCGGGAGCTACCATGGGTCAGGCTCTGTTCTGGGAACTCTCTTGGGAGTCAGCAGTGACCAGACAAAGCCCGTTCTTCAAGGTCTGGCCCCTGTTTTGTCAATAAAGTTTTATTAGTGCACAGCCGAACTCATTTATGTGTGTATCATCTGTGGCTGCCCTTGTGCTACGACAGCAGCATTGAGTAGCAACTCTATACAGACTGCTGCTCCACACAGCCTAAAATATTTACTGTTTGGCCCTGTACAGAAAAAGTTGGCTGAGCCCTGTTCTAGAGGGGGGATATGCACAATAAACCCATCAACAAAGAGCAGTGTAACCTGTCAAGTGGTGAGAAGCGCCCACAGGCGGGATTCAGCAGGACGAGGGGGTATCCGCAGGGCGCTGGGTGCTGCTTCAGACAGCAGGCGGGCAGAGGTGGCATTTGAGGAGTGTCTGGGAGGCCCCTCTGGCTTCCTGCCTGGACTGCCAGAGGAATAGGTGGCTGCTGGCATGCAGAGCTCTGGAGGACACTCTTGTTGTGCGAGTCGAGGATGGCAAAGGGGCTGTGGCTGCAGTGGGGTAGGGGCTGGGTGGATGGGGATGCAGCAGCCCCACCCTCAACCCCATCTTTCTCAGGGCGTTTTACCTGGAACGGTCTAACCTGCCCACGGATGCCAGCACCACGGCGGTGAAAATAGACCAGGTATGTCCACTCTCCCCTGACCCACTTGGAGTTTGGGCAGAGCTGGGGTCTCCCGGGGTCCAGACTCAGCAGACAGGGCCCAGGGTTGCCCAGCAGCCAGCATCCTGAAGCCCCTGCCATCCCTCCTCTGGGCCCAGCCTCCCTGGGATTGGTCCCTCCCCATTCTAGGAATTGCAGCTTCAAAGTCCTAGGGTGACTTGTCGCTGGCACCCACCCACCTGGACCTCCCTCATGCCCTTGTTCACTGCAGCCTTTCCCTGAGGCTTGAGCCCACACCACATGTGGCTGTGTGCTGTTCTTTTTGTTTGTTTATTTGAATTTATTGCCAGCATTTAAAAATCAAAAGATTTCCCAAGAAATGGAGGCTCCCAGCTTTTCCTGAGAAATGGAAACATCTGGCTGTCCCAGGCGCACATTCCCACGTGTCACGACTGGCTTCCTGAGGGCACACGTGCCAGGCCTCTCCCCGCTTCCCAGGCTCAGGCGGGCCTTGAATCTGACAGTGTTTGGCAGGGACTGGCCTGTGAGACTGGGGGCTCCAGGAGAAGTGGAGGGCACTCCTTTGGGAGTGTGTAGTCCGACTGGCAGGATATTAAGGTGACACAGAAAGAATTGGTGGAGCCCCATTTTGTGCCTTCACAAGGTGATGAAGGAAAGCTGTAGGGGAGGAAAACTTCCTGGGTGTGTGTGTAGTGGGGGTGGGGCTGCCGTTTGGAGAGGGCAGAGGAGGGCACACGTGAGCAGGTGAAGAGAATTAGATCGGAATGTTACATCATGAACACTGCATACCAGCTTGAGGGGCAGTGGGGAGCCACAGATGGTCCTTGAGCAGGGGTCACGGAAGTGAATTGGCCTTTAACTCCCTGAGCTGAGCCAGGAAGTAGCTGCGTAGCAGAGCAGGACTGGAGGGAGATGATGGGCAGGAGGGCTGGTGGGGAACTTCTGACCGTCCTGGTGTGGGTGTGTCCCCCAGCTGATACGCCCCATCAATGCCCTGGACGAGCTCTGCCGCCTCATGAAGTCCTTTGTCCACCCCAAACCTGGTGCTGGAGGGAGCGTGGGCGCCGGCCTCATTCCCATCTCCTCCGAGCTCTGCTACCGCCTGGGTGCTTGCCAGATCGCCATGTGCGGCACGGGCATGCAGAGGTGAGCTGCCCCAAGCCCAGATACGGGGGGTTGGGGAGGGGCCTGGGTCGGCCTCTGGGCAGTTCAGGGGCCCAGGACAAGGAAACAGAGACTGTGTTTGAATCCTGGTTCTGCCACTGCCTGTGACCGCAGATAAGGGCTTGGCCCTCTCTCAGCCTCAGTTTCTCAGTTTGTGAAATGGGACCCCAGGAGTACATGGTCCTAGGAGAGCTGGGAAACTTTCTGTGTCTCCAACTCTGTGGCTTGTGTGCATTAGAATCTGTGCAGTGTGGTTCTGCTTGAACATTCATTCAACATTAACAATGACTGCTCATCTTTACTGGGGCAAACTGGCCTCCGTACCTCCTTGGACACCCCCCACTTTCTGTCCTTTGTCCCTGCTGCTCATTCCAGGGGGATAGATGTCACCTTTGCTCTGAGGCCTTACCTGACCTTTGTATTTAAAACTGCACCCCTCCCCTGTCTCAGCACCTTCCCCGGCTCTGTCCTCGTTACCACCCCACGTCCAAAGTACTTTGTGTATCGTTCCCGGCCACCCCTCTGCAGGCCAGCTAAGGGCAGGGTCCTGTTTTGTCCCCTGCTGTACTGCAGCACCTAGAACAGTGCCTGGCCCACAGCAGGTGCTCGGTACACATCTGTTGGCAGTGCTCACTGTGTACTGGGCAGCCTCATTAACGTTCCCCATGGGTTAACTCATCTCTTCCTTGCAGGGTGCCAGCCCAGCAGGGCCTGTTCCAGGGCTTCTCAGCTGAGGGTGATTTTGCTTAGTTGGGGGGCCGCGGTTTTGGTTCACAACTAGGGGGACATAGGTGCTGCTGGTATCGGTGGTGAGAAGCCAGGGATGCTACTAAACATCTTATGAAGCATGGGACGCTCCCCTACCCCCGCCTCGTGGAAATGTCGGGGTGCACTAAATTTATCCCTGTCTTCCAGTTAAGGAAACCAAGCCCTGGAGAGGTCCTCTTACGCTTACAGAGTAATCACATGGGTGGGATTGAATCAGAGCCTGTTCTAGAATTGTTCAGAACAGATGTGAGGAGGAAACAGAAGTGTCCATATCAAGCCTTGCTGATAGGTCGTGAGGCATTACGGGAGTCACTCCCTTGCTTGTTTCAGCAAGTACCTACCGTGGGCCTCCGAGCTGGGCCCTGGGAACATCCCAGGAAGGAAACAGGCGAAGTGCCTCTGCCTGCCGCCCACATGCTAAGGCGGTGCCTGTGGTAAAGTGGTGAAGCCTCTGCTGTGAGCCGGAGTGTGGCTACTAAGAGGAAGAATGGTCAGATGGGGAGGGGACAAGGCGGGCAGGGCTTCAGGGCATCTCAGAGAGATGACACTCGAGGGTAGGGGGCGGGCGCAGCAGTTGCCTCTGGGGAGGAGAGGCAGTTCCCAGCCCCGGGGCAGGTGCTCACTTGCCTGGAGAGAGGGACCCAGGCCTCTGGCCCTCAAGGTCCGGGAGGTAGAGGGTCTCGGTGGCAGAAGCTGTGGGGGGTGGGAAGATGCCCATTATGGTCACCCACCACCCCTGCCTGCCCGCAGGAGCACCCTGAGCGTCTCCTTGGAGCAAGCGGCCATCTTGGCGCGGAGCCACGGGCTGCTGCCCAAGTGCATCATGCAGGCCACGGACATCATGCGCAAGCAGGTGAGGCAGCCTGTGTGGGCAGGGTCCTGTCTGGGAGCAGTGCATTCTCAACTGGGGTGGGATGGGGGTCCGCCTGGGGTGGCCATTAGCTCCATGCGTGGACCTCCTCCCCAATTGGAGGGGGCCCTGGATTTTGGCTTCTGGGCCTCCTATTCCTCCCCCATCCCCCACAGGCAGGTCCCAGGGCTCAAGGTTCTTTCTTCCCAGGGCCCCAGGGTGGAGATTCTGGCCAAAAACCTCAGAGTCAAGGATCAGATGCCCCAGGGTGCACCAAGGTGAGTGGCTGTCCCTCTCCCCTCCCGTCCCCTCCTGTCCCCTCCCCTCCCCTCCCCTCCTGTCGGGCCTGGCATCAAACTCCCACCTAGACTTACCTTAGGCAGACTCCTAGTGTTCAGATGGGGGCTTCACCTCTCACTTATGGGGACCCCACTCTGGGAGCAACGAATACAATTCAGTTGGTTCCTTCCCAAAGGAGCCCCTACTTTGACTGGGAAGATGAGACAAGGGCCCCCGAGTGAGCCATAGGACAACGATTTGGAGTGACCCACTGGCCCATCCACCTCTCCACGCAGCCTGCTCCCCTCAGGCAGCTGCTGCTTCCTGTCCCCACGACCCAGTCGACTGTCCACTGCGCTTTCAGACCTCCCCATGGCACCTTGTGTTGTCTCCTATCCCAGTGTTAACCAATTGTGGTCTGTCTGCTCTCTCCAGCCACACTGCCCCTGTTTGCTATCAATATCTGCCTGCAATTTTAAATAACTTTTTATTTTGAAATAGTTTGACTCACAAGAAGTTGCCGAAATAGTACACAGTTCCCATCTTGGAGCCCTAGGTGCCCTTCACCCAGCCCCCAGTGATAATGCTTCATGCAGCCACAGGACATTGTCAAAACCAGGAAATGGCCTCTGCGATGCAGGGACTCACGTACAGATCAGTTTGTGTTTTACCATTTTTTGCATGCTCCCTTTTAGCCCTCATTTCTTTTTAACACTTTCATATGTTACTTGCCCTGCTCTAGGCACTGCTCCAATCTCTTTACCTGTATTACCTCATTTATTCCAAACAACCCTGTGAGTCAGGTACTGTTATCCCCAGCTGGCAGGTGGGACACTGAGGCACAGAGATGTAAAGTATCTTGTCTGAGGTCACACAGCTAGTAAATGGCAGAGCTGGGATTCTGCACCCAGGCAGTATAGGTCTGGAAGCTGAGCTCCGAGCCCCTGTGCTGCCGTGCTTCTCTGTCTTGCCTGGTCACTGCAGTAGCCTCCTGTCCGGTCCCCCTGCCATCGTTCCCCCCACAGCAGAACCGACTGTCACTTCTGCTTGAAACCCATTAGTGGCTCCTTCTTACTCAAAGATGCAGCTCAGCATCCTCCTAGCGCAGGCGTTAAACCAAGTCAGCTCTCTGTGGGCTGCAGGAGAGACCCCCAAGATACACTGAATGAAAAAACTCAAGTTGCAGAGCGCTACCTCTGGTTTGTCACCATTCGTGTGGAAAGTGCACACCCTCTTAAATGTGTAAACACACCCACACATATATCCGAACACCCAAACTTGCACAGGTGGGTGGGACTGTGTTTGTAAATCCCTTGCGAGTCTGGAGGGAGCAGAGACTGCCTGCAGGGAGGGGACCGGAGTGCAAGCAGCATGAACATTTTTTCCTCTGCGTGATTTTATACCATTCAAGTTTTGTTTTTTGGGCATGGATTACATGTTCAAATAAAAATGGAAATAATTACAATAGGCCTTGGCCCACCTGACTGCTCCTCAATTCTCTTCACCTTCATCTGCTAGGCTCTACCGCCTCTGCCAGCCGCCGGTGGATGGAGACCTCTAAACGCTGCAGTGCCCGGAGTCGACTGCGTCCTCTGGAGCTGGGATTTGGGAGGACACAGGGCCATGTCGGTCGGCCTTCCCCAGAGCTGGTCCGAGGCCTCTGCTCCCACCTGCTCCATCACCTCCTTTGAGGACAAGTGGTGCCCACGCTCTTGGGACAAGCTGGCTGATTGGCCCGCGGCCTGCACATTCTCTGAATTCTGCCAGATGCCCGAAGGGTACTGGGGACCCACAGAACGGAAGGGTGCAGCCAGGGCCTGGGCTCCTGCCCACAAGTCCCCAGGACATAGGGGAGAAGTCACGGGCACAGCAGCTGGAGGCCCACAGACCCAGCTCCCCCTGGATGGCTCAACCTGCACTTTTGAAACCCCTGGTTTCCTTCAACATCCACATTCCAGGCGACACTCGTGTCTCCTCCTCCTCACCTTAGCTTCCAGGTTCACCCCTAACCTTGTACTAACCTGCTTGGTGGACTCCGAAAAGCTGGGCTTCTGTCAGGAAAGACAGAGAGACAGGGCACAACGTGTTAGCAAGAGGACACTCAAAAGTGACACCAGCTTCCGACATCCTGGCCACTGGAACCTGAGCATTCAGCGCGGGGCACAAGATTTGCTCCGGCTTTATTTATATGGCGTGAAATCTCTATGGTTTATTTTGGGGTCTTAATGTTTGTTGATGTTGTCAGGATCTTTTTTTTCCAGGTTGTGACTATATATTTGACATTTTAAATTTCAAAGAGAAGTATATTGTCTAACAGGGGACCAACATAAGGTAGTATGGACACCTTTTCCCAGTTCTACTAAAAAAAAAAAAAGAAAAGAAAGAAAAAAAGGAAAACTAAATTATTGAAAAGTCAAAAAATGTCAATATTTCATCATTTTTACTATCAGGATCATAAGGTATCACTTTCAGGTATTGTCTATGATTCTCTCCCCCGGCCACCCTCAGTGCTCCAGCCGTTGGTCAGGATTAGAATGAATTACTTTGCTGTCTTTGAATTCCTGCCAACAAGGGTTGGAGAGGCGGCTGGGTCAGGGCTGGGGTGGAAACACCACCTGGGATGCTGTTCCGCACAGATGTCTGTCTGCAGGTAGGAGGGCCACTGGGAAACAATGGGTGGTGGCTTCCGTAATTTATTTTCTTGGCATCAGCTCAGCGTAGGGTGTTCGGTACTTCTCAGCCAGCCTGAGAGACAGGAAGCCAGCTTGCCTGCTACCTTCTGGGCACAGGGACCCATCTGAGATCCCCTTCGCAGTTTGTCCCCTCCAGTTCCTGTATGCCAGCAGGGAAATGTCATAGGTGAGGCAGAAGGGAGGGACTGTCCTTCCGCCCTTGGCTGGTGGGTGAGAGCAGGTGTGGTTTCCACAGCTCCTGAGGCTTGAAGCCATGCCAGTATCTTGACCTCCTTGGACCCCAGAAACCTTCTTTTTGTGCCCACCTGTCACTAGATTGCAAGGGGCGAGCTTGTTGCTGGAAACGGGTAATACTGTTAGACACAAGGACCTGTGTTAGGCCACTGGCAGGAATGGACAGGACAGGAGCTCCTGAGTGCACTGGTTTACTTTAAAATGTACAGATCTTCTCATTAAGTCCATGATAGATTTTTTATATTATTATTAAAGTCAGTTTATAATACAAAGATCCTGATCTGTGGTGGGTTCCTTTGGGGTCAACCTGGTGTGGCCAGCACCACGGGAGGAGTGGGCCTCAGCTTCAGAGCCCATGGAGGACGGTTCCCACTGATACCATTAGGGTTCTTGAGGCAGAGACCCCTACTCACAGACATCACCACTCTGAGCCTCTTTCCTCTAAAATCAGGATGTACTTTCCTTGCCGGGCAGTGGTGAGGACTGCCCGAGATGGCACGGCAGGGCTGTGCCTCCAGGGTTCCAGGGAAATAATGGTCTTTACATTGTATTTCACTTTTAGTTTGGATTCTGAGCTACCATTTCATTGCAGTGTGGGGAAAGTGTATTTTTCCAGGCATTCCCTGGAACATGCCAGGGTTCTTGATCTTACATGTACCCAGGGGTCAGTGTAGGCCCAAGGGATGCTAGTGACCTGGCTTCTGCCCTCGCCTACAAGACCCATTCTGGTCTGGGATCTGTGATCAGGTGGGAGTGGAGCTCCGAATACTCAACACGTGTTTGGGCTGGTTCCTGGCCAATCAGAACGCTGGCCGCAAACCAACCCTTCAGAATAGACACGGGCACAGGCACATTGCACGCATGCCTGGACCTGTGGTCTAGGGCCTGGGATGTGAGCTGGTTCTCCCCAGCCTGGGCCTGGGCAGTCTTTTTGAAGCTGCCAGGATCCATCTGCACAGCCAGAGAAACCTTCCTCAGGGCCACATTTGACCTGCTTCCCCTTTTTCTTGACTTGCCCTATGCCTGCCCCCATTTCCCTCCCTCCCTGCCTCCCTTTGTCTCTTCCTTCTTCTCTCCTTCCTTTCTTTCCCACACTCTGGGAAACACTGATATCTATGAAAAGCACCCTTGGGGTGCCCTCCTCTTGAAGTATGCCCCACCCCCATTATGGCCACACTTGGGAACCCCCCCCCCCAAGAGCCATGATACTCTCACCCCGTCCTGCCATTCCAGACTGGAGCCTCTTCTTTTTTCATCTCTTTTCTTCCCAAACTAGCCTGTCTCGGAGCCCTGCTCTCTCAAGGCCCAGACTGAGGCCCCCCCCGAGAGAGCCTTGTGTCTTTCAGTTACAGATATCAGAGACTCGGTTCTTCCTATAATAGATGAAGGTGATTTCTGGTGGGATTTTAGATGAGGTGATGGACAGATTATTTGGGGTTTTCTGAGGCCAGTGCTTGGGTCAAGGGAAAATCACTCTAAGAGGAAAGCTGTCAACTCAGTCTATATTTGGGGTCAACAGGGAGGATTTGCTGCCTTCCTTCGGGCAGATGCTTATAGAGAACAGCAATTTCTTCCAGCTATGTATCCTCGGGGCCTGCAATGAGAAAAGTGAATTCTCCTGTAGTGTTGGACAAGGCCAGGTTTGGTTTAGAGCTAAGAAGTGGGGTCTCGGTAGCCTTGAGCAAGTCACATTGCTTCTCAGATATAGAGCTGCATCTGCAAACTTGGGGTGAAAGCCCTGATCTCCTCCTTTCTCAGGAAGACCTTTTTCACTGTCCAAAATGGAGCATGAAGGGCATTTATGGGAGGCGGGAGGTCTTAAACTGGCAACCTGCAGGCTGAATCTTGGAAACAGATGTGGGTTTTGTCTTATGTTTCTCAGTATGGTGTTTTTATAATTTTGAATTAGGTGCTTATACTGATGAACCAGCAGATTTCACCTCCAAATTCTGCATTTTGGTTTCTCTGGAAAATTCAGAAGCCCTGGTGCTGCTGGCCCACATCCCTGCCTGGCCACAGTGTTGACTAGAGGGCGAGTGGCCCCTGCCATTGTGGAAGGCGCCAGTTCTCCAGCTCTTCACAGCACCCGCTGGCCCAGCCCTCCTTTACCTGACTGCACGGCTCCAGGATGGCCCTGCCTGGCAAGCCTGGCCAGTGCCAGCCTCTTGACTGTCCATATCCTCAGCTCTGGAGTGTTCACAGATGGTGAAGTGGGCTGAGGGGGACCTGGTGACCAGGTGTCGCTGTTCCACAGAACCTCACCCTCCTTCCCATCAGTAAGAGCATCCTGAGAACAGCAGCCACGTCCATCCTGTCTGTTGTGTCCCCAAAGTCCAGCCTGGTGGTGGGCATCTGAACCGTGGCCAAAAGAAAGATCACAACTGTCAGCCAGGAGCCACGCTGCAGCTGTCTGTGGCCAAAGCTCATGCCTCTGACTGTGGGCTCTGCACCTGGCTTTGTTCTGGGGCTGCCTGGGCCTGATTGTTTGGGCTGTGAGGGCTGGGCTGAGACCTTTGAGGTCAGACACCCTCGCCTGTCCCTGGACCTGGCAGGCTTCTGTATTTGCTGAATGGCCATCTCTCAGGAAGTCACCATTTGTTTCTCACAAACCCTCAGTTTCCTTCTCCAAGAAGTGGAAACATTGACACCTACCTGGCTGCGTTGCTGGTGACTGATACAGTCTCCAGGGTGCCCAGACTTAACTTCCCGTGGATAAATATGGTGTCCTGTCTGTCCAGCAGGTGGCGCCAGGGACCGTGTAGTGCCCAGAGGTTGCCGTTACCTGGGCTCTAGTTTTGCCAGGTCTTGCGTATGGGCTTCCAACCCAAACGCTGGCTCCTGGGTGCCCACGTTGGGACAGAGACAGCCTGGAGGCAGGGGCCGGGACTGTCTGGGTGATGGGCATTGGCTTCTGCCCTCTGGGCTGTGCTTGGTCTGACTTGGCATGGATATTTTCTTTTTCTCTATCCCCCCCACCCCCCCGTATTTCTTGATTTCTTCTCTTTCTTGATTATTCTTGTCTCTTTCCCCTCCATTCCTTTCTTTCCTGGCTTTTCTATTTTTCTTTGTCCCATGATATATGTCTGTGTAGACTCTATTTTCATATTCTTTTTTTTTCTTTTGTGCTTTTCCTTCTTTGCCCTTTTCCTGTCCTTGCAATGAATGGGGTGTAAGAGAAGGATGTGAAAGACCCTTGTAAACTGTGAGGTGAGGTGCTCGTGAGACCTGTGACCAGGAACCCGCAATTACTGACGTGCACCCCACCCCGGCCCTGAACCGTGACCCATATGTTGGCGCTGACCGCCAGGTGGCACTGTGGGCCAGACTGTCCTGGCTGAGCCTCCGGGAGCAGCTGGGGGACTGTCGTTAGTCTCTGGAGCTTTGGGATCTTGCTGGGAGGTGAGTCAGCAAGTCTAGCCGAAAGCCTCCCCTCTCTGGGCACTAGGAACTTCCCCTGGAGGGTCCGGGGTGGCCAGGAGAGGGCTGTAGGGATGAGGCGGACTTAGCAGCAGAGCCCAAATTAGAGTTCCTTGGTGTGCTGTGTGACCTTGGGTGGGGCATAGCCGTCTCTGCTGCCCTCTACCCCCGCTTGTGACCAGAGTGCAAACAACTCACTCAAAAGGGACTTATCCTCCGGCCAGCCTGGCCTCTCCCACACTTCTCTGGAGAACCAATAGCATCGCTCGGAATCTCTCACCTGCACTGAGCACTTAGTAGCCATTGGGCACTTTGCTGGGCAGCTTGAGTGCCATCGCCTGTGTGCCCCCTTTACCAGCCCTTCAAGGTGGCTACTATGAAAGCCTGCTTTATGGAAGAGGAAATAGGCTCACACATTTTGAGTGACTTAGCCATGGTCGCACAGCTCAGGAACTCTGGCCAAGCCTGTCATTGTTCCAGGTCTCTGGTAGCAACATCACATTCAGCAAGTGGGAAACCAGGGGCCACTGGTTTTGTGGACTCTCCACCCAGGTGCACCACGGGAGAATCTGGCCACTCTGGCTCCCGACTGCTTCTACCTTGTGTCCAAGTGATTTACCTGGTGCCAAGTCAGAGGGAGAAGAAGCCCACTTGGGGCCTGGTGGGCCCAGATGTGTAGGAAGGCGGCCCCTGTGGAGTGGGAAACACCACAGACACCCACAGCAGCTGTGCCTCCAGTACCTGCTATGCCTGGTACTGTGCTCGGCACGTTAGTGTAGCGCTCAGTCAATATTTGTTGCAGGTCCTCACAGTTTGTAGAGTTAAGTGATCAGAGCCTTGTCACAGTCCTGGAATTCTTCATATTGTATGCTCTCAATCAACACTTGTTGACTTCAGTGGAATAATCAATGAATGAGTGATGTGGAGGGGGGCAGCCCATCCCCGATGATGAGGATTCTGATCACTAGTCCCCACCAAATCTTACAGTGACTGTGAGAAGAAGACAATTATTAGTCCCATTTTACAGATGAGAAAACAGAGGCTGGAAGTGTTAAGTGACCTGCCTGAGGTCACACAGCTTGGAGTTTGAACTGAGCACATCCGACTCTAACATGCCAGTTGTTTCAACAGCACCAGGGCCTCCCGGGCAAGCAGACAGGCAGCAGGGAGCTCCGACCTTCCCAGTCTCCCCCACACCCTGCCTCGCTGGCTTGCTGCCCTGTAGCCACCAGGGGCTTCTTTCTGCTCCTCAAGCTCTCTAATTGAATTCCTTGTTCCCACCTCAGGAGCTTTGCACTTGCTGTTCTCTGCCTGAACCATGTCCCCACCTGACTCTTCCCACGGCTGGCTCCTTTCTGTCATTCAGATCTGTTTGGATGTCACCTCCCCCGAGAGGCCTTCCTGATTAAGTGAAGATATTATCATTTACTGCCTCTCTAACACAGCATGAAGTTTCCTTCTGCCATGGTACAGACACCAATTTTTATTTAGTTCCTTTGCATTTGTTAACTCATGTTGTGTACTCCAAGCAGACAGTGGGTCCCATGAAGGGGGCCCAGGCCTGCCCTGCTCCCACCTGTCCCCAGTTCCTAGCACAGTGATGGTGCTTAGGAGATGCACGATCAGCGCTTGTTGGCTTTAGTGGAATGAATCAGTGAGTGAGCGGGGTGGCAGCGGGGATGCCGATCAATGCCTAGAACCGGGAAGCCACTGGCAGGCTTTGAGCAAAGGGCGAACAGTTTTCTTATCTGTAAAACAGCAATCACGGCTCCCCGCCCACCAGGTCTGCCCATTTGAGTACTTTCAAAACTAAGCTGGGAGTACCCTCCAGAGTGAAGTGGTGTTACAATGTTTT